GTTCAGACCTTTAGACCCCAACCAGAAAAATCAGTCTCTCCACTTCTGTGTGGACTATTTGATTTTCCCAATAATACAATTCTCCCAATACAAGTGTATTAGGAGACTGCAAAACTGCAAACTTGAGTGGATCTGGATAATAAAGCCCAGCATGGTGGCTCACATCTCCAAATAAACTAGTTTTCCTTTAACAGTTTACCCATGTTCTACAGCAAATTTTATGAGGTGAACGAAGTAGATTATCCAAGCAAACCCCAGATAACTGTATTCATCTCACTGAAGTCTTTGCAGACTGTGTGCTTGGTTCCCAATGCACACATGATACTCCAGGGCAAGATATTGCCCTGAAATAAACAGTTGTGCATTCCTCCTAGGGCTTTTTGGCTTGGTGAGCTATGCTGAAGGAACAGCACCTGCTGGACCCACCGACTGGCTGAGGATTGAAGATTTCCATTCAGTCCTGGATGTTAGTCTGCTGGGATTGATTGAAATCACACTCAAGCTTCTGCCACTTCTGAAAAAAGCTGAGGGAAGAGTTGTCAATCTCATTAATGCCAAAGGCTTCATGACTTTTGTAGGGGGTGGCTACAGTCTGTCCAGATGGGGCATGGAAGCTTTCTCTGACACCTTACGGTGAGTAGCCCGACACACATGCAAGAATCCAAGAACAGATTCCAGATGTGCTGAGGAAGGGTGACTGTATATTTACCCATTTTGATTCCTCTCTGGAAACCTTGCCTAAAGAGGAAAAGGAAAATAAGAGAACTGGTCACTTTTTAAAGATTTCAGTCTCCAGTACTATGGACAAACCCAGCAAGGAACTGCACTTTTAAAATTTTCATATTCCAGACAAGTTGTTAGTGTGCAGATTTCAGGCACACTGTGAATCCAGTGCATACATGAAAGTAAATCAACAATTTAGCCTGGTCAGACATCCAGTTTCTTGGGCAAGTTATACTTGCCTGTATATTTTGCTCTAATTCTCCACAACAATCTGAGCTGGGCAGCTCCATACAGCAACCACGCTACCAAAAGTAACTTTAACTTCAGAAAATCGAGCTGAGCACCCTCTGCTGAAACAAGTTGTACTGTAGTGCTTCTAGAAAGCTAAGGCCTGGCCTTAGTCAAGTCTTCATGAGTCAGAATGACTAGGAAAGCTGGTTTCAAACCATTATGAGTACTTACTTAAAGAAAGCATATACCCCAAAGAAGTAGAAACTAATGGCTAATGTACATGTGGTCCATTCCTTTACACACTGTAGAACATGGCTGCCTGGGTCTCTTAAGCTGCCCATTTTTTTTACTGCATTTTTACCCCAAAGCAGTAGCACTACAACTCAAAATTACATAGAGGAAACCACACTACGAGGAAACCCACTAACCTTTATTGCATTAACATTTAATCATTTAACCACAACCATTTAACCATGGGATAGAGAAGAAAATTCTAATCCAATTGAAATTTTTACTTTTAGTTTTTCTCAGACACTTTAATAACCTGCTGTTGCTGTGAACTAAAATGATTCAACAGTATATGAAATTGTCAAAAGTTTCAGTATGATAATACATGGCTAAGATACACTTGGCTGTTACATCCTTTGCGTGAGTCCAGCATAAACCACACAGAGTTATGAATCTACTTGACACTGCTTTCTTTTCCCTCAGTTGTCTGCTCTGCTTTTACAGGACAAGTAATCTATCTATGCTATCTATGAAGCTAATTTGAACATTTCAAAATAATTCTGATATATGATGATAAGAATCTAAGACTCAAATATTCATGTGACAGATTTTCAACTCACTTATGATTCATAGCTGTGCCATTATTGGGTGGTCAGGGAGATGATTGTGTTTTGGTTTTTTTCTTCTAGGATAGAAATGAAGCATTTTGGAGTGAAAGTAAGCATTGTTGAGCATGGTTTCTTTAAGGCAGAAGTTGTTAATTCAGATATTATTGAGAAATACCTCTTCAAACTTTGGAACAGACTGACTCCTGAGATCAGGGACTCCTACGGAGAAAAATACTTAGTTGAATGTAAGTAGAAAAAGCATTGTATGAAATGTCAGGGGGGATATTATCAACATATATAAATATCTGAACTGAGGCTGTAAAGACAACAGATCCAAGCCCTTTTTAGTGTTGTCCAGGGATAGGATTCAAGGCAATGGGCACAGGCTGAAACACAGGATGTTTCCTGCTGAACATCTCAGTGTGAGGGTGACTGAGGATTAGCACAGGTTGCCCAGGGCAGTTGTGGAGTCCCCATCTTTGGAGATATTCAAAACCATCTGGACATGTCCTGGGCAACCTGGTCTAGGTGACACAGTTTCAGTAGTGGGGCTAGGTGCCAGGGGTCCCTTTCAACCTCAACCTATCTGTGATTCTGTGAAAATTTACTAGATATTTTTAATGCTCATTAAGGACCCATCACTGACTGTTCTTCACTGTGTGTATGTTAGATGAGGCCTGAGATACTAGTTCATGCATGAGACTGGTGGGATATGAGGTCATACTACCTTTCTTAGTCCCTCAATACTTAAAAGCAGGATGCCCAGTGGAAATGAGCTGCTATGACCATATGTGTTTATTGCTTAGTGGTATCTGAAAAGTTAGAGCAGTGTGAAACAGGACATACTGTATGGAACATCTGCCTCACAGTATGGGCTAGGAAGGTTTTGGCTTATTGGGCTTCTGGGTGTTTTGCAGACTTTATTGTCTCTGCTTTGCTGTAGCTATACTGCTAAGCTTGAAGCTGTAGCCAAACCTTTGGCTATAAAGAACACTCTCGCAGAGATGCTGCATATAAATGCTTTCAAGTTTATTTTTCTGTTTACAGATATAAAAGCCCAAAGATTATCAGTGAAAAGACTGTGTGACTATGATATTTCTAATGTCATAAAATGCATGGAACATGCCCTGATAGCAAGGTACCCCAGGACACGATACAGAGCTGGATGGGATGCAAAGTTCTTCTGTCTGTTTCTCTCCTATGCCCCAAGCTGTTTGTCAGACACGCTGTTGCGTATTACATTTCCAGCCCCAGCAGTGAGAGGGAGACCAGTTCATGGAGTTCTAATTAATGTCTAGTATTAAAAGAGTGTCAGCTGTGCAGAAATAAATATTTATCCTATCAAAACTAGATGTCCTCTTCTTTACCAGTTACTACACTGTTAAAATTATTTTCAGAAGACACTTTCTCCATACCTCATCCCATCTTACCTGAAATTCTAAGTTCACAGGTAGGCTTGAATCCAGTATGTTTTTGAAGGCTGTTGCTCAGAAATTATATCTCTATAGGATCTGCATTCATAAAATTTTCAGCTACAAAGCTAGTTAATACTATTCACACAAGACATGAAGTCAAATAGTAACAAAGTTCAGCTAGTGCAGAATATTCCAGAAATTACAATTATAGTATCTGACCGCTTGATTATTCAATTCTGCAGAAAAAAAAACACAAGCAATTTTACAGAAATGCAATTCTAGGGAATTCAATCTGCTTGCTCTATGCAAGCAGATTGAAATGCATATTTTAACTTTCTTCCTAATATTAGTATGGTTTATGGGGAAAATACAAAACCAATATGTGTTTATATTTCTTTTATCCTCAGTGTGTTTTGCAAGTTTAAAGTATTATTATTTTACTTATCAGAAGAAGTAAGTCATAAGTGTAGGCTATAGCAAATTCTTTCAGTTGTACAGAACGTGTTCAGAATGACAGAACATTAATAGAGGCTACTGTGCCTTTTATACACTATTTCTATCTCTTAAGCTGTTAGCCAGAAGCTCACAAATTGGTGCTCCTAGAGATATTAAAATTGAAGGGGTAAAGGTTTTATTTACTAAAGTCCTGTGCTGGTGATTAATCATTAATGTGCAATTCAATTAAGCTTAAAAAAATACCATGTGCAGGTCAGAACTCCAAACATAAGAAAAGGAGTTTCATCACTGTGTGAGAGGGCATGTGTGTGTGTTTGCAATGTGCAAAAAAAGGACAGTATGTAAAAAGCGTTAGTAACCTTTAAGTATCTCATTGAAGCTCTATTCTCTAACAAATGGCTTAAAGAATATTTTACTTAATTTCACAATAAATTCCTGCAGACAGAGAAATCTTTCTATCGGGCCTAGCAGCTTTAAAAAGAATGCACATGAAAAAAAATAATGGTATAATTTGTCAGCCCTAGAGTAGCAGATTACAGACAGTTGTTGCAATCTCTAAAAATCAGCTTTCTTTGAAACAGAGAGTCCAGAATTCAAGCATTCAAGCAGGGACTGTTCTGATAAACGAAAAACAATACAAGTGAAAAATTAAGTTATGAGTATAATCTAAAACTTTTGTTGTACAAAATACCAAACCCTAAATTTTACAAATCAGAAGGATACACTGATGAGGGATACATAATTAGAAGGGTACTCAGTAGCTATGCTACTGAGAGGAGGAGTCCCAGTTGAAGCTTAGGAATCCTTCAGCATAGATACACTAAACAACCAAACCTACATACTATATATAACTACAGAGTAACCCAGGGATTGTTTTCTTCCATATCTGAAAAGTTAAAATTATTGCAGGGGAAAAAAATGTATTTCTGATATATGGCTGATGTATTAGCAGTTTTCACCAACGCTAGTTTTAAATCTTTGAGTTGACAAAGACTATTTTCAAAATTGACACTACTTTTTCCTGTGGTATGCAACTGCAGGCAAGCCTTTTGGAAGGGTCAGCCCTGCCTTCTCCCTTTAAAAAACCTTGTGAATCCTTTCCTTAAGAACAGTGCCTTGCATCTCCAAGAAATCCTTACAGATGTGTCTGCTGTGTTGCAGACTCTAAAGAATTTTCTACATTAATGCACTCAGAAAAAATGCTTTTAAAAACACATAATGTGCTTAGAGAAAAAAAATAAGTATCAAATTCTGACATCAAATATAAAAGTTAATTGAAATAAGGTTTTAGTCACTTATGTCCATACTATCTTGATTATCAGTCTCTCAATAGTAAGAGTTTCCTGTTTTAAGGGCCAGTTTATTGAATATGTGTAGTAGGGCAGCTTTCACACTTACAAAGATACAATGTCAGCATCTAGACAACATCTTACATGAAGAACTTTAGACAGTTGTGTGACGCAGTAAGCACTATTCTTATTCAACTTTATCTAAAGCATTAATGCTTTCACCCCGAAGAGCACTGAAGTCTCCACAACTGAAAAAAGTACATAAGGCTTCAACACAAATTATGAAATAAGAAGGTGATAAAATAATGTTTATTAGACTTATTCAGCAGCATCATTTTACAGTTGTCTTTTCTAATCAAAGTATGTTACAATTTAATTACAAGCATTCTAACCAGAAATAGTGTATATATATATATTGAAAATTTAGAGATAAAACAATCAAATAGCAAAAGTCTCAACACTTGTGACTTCAGGAATCTTTTATATGAATAGGAACTAGCTAGGAATGCTGAAGAACATGGTCCTGTAATTGGAATTTTCTCAAATGGTTCATGTTGTGGAAACTATCTTGGCTATTAATAGAAGAGCTAAAAAGATCAACAGTATATTCTGATGGAAGGTTATAGGAACAACCAGATAACAACAAAGAATGAATTAGTAGAAATTGTTTCCCTTTCTATTAATATCCACCTCAGAAAATAAATAGTCAATAAAATTAAATTTTCACATTAAAAAAAAACCTGAAGGATTTCTGAAATGAGCCATTATCTTTCATATTTTGCTGTTTGGAAATAAGCTGTTATAGAAACCTAACTACTTCATAGTACAAATTAGTTTCAGAGACTCCAGCCAAGAACAGAGGTATTCCATTGATGAGCAAGAGAAAAGCTCATTAAGTAGTTGTGGCACTAAAATCTAAATATATCCAGTCTTCCTAGGAACACTATTAATGGAATTGAGTTAATTGGGACCTAGATGAAAAGTGTGTGTTTTATAGACCAAGAGAAAAATTTCTCAGGCAATTAAAATATTGTAAGTACAACATTTTGAACTGGTAACTATTCAGCATAATAATGATGCATTGACTCATCTTTTGTTTAACACAAGATAAAGGGATACCCATTTTTATATACAGTACTATATAAAATAGGTGGCAAAGATGCCCTGAGCACCAGTAGAAGTTTTAAAAGGTGCTGTTATAAAAGATACACTCTAAAGACACCGTAAATCAGTAATGTTCCTATGGCCTTGCCTTGTTTGGTTCTCTTTTTTTTTTTTTTTTTAGTTTTAAGCATTTATATAATTAATTTAGCCCTAAATATATGATCAATTCTATACAAATTTCTACTAGCAACATCACTGAGCAAGATAATCTTAAAAAAATTTACAAATGTACAATATATTTATAACATTACTTTCAGACAGCTTCAGTGCAAAGATATACATATAGTACATCACAATAATTGTTCATAAAAATAGAAATTGGCATTTGTCAAAAAAACAAGGCATAGTTTCAACATACATCTCCAGCCACTGGCCAAGAGATGTATATATTTTTATCAAGCATTTGAATGTGAACCTTACTCTTCTGTTTATAAAAAATATATGTGCAAATGGATGTGTCTAATTTTCCCTAAATGAGTTACCTACTTATACCACAGAGTCCTCTTTAACAAGATTGGCGGTGTCTTTAAATGTATCCTCTGTTGCTGTGTAAGATAGTGGTTGGTCTCTCTTCAGAATAATCTTGGGAGGCAGTGAAGGAGAATGGGTAGGGACATTTTCTGTGTCCTGTTGCTGCTCCTTTTCCATCTGAAACAATAATCATAAAATCAAATCTTACATTCTAGTGCACCATACATCCAACATTAACTTTCAGAAACAGTAAATAATTATTCCTAAAATCAAACTTCATGGTGTAAATTATTAATGCAAAACACCACCTGTAACAAAATGAAATACTCATTTCACCTCAGTACATCTGAGTAAAAACAATACTATTCTTATTCTATACACTGGAACTTCTACTTTAATTTTTAATGTCAGGAGCTGCTGTGCTGCCTGAGCTGAGTCTGCTCAACACCTCATTGGTGTTGTGCATGATATTTGCTAACCTCTTACAACCACTTCAGTCCTTAACCTGGACTGGAATTTCTGTACTGTTCCACATAGCAGCAGAACCTACTAATAATCTTTATCCTATGAAAGCAAGAAAAAAGTCCAGCAGTACATTAGCTGAAAAATAGAATTATATAATAGAAACAATACCTCTGCATATATTGGGTTTTCAAAATTAGTGTTTTGTTTCTTTTTTCTCTTGAAGAAACTCCACTTTGATTCCTGAAATATAAAAATCATTAGAACTTCATACATTTTTCTCAAAACTTCTCTGGAAACTTGCATTACATTGTTGGATTTCACTTAAATTGACTGCTACCTCAGTAACTTCAGATGGATGTTCTTACATCAATATGTTGTAATTCTAAGCATGGAACACAAATTTATTTTTCTGCTAGATGACCAAGTTATTTCACCTGAAGAAGTATTCACAAAATGTTGCTAGGCAACAAAAATTACTAAATTACTGCATGGAAGCCTATCATTCCAGACAAATACATCAAAGATGAAAAAACTGTCTTGAAAACAACACAAAGGAAATTATTGAGGGACATGAAACCACTAAGCTGACCACAGCTTCCCTAACAATTCCATTTTTCTAATCTGGATCACAAAACAAGCAAGGTAGCCTTAGACCATTTTCATTTCCTACCAGAGGTGCATCTGTACTCTGAGGGGTTTCCTTTGGGCTACTGGATATCACAGAGGAATACACAGGATTTTCAAAATTTTCATTTTCCTCACTACCAGCTGCTGCTACCTGTAGGAGAAGAAAGAGAATCAACATTCTTCAAAGAAGAAAAGGTGGTCATAAGGGAAAATGAAAGGTGAAAGTCAAGCCAAAATTTATCTTACAAGTGTTGGTCGAGTAACTGTAACTGCACCAGCTGTGCTGGCTCCAGCATCTCTGGTTGTATACATTGGATTTTCAAACGTGATTGGTTGTTTCCCCGACTCCACTGCAAAGTTTTCATTCTAGGGAGGAAAAAACCCAACAACTGCAGTGGAATAAACACCTCCATACTCCTAGGAATTAATGTGTAGTCAAACTCTTCATCTTGGGGAACAATACATGTTTACTTTCACATAGGCTTAGACAAAATCTAGTGTTTGTTAAAATCAATTACATCAATTACATCAATCATCAACATCAATTTATTTTTACTCCCTGACTTAGCAGCCTGGACTACTGATTTTTCCAATATTACCCCATTTCCTAGATGGACAAAAACACACACTTCAATATTTGACTCAAAGTATTATACTATGAGGAAAGACAACTTTCACAAATCGTACCTTCAATAGAAAAATCAAAGGAAGAATATAATCTAAATAAATACTTTAATTTAGAGACTTCAAAATTATGTACAAATTAATAAGCAGTAGCTGATACGCAAAAGAATGTGATTCATTTTGTCTCAGCAAGGAGATTGCTGTATTTTTGAGACAAAGCAGTGTGTCCCCTTAGTTATGTCAGAGAAGTTACATCAAGTAGGAGGATAATGAAACAAAATCCCACCCAGACTCGCTTGTCCTGCTCTTTGACACAGCCTCATGACAGAACTAGCAAGGAATAGCATAAGAAAAGTACAGCAGCTAGCTCCTTAAGCCTGCCTCATTTTCACAAACTGCTGCTTCATACCACATGTATTCATGCTTTTTGCTACCAGAATATGGCTTTTTATTACACAGTAAACTCTTGTCAGCTCCCTTAAACTAGATTGACTAAGGACAGTCCCACTGAAAAATATTCAATATCTACTCATGCATATATGATGTTAAAATTTTAGTAGGCACATCCCACAGCTCTTCACTGCTGTACACCAAAGCCGTCGAATTCTTTCCCAGTGACATAACAATTTTTTTTTTACATTTTGAATACATAGGGAGAACTGACACTGCATAATAGAGATACTCTGGATCCAGACCTGTTACTGGCAATGTATAAACGGCATTGCTTGAACTTCAGTATGTCAGTACTGGGCCAGAAAATACCAAGTATGGTCAAGTTCTTTGTGCATGAAAAAGATTTGGGGTAATGTACAAGCCTAAAGCTATTTTTCCAGTGTTTACCAAAATGTTCATGTGGATGTTTTGTTACACAAGCTGCCTAATTTTAACAAAGACTGTGTTTCTTCATCTAGGCAATGTTCATATATTTATACTAGGAGCTAATCTTCTTTAGCTGTTTCATTTCATATCTATTCAGCATCAGTTTAGGGAGTTTCCACCTTATACTTGGCAGCAAGTGCTCACTATTCAAACATACCCATTATCTCTTTCCTACAAGTAAAAATCATTAATACATTATGCTTCTTGTGGCAAATGGGAATAACACAGGGATCTGCTATTTCTCAGATGTGCATAACAAAACATGGATGAAGTAGAGTTACGCTTAATGATGTCCCCATGGCTGTTAAACATGATTTGTTTAAACTTCATAAATTAAGAAATTGTCAGATCGATACTGTATTGCACAAAATAGTGAATCCTGTGGTTAGGCTTGAGTTTTACCTCTGAATGCTCTAACATACCATCTGGTTTTGAAAACTACATATTTTAAATTGTTCTATAGAATACAAGACTCCTAAAAATTCCCTGTTACAATGCTGTCATTTGTCTACTCATTCCCTTTATATTCCATGAATGTAATGAAAGACGAAAGGCAGTAATTCTTAATTTCTGCTATATAAATCTTGGAAAAATGCACATTATTTTAAAGAACATCCTATATTTGTCTTTGCCTTCAAATAACGAAAACCTATTTCAGGAAACTATCAATCATTTTTCACTTCTTTTTCTAGAACACATTTATCATTTCACTATCATTTTATAGAAAAAGGGCTCCCTTCTGTAAGCTACTAATTACATCAAAAGAACACAATTTAAAAAATTATTTGACAACTAAACCTTACCATTTGCATTGCCCTGTCTATAGCAGAATCTCCCCCAAAGCCAGAGACACCTATGTCCATAGTCACATCTGCTCCAGATCGGAAAGTAACTCCATTGCCATTTTCATTAGATTTTACAAGACTGCTTAAACTATAAAAAACCAAAAACAAACAAACAAAAATAAAAATAAAGTAGAAGAGATTATAGAGAGAGTTCATAATACAGGTTTTTTCACTTGCTCTTCTAAGCATAATTGTCACTTTGAATTTTGTCAAGCTAATATTAGAAATTGTATTTCTTTATTTGTTTAACTAGTTTTTTAACTTAAGTTAGCCCACTCAGAATCATCTCAAATACCTTTGCTTGCTCATGCAGACATCAAATGATGTCAATGAAATACAATTTCCCAAAATTTACCTCCATTTTGACCACTCTTACTTCAGTGCCAATTTAAAGATAAATTCAATTATTCAAATTAATTGAAACTGATTTTTAAAACACACATCTGAAATTTGACAATATAATCCCACCAACACCTATACTGAAGATTTATGCATGCAAATCATGAAGATACCTACAAGACACTGTTTTCATACTTGTGAATATTCAATCTATATATAGAATTATGACAACCACAAGTGCACACTAGATGTTCATGAACAATATTGGAAATGGTTGGAAAGCACTCTGTCAGGCTAAAAAATAACAGGATTGGAAGACAGAAACCAGTCTTTCTGGTCTGAAATACAGGTCATTCCCACACAGAAGTCTGAGTATATAACATCCCCAAGGCATCTAACAACAAATCTGCTCCACAGCTAACCTTTGGTTTAATTTTGCCAAATCTGCCTAACTTGAAGGAAGGCAGAAGTACTAGAATAATCTTTCCAGTTCTATGGCCTCACTGGATCTGGCTTGTGCTAAACTTCTTTCCTACAGCTGATGCATTGCGTACACATGTCACCAGCTGGTCCTGTAGGCATCAACAGCTTCCGCTTTAAAAAGGTAGATCTTAGCTAGGATTCCTGTACATGGACAGGTCTTGCAATACAGGCAACAGCTAAGCTATAGCTTGAGCTAACTCTGCTGTAAAGGTACAGGTTCAGAGTTTAAAGAGGGATTGAGCAATGGTAGCACTAAGACATATTCATGGCAGAAATAAATGCAAATCAAGCCTCACAGGTACAAAACTGACATCTCCTTTTCACACAGTCTCATAACTTATGTGGGAAGCTTTGTTGAATAGTAAAGATCGAGTCAATATATTAAAATTTCAGCTTGTTCACTATCTGATAATGCAGAAAGTTTCCATTCAAGAAGCAGGAAACAGGGAATTTCAGTGAGTAGCTTGGTGGTCTCTTAAAAAACTTCTTTGTCCTTCAGAATTTACCTGCACAAAAATGTTGCCCCAATTTAACTACATCAACTCATGAATGAATCGGATTAGAATCAGAGATTCATAGAATGGCTAGGGCTGGAAGGGCCATTGGCAGGGACCCATTCCACTAGACCAGGTTGCTCAGAGCTCCTTCCAACCCAGTCTTGAACAATGCCAGGGATGGGGCATCCACAACTTCTCTGGGAAACCTGTTCTAGTTCCTCACCACTCTCACAAAAATTATTTCTTAATATCTAATCTAAACGTACTCTCAGTTTGAATCCATTCCTTCCATTGTACTGACACTATGTGCCTCTCTAAAAAGTCTTTCTTGTTTTCCTTGTAGACTCCCTTCATCTACAAGAAAATCACCCTTATATCACCCCCAAACCTTCTCTTTTCCAGGCTGAACAAACACAATTCTCTCAGCCTATCTATGTAAGAGACTTGCTCGACCCCTCTAATCATTTTGGCGATCTTCATCTGGGCTCACTCAGTACCACTAGCTCAGTGCAATCCTCCAGTGAGGAAGCAGTTTTAGCTTCATTCACATTATTGATTACAGCGATTTAATTAGATTGATTTAAGAGCTATAATTCTATATGGGAAATTGGTGCAAGGACTATGAGGATGTGCCTTTATGCATTTTAAAACACATTATTTGCTTAAAGCTAAAAAAATTAAAAGCATCATATTCTGACATATTTTTAAAAATAAATTAATTTCAAATAATTTCTAATATATTTTCTTCATTTTCCTTTGATTTAAAACATCAGATATTTTTGATGACATTTCACAAAGCTGGTTTTCACTCGACTGTATGACTGTCAGCAGTGTAGGCATTGGAAACAGAAGTTCACTACACATGTGCCATATTTTTAAGCAGATGAATACAGCATTGCAGATGAGTACAGCCTTTCAGTGTTTAAAAGGTCTCTTCAAATCATCTCAGGTCAAAGTTTTATAAAAAATTAGAACATTTAACTATGGTCTTTTATATCTTTTTGAATTGAATATGCAGCTTCAGATATGGTAAACAGTCTTCTATATTACCCATTTCTTAAAAGCTAATTTAAAATGTCAGAGTTTTACAGTCATGCTTTGTTACACAATAGTGATCAGCTATGGTATTGACTGGAATGAAAAATTCACTGGAGTTGCTGCAACACTGCATTTCCCATATTCTACCAGAATGGGCACACAGCATAAAAAAATTGATTTTTCAGAAATATTTAGAAACAAATATACATTTCTAGCTTGCAGACATTCCTGCTCTGAAAGCCTTCAAAACATACCTTGGTAGTTTGGGAAGCGCTGGTAAAAGGGAGCCTGTTCGTCTGTAGTTAAAAAAGCCTCCAACTGCTAACACTCCAATTATTATGATTAGTATGACTGTCAGCAACACTGCTACTGCTGCTGTCAAAGAGAGAAGAACAAGAAAACATTCAAGCAAGCACAGTTCAGTGTAAAAAAAAGAGCCCAGAGAATTAGAAGTCTGACCCTGAACAGGTATCATGGTGAGGTATTATACATTCTTTTGCCCAAATGTCAAGTGCAATATATTCTTGAAGCTTACTTGTTCCAGGAGGGACTCCTTTTGACAATCCTATTTCACAATAATTCCCAGTGTATCCATAAGAACATCTGTAAACATAAAAAGGACAGCTGACTCAATGGCTTTTATTAAGTTTGGGATCTCAGCTTTATGATTGTATTCTGAAATGTTCATCTAGAACCCAGAAATTTTAACTCCATGCTCAGTAATTATATATTGCACTGACTGTATGTAAATATAGTATGTCTCCTATATTCAGAGAACTAAAAGTGAAAATAAAAAGTGCTGAGTCAGAAGGTCTGGTTTCAGTGGAGCATCGGTGGCACCTGCTGGCGGTTCCAAGCTACATTTATTGAGAGTTACATTTCCATTGTTACAATTTTGGGATATGGCATTTTATTAGAATCTTCAGAGATTTGCCTTTTTGGGGTTTTTGGGGGGTTTTTCCCCTGAACTGATGCATTCACATTACTTATTTGTTAATATTTTTATGCATGTGTTTTTCCATAGTTGTTATAAAAATGCTACTGCAGATGTATGGCACCTTCTGAAGTGTTTCCAACAGATTTCAAAGAATATAATTGTTTCATGAGACTAAACCAGCACAGCCTGAACCAGGACTACCCTAACAACATACAGACTTACTTGCATTTGGGAAGACTGCTTTCATCTATATAGCATGTTCCACCGTTCATGCACCTGCAAGCTGGTGGCATTGTGGGAGGGGATTCAATAGCTGCAAAATTCAGAAGCCACATATGCATTATCAAGACATACTCAACAAACTAAATAATACCAATAAAGCATTTTCTTTGTCTCTATAGATCTTGCATATGCAAACTTACAGGCTGCTTTTCAAAATTTTTTGTTTTGATAGCACATGTGCTATTGTTGCTTGTGTCTATTTTTTTTCTGCCAAATCAGCTTAAGTTAATTGAAGCAAAACCTCTTCTTGGAACATAACAACTTAGTAGAGTGTAGGCCTAGTCAGCTCAAGAGCTGTGTGTCTGCTCACTTCCTTTTTTTCAGGCAATGCAGTCTAGCACCACCCTTCAAACCTCTGCATTCAGAAAGCAGCAATGCTTTCTCTCTTCTGTCCAGATTTTTCCATTCTACCAGCAGGAAGTTGCACAGAGAAGGCCAAACTTCTGCTTTTACTTACAAAGAATGCAATTACTTATGAGGAAAAGCAATGGATGGAAATGCACATAGAGGAAGAACATTATTCCAATTCTGAATCAAGTGGGGAAAAATAATCATACTAGTCTTCAATAAGAGCTCAGGATATACTGTCAGAAATGTGTACTTAACATAGGAAAAGCCCTGAATCTGAGCCATTTTTATAGGCTATAGATTGAGGATGGACATAGATCATAGTATTTTGTCACAAAACTGATATTAGCCAGAGGAAGGAAGTGTGTTGCTACAATGTTTCTTACAGGTGAAAGACCCTTCAAGTAAATGGGGTACAAAAACAGGAAAGGCAGAGGTTTTACAGGCTGTTTCTCAGTAGCTGTAATAGGGCCAAATAACCTAAATGTATGTACAAAAGCTGTGTTTGGTCTGCAAGCAGTTTTCCCAACTGCACAAGCAGTTTTCTTAATTCCCAAACATTTTATGTAAAGCAGTTTGAGCAAAGAATATCAAATTCTTTGTGTCCCCAGAGCAATAAGCAGCAATTAGCAGATGCAATCAACACTGTTATTGATCCCTAATTTAAACACATATTGCATCCATTCACTCACTATTATATATTACTATAACCTCTTTCTGCAGCTCACACCACATGGTAATAGGAAAAATCACTAATAATTATTAAGAAAATGTAATTTAGAGGTAAGTCAGTGTAAAAGTGATGACATTTTCTCTTTCAGTACAAAAAGAAGTCAGAGAAGATTAACCAAAGGAAAGATGCCAGACATAATGTTACAAATCATAATACATTAAAGATATGTTCCAAGGACAAGCACAAGGACATCTGGCTACCACCCACACCACTGTAAGCTAAGAATGCAGACTCTCAGCTAGAGAGAAATAAAAATCCTGTAGTGGTATTTTCACTGCTCTCAGTAAAGGCACTGAAGCACTATCAGGGTTTTGCTGCAATGCAACAACCAAGCATGAAATTCTAGTGCCTATAAGGCTTTCCAGAGTATAATTATCCAGAAGTTATCTCTGTCCACACTCTTGACTTCTGTAAGCTTTTAAGTTTCTATGATACTGATTTAGTAAGAGCTTTTACAGAATTGTAAACAAAATTGTTAACAATAATTTGTCAGAAATTCTTAGTTCTGAAATCAAAGCATTCTTAAAAAAAATATTTTGGAATTTCAAAACAAAAATCAGAAAGTGTGACCAGTTTTGTAGCTGGGTCTGCTCTTGTTGGATTGATAGACCTATGGTCATTTTACAAATGATATGCAAAGACATTAAAGAAAATGTACAAGATGATCACAAATCAGTGATGGCTGAGAATAAAAGCCAGATGTTCTGACTTACCAATATCTATTACATCAGTTAGTCTATCCCTCCATACTTCTAATTCAGTAATGCATTTGTATTCCTAAAGAAAAGCTTCTACTGCTTTCACTTCCAGTTTGACAAATTATTCTACCTGCATCACATTCCGTGCTGCTGCCTTCTAGGAACCGAGTCCCTTGGGGACATGAGCAGGTGTATCCTCCTGGTCTCAGCAAGCAGAGGTGGCTGCAGACATCTTTACAAGGATTAGGCACTGAAAAAATGGTAAAGCAATAAAGATTTGAAGAAGCAATGCAGCATATCCCTGAGGTAAGGCAGGGCAATTCCATAGACAGTTATTGCCAACATGTTTTTACCAACACCTTCTCTCTGCCTTTTCTTACACACATTCTTAAGGGATAGATAATGGCTGCTGAGAGCCCATTTAGCACCAGGAATAAACTCCTCCAAGTATTAAACAATCAGCTCTTTGCCAGGATAAATACATGTTATGACTGTCCTCATGAGGGAGAGGGAAAAGAGCAATGACAGGGTCATAACTTAGAGACTCGAAAGACCAGTGTGTGGTGTTCCACTGTTGATTTCATTCTGGGTGTGCAGAAAACACTTGTCAGCCTCTATTCATTTTTAGTTTTCAGAAACGAATATTATCATTTACTAAGGACAGGTTATCAAAAGATTACAAAGCTCTTTGCAGACATCAATACCAACTTCAATTTCATGGCAAGAAATGTCTCACTGGGATCCTGATTACCCACCTGATTGATTGTATCTGTGTTGGTGATAGATGCGTACTTGGGTAAGCCACGGATTTACAGTCAGCACTTTCACTTTTTCTCCACTTCCAAACTTATCCTTCTTCCAGACTTCTCCCCGTTCTTTAGCTATCCAATATAAATGGCCTTCAAAGACATCGAGGCTGTATGGACTGCCTACTTCTCAAAGAAACCAAATAAGAGACTGTCAGCAAGCAAATCCCCAGTAAAACAGACAGAAATGCTATTCTTCAGCTTAAATACATTATTTATTGCTTCCATTTTAAGATCCATGCTGTTGTATATTTATATCCTCATGTGCCTGACTTCTTCATGTCTCAGTGCTCACACCGATTAATACTGATTAATAGTATACATTAAAAAGCAAGAATCCAGTTTTCCACATTGTCTCCTATTTGGGTCACAAACTCCACTCAGGGAGTCCAGTTACCAGGCACCACTGAGCCTGGTGCACCACTGATCACTGTATAATGGAGAAAACAACACCAAGAGTTAATGTTTGAAAAGCTTCCAAATGTAGCCCCACTTGTGAAGCCCAAGTGCTTGTTAGCACACATCTTGGTTATTATTAATTGCATAGTGCATTCTTACCTCCATGTAGTACAATGGTTCTGTCTGTCCCATCAGGTCTCATGGATTCAATTATATTTTCTTTAGAATCACTCCAATAGATCCTATCATTGTTCAAATAATCAATAGAAAGACCAGTTGGCCAGCCAAGGTCTTCAGAGACCAGTGTCTGTCTTTGTTGTCCATCCATCCAGGCACATTCAATCTTTGGCTGCCTTCCCCAGTCAGTCCAATACATAAGCCTGAAAGGATAGAATGAGAAATGGATACGGTTCAGAATTTAGTCTTTGGAACTTCGGAGTTTCATGGAAAAGGTCAGTAATGGAAAAAAAAAGCTGTTCAGCAACCTATGCTATGCAGCTGTGACTGGGAAGGTTACAGAGAACAATATATACCAAAAGAACATTCAGCAATAACAATAAAGCTGTAGCATCCATGTCACTTCAGGGAGCTATGTTGCTGTACTCCAACTGAGAGAAGCACATATCACGATATCTCATGATTTACCGTTTAATCCAAGTTGCAGCAAGCCCAGCTGTTGAAAGTACTAGTGCATTTACATTGCTTTTCCCCATGGAGAAGGCTATGACTGTCCTGCTTGGAGCTAGTGAAGAGAGATTCCCATCTATTTCTCTGTTTCTGTAGTAACAGAGAAATTTGGTGGGCACATAATAATGTAGAAAAGAGATTTGTATTTGAACTATCTGGCCATGTCATCAACACAGGCATCCATGTTCAATCTAATCCTAAAATGCTTTCCCATTCTCACAAACTTCGCAGTGTCAGTAAAGCAAAGTTCCTGAGAACATTCCCTTAGTCTTTGCTGAAAAATTTATCACTGTGGGGTTTTTTAGTTTTGAATAGCATTGGAAAAAATTATGGTACTCACCCACGTTTTGGATTGACAGCAATAGCTGCTGGTTGATCCAGATGGGAAAAAATAAGCCATTTTCTATACCGTCCATCTAATTTTGCCACCTCTATGCGATTAGTCCCTGCATCAGTCCAGTAAAGATGTCTGAATTACATAAAACACAAAACATTCCAAAAGTAAATAGTTTACACTTGGAAGAGGAATAAAATAAATTAAGAAGAAACACTCTATCAAACTCAAACAAAATTAATATAACAAACCTGCATTGATTATTGAACTTGTATAGAATATACAGACCCTAAATATAGGTAAAAGTTTAGCAAATGTGATCTGTTGGCTCACTCATTATTTTCCTCTGAAATCTACCTCTGGTCCCTGACAAATAATCTTCATTGAAGAGCTACTGAAAACTTTCATTAGTACTTTTAAGCAGCAGAAGTTGCTAATAAGCATCTTTAAAGACTCCATTTTCCAGGAGACAATGAGGTTCATTACAAGTAAAAATTAATTTACCATGTAATTTATGCAGCAGCTCTGGAGATATCCAGCTTATTAGTTCACAGCTCCTCTCTAGACTTTTGTCTAATGAGAGAGATACTAATGAATAAATTGTTCCCGCATCAGTTGAAAATGGGTTTTTTTAGTCTTAACAAACAGGGCACTCAGTCTACTCTTCCTTGAATTTTGTTTATCTTTATCATCATGCCTTTATAATTTTTTTGACCTTAGATAATAAACAGACTCATTATTTTGCACCCACTAACCACACGGTGCCTTCTGCTTAAATAAATTACCTCCTAGATGGCCTGGAAACATGAAAAAATACTGTAATTTCTATTTAGCAGATGAGCAGCAAGATACAGTGTCTCAAACCATGTGTAACATTTTATATATTTATATATGCATATAATTAAATGTGGTTTTTTTAAAATACATTTCAACATTATTATGAAATCAGTGCAGTGCTGTGTTTGAAGTGCTGAAGTTGCTCATCAAGATGAAGCTGAAGCCTCACCAGGATGCTTATGATATATATCCTAGATGCTTGCTCTCATGACCATATAAATTTGTGAACAGAATTCAGACATTCCCTTTTGCCTTTGGAGACATTTTGTTTTCTAGGTGCCTCCAGTTTATGAAGCAAACAGCAAAGTAACCTGAGGACTAGCCCAGGCCCTAATATATCTATATCTAAGAAAAGACACAATTTTTAACTTTTTCTCATCATTTTGTATCCAAAATCTGGCAATAGCATTCAGAAGGTTGACTAATCTTTGTAACTTCTGTCCATTCAGCCTCAAACAACATCCTGACTACATTTCAAAGTGTCCATCTACAAACATCAGGTTCCTCTCAACATTATACCACATGAACTACATCTATCCCTGTCTACCACGTCCTTTAACAGTTATATTGCAAGATTAAATGACACTGTAAATATCAAACTCCCAAGAGTCAGGCCCAACTTTGTTCCAGCTCTTCTCCAAGGTAGTATACATAAGGAGTGATCTCATGATTTCTATGATTAAGTTTAAAAATTACCATGTTTTAGGCTAAAAAAATCCAGTCAGTAAAAGGGAGAAAAACTTCATGAAATATGATTGCTTAATAATTAACTTAAAAACTTAAAAACTTAACAATTTTCTGAGAAAATACATCTATTAATCAAACTTTAGAGCTACTGTTTTGGGATTGCTCATATAGCACAGGGTTGGTAAGGAATGAGCAAAGGTACAAGATAAAATTCCATTGTGGACTGGGGAGCTTTCCTCCCAACAGCAAAGAAAGGTTGTTCCCTGGAGCGTACCTAAGTCATTGAAGAAGAATCCGCCTGACACAAAGGCTCATGTATTAAATCACTTTACTGATGCACAACTGATCTGCCAATTGCAAAGAATATGTGATGCCATCAGCCACATGCACATCTATTAACCTGCTGTCTGGGCAAGAACAGCTTACTACATTGTTCCGAACTACTGTCAGACTAGACACATTCAGAGACAATTCATAAGGAAGAAAAAAGTGGATTTTGCACAGCCTCATCAAATTCACAAACTGACACATTAAAGATACAGCATTTTTCCAGTTTTTCAGTATACTTACCTTCCAACCCAGTCAACAGCTAGCCCATCAGGATTAACTATGTATTTGAGATTCAAGTCAACTTCCTTTGTTGGATTGTTCCTACTGCTGTCAAAAGTGGGGAGATAAGCACGTTTGATGGCTCCAAACTCAGAACCCTGTCCCAGAATGCTGAAGTACACAATACCTTAAAAAAAAAAGATGAGAAATGTCTATTTAATTACATATTTGTTGAAAATTCTAATTTTTCTGAGGCTCTTGTGTGAAGTTACCAGCCCCATTTATTTTTGAATAAGGTAAGAGTTGTCTGTTCTGAGAGTTGTCTGTGTTAGTGTATAAACCATCTAAAGCCATCCATCACATGCAACAAGATACATATCTAAAGTCATCTTGAGCTTATCAAGAAATATATATGATATTTTTCAAGAGCAGAGGATCTTAGCTCTGAAACCTTTACACATGATTTTGAGAATATTTAGGCTCTCATAACCTTAAGAAGCAAGCATGGCCCAGGACAGTGGCCCTGTTGAAAAAGCAAAAAAAAGGGAACCTGAGCAAGAAGCAAAAATATTTAACTAATAAGAATCTTCTACTGCAGCATAATCCTAAACAGCCACAATTCTACAGCTAAACACACTAAAATGAAAGGAAAACCAGATCAAAATCTAGCTAAACTAAATTAAAACATTAAAATAAACTACACTGATGCTGAAGAATGACTAGAGGGGAAGGGCACATTCAGCTGAGACCTGGCCAGTTGATCTAATTTGATTTTGCTTTCCAGTGTAAATTAAACACCCATGCTACAAAAATGCATCTTTTTAAATCAACCATTGCATGGCTGAGTGTTAGCATACTCACTCAGGCCTATCCCTTCAGGGTCCCAGTCATAATCCAGAGCTTGGATGCGTTCCTGGTTATCAATATAGTCAGAGTACTGTTCTGATGAGATGTTGTACCTTCGAATCCGCACATTATCTGGCAGCAGTAACAATGGAGGATTACCTGGGAAACAATAGTGAATTTATTTTCATTTATTTCTCATTTTAGAAAAAACAGATGAAAGTCACTTCTAATTAAAACTAAAAGGGTTTTTCACAAGTTGTATCTGTACAAGAAGCAGAGGGAATGCTGGGCCACTTCTAAAGCTTCAGAGCTATTCAAACTTCATGGCTTTGCAAAATTTATAAAAATTAAAATGCTTACCACTGAGGATAGTATTATCCCTTTCACCATAGATCTTGTGCAGACATAATTCCTTAAAAATTCTTCAACATGTCATTGATGGCATATCGCCACATCTCAAAAAAAGAATGCCAGTACACACTGTGTGGCTCCACTTTCCCTCTCAAAATACAGCAATTAATTTTAAAAGTACAAATAAATTGCCAGTCCCTTTAGCCCTGACATGTCGAAATTCTACCTTAAAGTTTTTTAATTCTAATATCTCTATATTGATGAATGTTCTCCCGATCACAGTTTAATTTTGGGTTAGCCTAACAACATCCGATCTGGCCCTCATTTATAAGGGCTGTGATATTTTATACTAAAAAGCAGGGCAGAGTTCTAGGTATACATAGAAATAGAACTTAGGTACAACAAATTTCAGCGTTACCAGCTACAATTATATTATCTTCTATCACTTAGCCTTCAACACTTTGTGTGTCTAGATGTTTCCTGAACAAAGCCTGTGAGAAAGGGTATCAAAGAATTGGATTTCAACATGGGCACAAACAGGCAGCCAGGCAGAAACTGAAGTGTAAATGTACTTTTGCATTTCCAGCCTAACGCTCAGCAGCAAATATTTGCTGAACTATGCCCCTGGACAGGTAACTTGTAGACCTTATTTTCTTGCAGCACTTTTCATATTACAAATAATTTTTAGGTTTCAAAACCTCCAGTAGCATGTAGGTTAGGTCACAGGCTTTCTGTTCTGAAGATTTAAATATTTGACTTGGCACACCATATTTCTATCATTTATCTCTTAAAGCTGTTAAAGTGTAACTACTTTTCTAGATACAGTACTGGTTTTGTTTTTTATTTAATGCTGCTCCATCATCACTTTTTTGTCTGTCACTATTGTTTTCTGAGTCAACTCTGCCTATTCAGGACTGCCACACATGGTAGCCACTGCACTGAGGTATGATAAAAAGCCAATGACTGATCTGAAACATTGGCCAAAGTCCTCCTGTTTGTGTGCAGCAGTCCATGCACAATGAATGGCAACCTGACATCAAACTGCCTTTGATTTATGCCAGTTTAATGCAACTTCTTTCTGATGCATTATTTTGTTGATAGAATCTAAACTTCAAGAATGGGCAACATTAATTTTCACTCTGATAACCACCAGAAAACTGGTTTTTGTTTGCAGAAAATTTCAGGAGAAATGTATACAATGTTTACAATTGGAAGCAGAGATGAGCACTTTCATTCCTGATATGGAATAGGTGGAATACACAGATAGTATTATCTTACAGAATAAGGTTTGGTTTATCATTATGCCCTTCTTATAAAAGACAGTTTAACTTATTCATTAAGTTGCTCTATTGCACTTGCTCTTTACAGGTGGCAATCAATCTCACTATTGGTTAACATACCATCAGCTGCACACTGTTTCCCTTGTTGATCACCCACAGATCTGAAGCCATCTGCACAGAAACATTCATAGCTTCCTTTGGAATTCTTGCAGTCTTGGGTGCATGTTCCAAAGATCTCACACTCATTAATATCTAGACACAAGAAGAGAAAAGATTCCTAAAACTTGATTTCTTTCTTGTTTAGTCTTTAGGAGTCTCAGGGGTGACCTCATTGCTCTCTACAATACCCTGAAGGAAGGCTGTAGTGAGGTGGGGGCCAGTCTCTTTTACGCTGCCTGCAGTGAGAGAAGCTGAGGAAATGGCCTTAAGATGAGACGGGAAATTCCGATTAGATACTAGAAAAAACTTTCACTTTTAGAGTGGTAGGCATCAGAGTAGGTTGTCCAGGGAGGTGGTGGAGTCACCATCCCTGGAGGTATTTCAGAGTATCTGCATCTGGTGCCAGGTGACTGTTTAGTGGTTTAGGGGGTTACAGTGGTGGTGCTGGGTTGATGGTTGGACTTCTTAAAGGCCTCTTCTGACCTTGATGATTCTATGCCAATCATCTTTACTTCATGAAGTGGTAGGTTTGTGCCTTCCCCACATACTCTAAAAGATCAGTGACCTAATAAGTGATCCTTAAAATCAGCATCTGTTATCAAACTGAGCTCCTCATCACTTATTTGCTGTTTACCATGTCTTGACTACAGATTGTCAATAACTACCTTGCTGTAATCCTACTTAACAGATTTGTTTTCCAAGATGCATTTTTGATCATGTATTTTTGTGTTAAATCAATAAAGCAAGACAAAAGATGAGGCAAGACTAAAATGAGATGCAAGAGCAAAACTTTTTTGAAATGCTGAAGCCAAGACACATGATCCTCAGAAACTATATCAGCAGGGAAAGGGAGGGGTGGCTTTGGATCACATTCAATAAAATCACACAAATATTGTCCACAAGAGCTGGGAGAAACAAGCAGAAGGGTTTTCATTAAAACATACTGAAACACCAGCTGGAAAGGTACTATGTCACATGACCACAAACCATGGCCTTTGAGTGGACTCCTCACTACATTTTATCTGCATAAAACCCAGGGCAAAAATACAGCACAACACACCTTTACTGTAGGTCTGTTTGGGAACAGAACAGAAGAAGAGTATAACCTGCAGCAAGCTTGTTTTCAATAAGCAAAAGAAAACACATCAAATTTCTATCTCTCAGATTGCAAAGATATGACAAAACATATTGTACTGTATACATATACGTACTGTAAAGCAAAAATATATCTATAGCTACCAAAAGCTTAAAAGAAGTCTTAACTGAGGAGCCAATTTTTTGTTCAATAAGGCATACATTTTAGAAAACATGATTCAGCAGAGGAACTCTTTAGGACACACCTATCTGATAAATATATAAAAATCGTATTAGAATGTGAAAATGAGTGGTCACGTTAGAATGCTGAAGAGACAGGTGACTGAACACTTATCAGCAAGAAGATATTTATAAGATTAAAAATACCTTCACAGGAGTTACGGTTAGTTTCACTGGCCTTGTACCCTGGCCTACAGGAACAGATAAAGCCTCCTTCATTCAGATTGGTACAGTTATGTTCACAGATATTTTCTGCACAAGTTCGCTCTGCTCCAGGATCTGAAAGAAAAAAAAAAAAGGCAAATTACACAATTATAAGTAAAGAATGAAGTAATAAGGGGAAGGAATAATAATATTGTTCATTATTACAATTGAAAATAGTTTTCAGATAGATCAAGTTTGTTTCCTTTCCTTTTTTTATAACTAAAATTAGAAGACAATGGTAACCACTGGTTAAGAGAACTGTCAACTAAAAAGTAGTGAAGAGGGTCAGGAAGAGAGCCATAATCACTAAAGCCCCCTTTCCTTAACAGAAATTACATTCTACATTACCACCAGTCTGCAGAAACTGCAGATTTTAATTATTTGACTCTAACTCCTAGCATTGCCAATATAGCTCTTTCATATCCAGTGCTTTCTTATTAGCTGAACAAGAAATATTCTCAATTGATATCATGCATAACACAGGCCCTACATTATTAACATCTGGAAGATGTCAGAGAGAAGATGGCACGTAGTTCATGCCAAACCTAAAGCCTACTGCTGTCAGTACAGGTCATTGCACTGCCCTTTAAAATATTCCTATAATGGAAAAGCCAAGTCAGATATAATAGTCAGTCTGTAACAGATGATGAAAATTACACACTTCTGAAAGTACATCTAGAATTCTATTGATTCATATATACTCTATATATGCATAAAATACTTGAGTACAAATGCAAATTTGTTATATAAGCAGAAAAGATAAATAGTATGCTTACTGGAAGATCATGAGGCAAAGATACAGATGTATGGCAAAAACCTTACATTAAGCTGATTATCTCATTTTTACATACACATTCCAGTGCTGATTAACTTAAGTTTAAACAGCTCAATTTCATATATGTGGAGAGGCGCAAATTGTACGCAAATATTCTACTTTCATTACAGCAGGTATTTGATGTTAGGAAGGCTCCAAAGGTTACCATCTGATCTGTATTCATATTTATCCTCAAAGAGCAGAACGCAGGCATCAGAAGGTGTCTGTTTCACACTTTCATAGCCTTTTTATTTTCATCAAGTCATTGCATTAGGCTGTATTACTTAAAGACCGTTGTGATAGTAACTGAAGCAAACAAATCAGCTGCTTCAAAATGGACTACACTCTAGGCTTCCAAGTTATTTGTGTTTTGGAAATCTGCTGGATTGCAAATCACCAGTGTAGCATTTGGCACATTTTCACATGATGCCATCACAGACTGACAAATTGAAATTACAATTTGTCACTCATATAACCACTCTGCAGCTGTCTACACATTGACATAAAAAGTTGGAGTTTTGTTTGTTGTTTTTATTTGAGATTCCATGGAATACCTCTTGTCTCAAAGTTCAGGTCAAAGGTTTTACATTCAAAAGAATACTAGTAAATATATAATAGATAGTTAATAAAAGATGACTGGAGGATCTGAGAGGGCCGATAGGCAAAGGACTAGTGGTCCTTAAAGATTCTGAGGTCATGTCCATAAAAAGAAAAATAGAAGCATCTCAATATACTTATATTTTTAACTGGGCTAGGGTAACATGCACCAGTTCAAGTCTGGCCACTAATCTATTGCAATTATGGTTGAAATAGATGGATGTTCTTGTGTTCTTGACCCTGTAACACAACCCATTTCAAAACAAGATCAAAACCAAGATCAAACCTTTTTTTTTTAATAATGCATAAATACTCTAAGCCTAAAAAAGACTTTGTTCAGACCACATTTCATGGAATCACCCAAGTTGGAAAAGATCTTTAAGATCTTAAGATCATCAGGTTGTACTATAAACCAAACACTGTCAAGACCCACTAAGCCCTGTGTCTAAGTAGCACATCTATATGTTTTTGGAAGACATGTACAAAAGAATGAAAACAGAAGAGAATTAAAACAAAATAAACTAAAAATAAACAAAATAATAAAAATAAACAAAATAAACTAAAATAATGAAAAAATGAAAACAGTAAATATTTTCCTCACTAACTGAATAATCCTAGAGAAGGCTTATTAAAAACAGTAAGGAAATTCACACAGGCTAATTAAAAAACAATGCTTCTTAGTATGCTATTCAATAAAAAACATTCATTGCTTTCAGTTTCAGAAAATTCTATTTCAACAGCATTGCAATTTTGTATTTTATTGGTATTATAACTTACTGCAGCCCATTTCATCAAAATGGTCTCCACAGTCATCGTAATTGTCACAGACATAATGTAGGGGAATGCAATTCCCATTACTGCACTTGAATTCTTCAGTTTTACAAGGTCTTGGTGTTGGCTCTCTACCTACAATCAAGAAAAGAAATACTCCTCTGTCATAGTTTAAACTACAAAGTACCAACAAACACTATTACCCATTGCTAAAGGGGAAGCTGATGCCATCTGGTAAAACAGTGACAAGACTATTTTGGAAGTCTGTATAAAAACCATAACCAGGATGTAACACCCTGATTTCTAGTAACATCTCCATGAACTGAAAGAAGTCCTGCTATTTTATAAAAGGGACAGAAGGAAAATCCTTAGTGTTAATAGTTGACTAAGCTTTTTTTAATTGTGCAAACTTATTAATATCCTTCAATTATATACTTCCTCCATCTACTGCAGACTTCTAAAAATCATGGAGATTTTAGTAAACTATTTACTTTTAGAATATTGTACAATAAAACCATGAAATAATATGATTAAACTTGAAAATGTATTGCACAGTCAGCTAGAAATACATAAGATATCTGAGGGCAAAAACCTATTGAATATTAACAGACCTTCTGCAGGGTCTGAGCCTAAATACTAAGATTGTTAATACATGTTTAACAGTGCCACAACTTCAGGAAGTATCCATTTCTTTATTTTAAAAGTTGCAGCTGGCCATTGCATCGCATCACATCCCATCCTATCCCATCCCAAATTTACTATACACCCCAGCTCTTTATTCTTCCTCCTTTTAAGTGGAGTACATAATAAGAGGAACAAATGCAGCAGGTGCTCATAGGAAAATACAATATCGTTTTTAAAATCATGCTCTTTTACTTTTCAGACAAATGTTTGCTGATTTTTGCTACAGAGAGCTATGAATACATATTACTAATAACCATAGCTCAAATTATTTCATAGTGAGGTCTTGATTTCATCATTATTGTTAACCTTGACATCCCTTTGGAATTATTTAATATTAAGCACATCAAAATTACTGAACTTGATACTCAATTTTGTGTAAACATACAGTGTTCCTCTTTCTCGTCACTGCCATCACCACAGTCATCCTCCTGGTTGCACAGCTCGTGACTGTATATACAGCGATTGTTTTCACACCGGAAACGGAATGGAGATTCACAAGCAATATCCACTGAAAGCACAGAGGTCAATCAGTCACACTTGAGACTTCAGGCCACTGGGTCACAAATTATTCATATCACTTTTCTCTTGGAACATTCATATGTTTTGTATATTTCAAAAGGTGAGGAGGAATTCAGACAAAAAATATTTTCTGCACATTTTGGTGATTGGAAAATTCTCTAACTACATATTACACTGAGGTTTCTAGGTTTGTTTGTGAAGTAAATTAACTGGAAATCCAACATGGTATTTAAGTGCATAACTGACAAAACCAGTTTAAATAGTACCTCCAACATCTAATTATTAAATCTCAAGTCAGGACTTAGCAGCCATATTTACAAAGACGTCCCAACAACACTAATAGCTTTAAAAGTTCAGCACTTGTGACAATATACATCATCTGAATAAATCTTTCATTTCAAACTGATATTCTTATTTTTGATAATCAATTTGAAAATGTGAAATAGTGACCTTATCTCTCTGATATGCTTCTCCCTACTTTTATAACCACATATACAAACATTTACAAAGCAGTGAGAAATTTTGTCAGAGAACAAAGTGAATTTGCATTAAAAAAATTTCTTAGCACTTATCCCAAATAATTATAATTTATTTTCTAATTGATCTATTATGTGTAGAAATTAAGCATGTTGTTTATTTTAATTCCTCTCTCTTACAGCAAAGGTGAAGTTCTTCATCAGAGTCATCTCCACAATCATTATCCCCATCACATTTCCAGTATGGCTGAATACAGACATGGTTTTTGCATTCAAACAGCATGGGTGGACAGTATGTACCATTAGGATACCGTGTTGCTGAAAAAAGGAAAATGATGATATTTGCATTTACAATAAAAACATCATGTTTTCATGAAAAATATTCAGTCCAACCCTGTATTATTTTTAAAAGCACTTATCTCCATAATAGGAGATACTATATAAAGTGCTTCAAAGATGTGCAGCAACAACAGGCTGCAATGACTGAGGACTTCTTCACAGCTAAAAGTAATTAATTCAGGTTTAAATGAATAGTGAAACAACTCTACATTAGACAAACTTTTGAAAAGAAACTAATTAATTTAACAAATGGTACTTAAATTTGTTATTGACAAATCTGTTCAATAAAAAAGATAATTAACCTCACTGGCACCAAACATGAATGATTGAAGAAGCACATAAGATACATAATTCCCAAAGGACTCATGTTGATATAGCAAAAAACCCCCATTCATATTCTGTAAAAGCTGTGAAAGGAACTGAACTAAATCAAAGAAAAAACAAAAATATTATTCTACCAACTTATATAAATAAACCATACCCTTGACCTTTCAGTGGCTTCTCATACACTTTATCCTACATTTAAGAATAGTCAAATATTTTATATTCAGGCTCTGAAAGACTACTGCTGTGATGTACCAGGATGTAGTTACCATCAGAAAAATAAAGGTAGTACTGTGCAGATGCTCTTCTTACTTAAAGCACAGGTATTAAAATTAAGTACATGGAAAGATGTACAGAACTGCCCAGATACCAACATGAAGAGAAAGGAATTCTCCCAAGCACTGATGCCTAAAATCATAGAAATATGTAAGTCAGAACCAACACCTCAGTAGGTTCCACCCAAAAAGCTGATGTCAGTCAATACAGATACAGCATAGAGGGAATATTTTCCTTCCAACTGGGAACAATACTTTCTGGGTAAACAGTTGCAGCTGTAGATCTAGGCAAGCTACAGATATTTTTTTCATATTAGCTCAATATACCAAAGGAAAACAGAAATGGAAAAGTATATTATTTCCTAGGGTTCACTGACACTTTAGGACACTTCACACTAATTCAAGTATTACAAAAAAAATCTTATTACAAAACCTTGTTAGAATTTGCTACAATTGAAATAGTTTGAATCTTGCAGTGTTCATGGGAGAGTGAAAAATTTTAATTCAATCACACGTGTATCTTCTCCTGGACTTCGTAATCACATTCATTTCCTACCATTAAAAGAATGTGTTTACAGTCAGTGTAAGAGATGGCAACCCATTTTTATATAAAAAGCTGATTCAAAATATTATGCTTATCCTGAATCTTTACTAACATCACTGAGCATTGCAGAATTCTGTATCTCTAAGGAGTCATCTCACTTAAAAATAGGGAAAAGTGCAAATCTTTCTGAAAGTGAGCACAATGAGCACCAATTGCAAAGCTTGTTACTCACGACAAGTAGCTTCATCAGAGAAATCAAGGCAGTCTGCATTTCCATCACATTTGAAGCGCTCTGCGACACAGTGTCCACTGTCACACTGGAAATAACCTGGGTGGCAGGTTCTCAGCTCTGAAAAAGATTCAGAAGTTAGTGTTGAAATGTCTTCTTGTTCAAAGACAGACTTCTTACATTTTGAGAATAATCTTCTGAAAACAACTGGAAAATCCCAGACTACTGAAACTGTGGTATTCCCTACTTTTGGTGGAGTGAGTAAAGTGACAGGGCGAACATTACTTCTTTAAATATGCTTCCCATAAAAGATCATTTTGCAGAATAATTTATCACATTAGAAACAATGGTGTGAACATGTAAGAGGTAGCATTCAGATAATACACACCACAGTCACGTTCATCCGAATTGTCTTCACAGTCATCATCATGGTCACAGATCCACCGGGAAGGAATGCAGCGCAGATTGTCACAACGGTATTCACTTTCTGTGCACTCACGAGGACCTTCATTTAAAATCAATGTACAAATATGAAAACTTTCCCAGATGTAGATTTAAACATCCACACCTGCCTCATTGAACCAGACAAAAGTAATGTGGGCAGATAATGAGGTAAAATCTTTAAAACTAAATTATGTTAAAACAACATTCCCACCAAGTAATCTTTAAATATGATAGATATTCAAAGTCCCTCTTGACATAGAAAAAAGGAAAATCATTGCAGACTTTGTTTCAACACAGAATTATCCAGGAGCTTTTAATACAAAGCAGAAAAAAAAAATCCACTATCATTGTTTAAGATACTATATAATACTACATTTGCACATAGGACAAAATTCAAATTCAAAATTCATGTCACTTCTTATTGGAAAACAGGAATTGTGTTATTATGATGACTGGATTTATCAGTGTTTTTATGTAACCAGAATGTATCCTTGTGATATCAGTGTGGTATTTCAGCAAATAAAAGACAGACTACCATATAAACAAAAAGAATGGTTGCAATTGAGAGCAGTCTGCCTTGTTCTCATAAGAAATAGAAGAGTATTTAAGTCAAAAGTGGGACTACATAATTACAAACAAAAGAAGAACTCACTGCAGTTGTGCTCATCAGAGTTATCTCCACAGTCATCATCTCCGTCACACTTCCAGCGCAGCGGGATACATCGATGATTGTCACAACGGAAATCTCCAAAAGGACTGCAAGTCATCTCCTCTGCAGTGAAGACAGTTCGCCAACAAAACAGCACACATTAGCACAGTCTTTGCCCAGGTACATTGTTACTGAAGGCTTTCAGAAAATCTGGGTGTTTGCAAATTGGAGAAATATTTTAGGCACAAAGTTACGTTGAAATGACCCTCTCCAAACTTACCACAGCCTTGTTCATCACTGTTGTCTCTACAGTCATCGTTCCCATTGCACACTGCCCACAATGGTACACAACGGTAGTTGGTTCTACAGCTGAATTGTGTGTGATTGTCACATCGGTAAGCAGATCCCACTGAAAGAGGCAGTTGTCAAAATTAATTGTTACTTAGCCATTAACTGCTCTCCTTGCTTTTCTGCTTCTCCTAACCTTTTATAACTTACAGTCAATGATTTTGACTAAAAAGAGATTTCTGCTATTTTCAGTATTGTAAAGTAGAAAGCATTAAATGTATCCGATTTTACTATCTTTCCCAATCTATGCTGCTTGTATTCTGCATATGCTACAAACCCATCACAGGATCAAATCATACTTTTTGTGTTTTTCCCTAAATTATTCAGAGCTGGTGACACTAGCAATAGCCCCAAATGTGGGAGCCAGAGGAGGCAGCTAGTTCTCAAATGGCAAAACTTGGTCACAAGTTTTTGAAGATGCCCATTGATTCAGAGAGACATTCAAGCACATATAGGAAAATCCTAGCATCAAGAAAGTCAGTTAGATCTTGATAACCAGTTTCTCATAAACTAGCAAGCATAAATAATCTTTCTCCCCTTCAAGAACAGGTAAATAGTAAATTATCACATAATCTCTATGTTTTCTAACACTCTTTACTACATGCAATTAGCTTGCAGAAAATATTCCTTTCCAATAAACTTTCAGTCTCAGGAAAATTAAGTTATGTGGTTCACTCTGCTTTTAGTGCATTTTAATGTAGGCATTTTACTACAGCTCTATGCTTACTGCATTCGTGGAATGGCTCATCAGAGTTATCACCACAATCATCATCCACATCACACTTCCAAGACTGTGGGATGCAACGGCCATTGTCACATTTAAATTGGCCTGGGGGACAGGTTCTACTGGCACAGTGAGCACTATCTTCATCCGAGTTGTCACCACAGTCATTCTCTCTATCACACTGCCAGGCTTCCGGGATACATCGCTTGTTGGCACATTGCCACTGATGAGTTTCACACTGGTGATTAGCTGAAAGAATACACATCAGCTGTTAGGATACTGAAACTTACAGAAATGATCTCCTGCGGTTATGTCAATTGAGCCCTTATGTTTACATCAACAGTTAAAAACAATGCCAGAAAGAAAATTAAAATGCCACATATACTTGCCCAGTTAAAGCTGTTAAGGTAAACATTTCTAACATCACACGTCACATTTTCCCCAGGTATCTTCAGAGAAGCTCACTAAGGCTCTGCAGTTTTCTAGGAGCAAGATATATACTACCTTCTCCTAAAGCAGAGGGAAGTAAACCCAGCATTCCACATGATTGAGGCAGGGTTTCCCACTCACTTCACAGAGGACCTAAGTGGCATTTTGGCTCTGGCCATGCTATCAGCTTAGATGTGTATTGCCTGATGAGCCTGTTTCTCTATGAATTAACATGACAGAAAACATAGCAGAAGACCATGCTAATATCAGCTGCACAACCTACAAAAAAATCACCTCTATTTTAAAGGGCAAAGCACTGAAAGCTGGTATCAGCAGTGCTGGCAAACTTGGGTAGCTCTGAAAACAGGAGTCAACACTTATCTCTACTCGAAGAATTTCTTGCCATACTACACTCTACTACTTTCTCTTACATACACTACTAAACTGTTCAAGAGAAAATAGTGTATTATAACTCCCATTTGTGTTCTAGACCAAAGGATTCTGGTCACATGCACAAGATAATGAGTAAAAGGAATTACATAGACCTAAACTGATGTTTATTGTATCCAGTATGTTATGCTGTACCCAGCATTACACAGCTGCTATATCTCTTCTTTTCAATTCCCCTGTGGCACACTTAAGATCTTAGCTATTTGAAACTCAGTTAAAACTGACATTTCATTTAATTCTGTCATTGTTAAAACCACATTGGAATGGAAGGCAATGAAACTATCAGTTATATAACCGCACTGCTTTCCCCTTGGTTTTGTATTGTTTGCAACTGCCAGAACTACATTATTTACAAAAAGAGAACTAAGGATACACTTTTTTAAATTAGACAAAAGGTTTTTAAGGAGATAAAATTATTCCTCAAGCATAATTATGCTACATTTATATAAGACTGCTATCACACACTGCTCTCCAAAACTTATCTTCCCCCCATGAACTGGATTTTGTGCAATGCAGAAGGTGTAATAATTTTATCCCATCACACAAAGTAGAATAGAGGGAAAATTAGCACACCTGTTAGACTGACCTGGGCATTAGGAAGCCTTAGATTCTCCATAATCACCATGGCTTTACTCAGAGCAAAACAAAATGAGTCCTGTTTCTAATATTTTATACCTCAGATGGTAATTTACCCCAGTTACCTCAAATCTTTCTTGAAGGTATGGAAACTGTTTATGTTTTAATATAGTACATTTTTGTTCTCCTTTACCCTGCTTGCACTGAGGTGAATTGCTCCAGCAGGTGCAAGACTAGAAAAGACTGCATCTGTCTATCTCACCTTTTCATCTTTGAAAAAGGGACCATGGTTATGAAATTTGTATGTTGATTACAAGTTTTATACTGGCAAAACCCTTTAATTTATTTGTTGGAACATACCACAAAGTACAGGATCTTCATCTGATCTGTCATGGCAATCCGGCTGGGCATTGCACAAGAAATGTGAACTTGTGCAGTTCCCATCATTACACTGGAACTGTCCCACAGGACAGTACCGGTGCGGACAGGTTGGGGGCTCATCAGAGCCATCTCGACAGTCCCTCTGTCCGTCACATTTCCACCAGATGGGAATACACCTATAAAGAGAAAACGTTGCATTCTTTGTTGAGGATATTGCTTTACAGATGTTCAACCATCCTTTTACAGCACAAAAGGCAGTCTTGTCTTAGTGCTATTTCTTGAAATATCCAAAAGATCTTGAATTTTATGTCTTCTATTTCATATGTCAAATGCTAACAAAATATGCCAGAATACTGTCACCAGAAACAGAGGATAAACAGATTATATTGATGGACCTCTAGAAGAAAGTTCACAGAAAAGAATAAAGATTTAATTTTTATGTTTATTTGTGGTAGTCTTCTCACATATTTTTTGGATCACTCTCCAACTGGATTTTTAATAAGGTAATATTTCAATAATTCACCCAAACTTTAGCACAAAAATTCCACTAGGGATTATCATTATAACACTACCTCAAAATGCAACCCTATAAGCACACCTGCCTTACAGGCCTCAGGGTGATACATCACTACAAGAGCTCTTCTGCTACCATTCCTCTCCCTCCACTGCTGTCTCAATAAAAGGGGTTAGAAATGTGCCCTCACACCAGCCAAATGGTTTTCCTGGACCACTGGCAGACAGCATATATTTAGCAGAAACAGATACTTTGTAAAAGATGTCAAAAAAAAAAAAAAAAAAGAAAATAAAAGAAAAGAAAAGAAAAGAAAAGAAAAAAAGAAGGTTCCAGATTTGAGAATTCAACAAGAAATGGTTTCTGGAGGTACATGTTAACAACCCAAACTTTGCTATGTTAGCAATGCCTATAACAGAAAGAAAAGTAAAAAAAGTACTACTTAAGGAACCAGTTTAAAAGTACTTTTCCAAAATGAAAGTCTATCTTGCTGTCTGATCCTGGTTTTCTTTCTGCAAGCACATCACAAACTCATAATGAGAGCAGAAGGAATCCCTAATTTCCTGCCATTTTGAACTGACTAAACTGTGAAATACATCCTTAAAGATACATGGAAAAAGCAATGGTGAGCACTGGACTTACCTCTCAGTGTCTGCACAGAGAAACTGGGTACTAGAGCACATTGGAAGGCAGTGGGCTGTATTGCCAAGCTGTATTACCATGAAGTTATCAGGACATTCACAGGAAAACCCCTGGCCACCAGCTTTTATGAGGCAAAGATGGGAACAACCACCATTATTGGTGCCACAAGGATTGTTAACTGGTAAAACAGAAGAATAAATATTATCATATTTTGTAAATTCCAGAACACAAGGCTTTCAATCTACTATAGATTTCTCTAATACTGTTATGAAACCTTAAATGTAAGAGGTTGAAAACCTAAGTAAGTAGGCATTTCCAGAGAGAAATATGTCATTTCATATACATGAAATGTAGGCTATTAAGCCATGATGTTTTAGAAACTAATTTAAAATTATGCATTACCAGTCATTGCTTTTCAGAGAAAGGGCGATTTATAAAGTAGATGCCTACATTTACTCCGTACATTTTATTCCACTCAGCAAAGGCAAAAGCTGAGTGCACTCAGGACCCTTTACAGCTAGTTCCCAGATAACAGCTGACCCTCTAAATGCAAATCTAATTCTGTTTTCTCACCAAATGGTTGTCTGTATGGATGGTAAACATGGATGTCAAATGGTCTGTGTGTGGTATTAACAAGAACAGTCCTTTCTGATCCATCATATTTATTTCCTTTTTCAACTGTCCTTGTGTTCCAGTCAGTCCAATATATTGTGTCTTCAAAAATAGTTATTGCAAATGGATGAGGTAGAGTCCCATCGTATACCGTGTGCCGATGATGTCCATCCAGGTCAGAGTACCTCCACAAAGAAAAATTAGTGCAAAGCATTCAGATAAATGCTAAAATTTCTTTGCATCTTCTCTTCGCAAATTATGTATGCTTATGGTCCTTCATTATTGGTAACCAGAAACATGCAATGTAGAATTGCAGCTTCTTTATGCCCGAAAGACAGGTCACCATTCTTAGCAAATTAATTTTAGTATATGAAGGAAAGTAAAACAGGCTATTTCAGGGAAATAAATGGAATAGGGTAACAGCCACTGAAATGCATAGTCTTCCCACAGAAGCACATTAGCTAGAACAATGAAATTTTGTACATTTATTGCTTTAACAGCAAGTTATTTTTGTCACAAAAAAGACTAGCCTGCCTAGATGATTCAGACTGCTAATAATGGAACACAGAAGACAATAATGGGCTTCCTATATTCCTAAATTTTACATGTCTTTCTCATTTAGAGATTTTTGCTGAGTTATCTTTGACAAGATTTTACATTTTTACTATCACCTTGCTATATGGGGAAATTAAGAAATACAAGAGTGGAGAAAGAGAAAAATAGATATAATTAACTTAGATTTGTAAAAAGATATCTTTAATACTTTATCCTAGAAAAGGCTGCCAGAACAATTAATGTAGAAAAGAATAGAAGTAAATACAAATATAAATTTAAATGTGCATGTAAATATTAATATAAATATGAACACTAATATAGATGCAAATTATTGGCTTCAAAGTATTTCAGTATCATGTATTTCAAAATCATTGAAATAATCAGGTAATTATTATTCATTTTTACTGCTATTTACGTGGGAATTTTCTAGTACTAGAAGCAATGTACAGATTTTTCTTGACTGACAAAAAAATCCCATTTGCCAACAGGAAATTCCATATCATACTTATGGACATTCAGACATCTTCTAAAGGTTTGTATACAACTTATTAGCACATAACTAGTTTAGTTACAGCTCAATTCTTATGTATAAGAGAAACAAGAGAACCAAAAAATAGTGACTTTATAGTCAATTTTGCTTTGTTTCAGGTTGTATAACTAGATACGGAGAAGTTGCATATTTTAGTAGAGTGTGAACCTTCTCACTGAAATTTTTGGACAATTTTCAGGGAATGTAGCAACACAGTTACTGTGGCATCTAATGATCCATGTCATCTACTACTCCAGGCATTTTGACTCCAGCTTTCTAAAGAGTCAGGGGGCAGAAACACATCTTCTTTTTACAACACCTATAAATTCTCCCACCACAATCTGACGTGAGCAATCATTCAGTTGTTTTAATATTTTCTGTCTACATACTCAATATAATTTAGATGGGCATCTGTCCAGTAAAGCTTGTCGTTGGTGTAATCTATGGTAAGTCCATTGGGCCACTCTAACTTTGTAGAAATGATCACAGTCTTCTCCTTGCCATCCATGCCAGCTCGTCCAATATAGGCTCGATCTGCCCAGTCTGTCCAGTAAATCAGTCTGCTCAAATGAATACTTAGAGTTAGGATTGTTGAAGTAAATATTAGAAGCCACACCTCAAATAGAGTATTTCCTTCCACAGAACTAAAGCAGAGATTGAGGAAGAAGAAAGCTAATATATTTCTTAGTTTAACTGCTACAGCAGTCAATTGTGCAATCACAATTGAATTCAGTCATCTCCAACATCTACCAAACCACACACACTTCTATCAACATTTTTAGCCTTGCAATCAGAACTTTCTAGTCGATATGGAACGAAGTTCCACTTTCAACAGCATGTGACAGCCATGCATATACACCCACAACAGGCAAGCTACTATTTTTCCTAAGCTGCAGCTGAGTACTAACACCACAGAAATCTAATTGCAAGCAACCCAAATTTACTTCGGATTTTCAGAATAGTGCAAGCTTATTTTCAAAAGAAAGGAAAAGTACTCTTGAAAGGTCATACCCATATTTTGGATGAACCACAATTGCTCTGGGATACTGAAAGCAGAAAGTATTGTTGGCATCCACACACCGATCCACCAGTTTTTTCCGGAATCTTCCATCAAGTTCAGAGACATAGAGACAATCTCGGTAGGCATCTACCCAGTACAATTTTCTGAAATATTTTAGAGTTAATTTATTAATTTTTTCCCCCCTTATTTTGCTTCACAGCATTTTATTCTTTTTTCTCCTAGAAGCAATGTATCCCCGTAAAGGAACACATACTTCATTGACATCTCTTCTACACCATGCTCCAGGCTGCCTTTTCACTTCTGCTTTTCCTGTAACCACAATCAGTGGTGCCAAATTAAAACTTGCAGGTGCCCAGTTGAGTAATAATATGCCATTTGTGTTCAAATTCCTAAATCTCTCCTCCCTTTCTGTCCTACCAACAATGGCCAGGAGCAGGGAAACAGACATGCAGTGCAATGGACTGTGACCCTCTGCTCTCATCAAACAGGTAGAAAAATTCCTAAGTAGTTTGACACCCCAGTTTAAATTTCACCTAGAATTTTTTAACACTTCTATTCCTTTGCCTGGGAATTAAACACAGCTGTAAGCAAAGAAATCATACAAGCAGAAGGGATAATTTTTTAAAAGCCTGCATCAAAGCAAAGCATTAAATTCCATTAGAACTACATCAGGATACTTTGAAATTCTCTGCAGAGCTGGTCAGCTCCAGCACCCACAGTGTTATTGCAGAAATAGCCTGACATATAATTCTGCCTACACCACTTTAAGTAGTAAAATTCCCATCAGGGAGGAGGAGAAAACAGTCTTCTCCAATGTGTATCTCATGGCATCCTTTCATCCTCCCTCTGCACTGAAATCAAGCAGAAAAAATTCAACCATTCTACTGTCCTTGAGCCTGTCTGGAACACCTAAACAAGAACTGACTCAAGACATAACTAATGGTAGCTGAAACAATTCAAAAGTTGTATTAGCAATGAAGCAGTAGGACCACTTCAGCTCAAATTTGCCTTTTGCTTCATCACCTTTCCATGAATCATCAAGTCTTTAGGGCAACATTAATTATCATTAGTTTAGAAACAAAGTGGTGTAAAAATAAAAACTATTATACGGACATATTCATATAAACACTCTCATCCAAGTTTCAAAAGTGAATTTTGAACAATTCTTAATTGGTTTACAGTCTGATCCATGTTACTTTAACTTTTCATTAGATTTCACTTAGATTATTGCACTTGGAAAGCAAGATGAAATACAGCAGGACCACTGTCAGAGTGGCCACCACGTAACAGCAGAGGTTCTGTGGCAGTAAATCAGACTGTTTTTTGAAACACAGCAGGCAGTTAAAAATTTGCCATAATGAGGTGTTTTCCAATTACCTCACCCATGTGTTGGCCCCCTGACAGAAAATTATGTGAATCATGCTGTTTGAGTGTGTCAGTTAAAGGTGCATTTTTCAAGAGCAAAAGACACATGCTCTGCACGTTGATACAGGAGCTAAATTTCATTAAGGCTTACTATTACTTACTTCACTGGGATCTAGTTACCTGTTACAATATTTTGTTTATGCAGAGTGAAACCTGCATGTCAATCCCAACAACTGCTAGCAAACGATTGATGAGAGAGCAAGTCTGACAGAACCTCAGTATACCACATATGAGAGTAAATTAAGTGTTATGTATTAGATGCTGATAAACAATTCCAGAGCAGTTGTATAATGCTGCATCCACAACCTAAACTATTTTTGTACTCATCAGGAATTTCATATTGAGTGGGGAAAAACCCTTAAGATAAACCCCTTCACATATAATTTCTTCAGTAGCCCAGAAAGACAAAAAATATATTTTCTTACCTGCCAACCCAGTCAACAGCGATACCTTCCCCGTTGGGCACATCATCACTTATCACTGCCTCCTTATTTGTTCCATTTAGGAACATTCGTTCAATGACATTCCTCCCCACATCAATCCAGTATAACCTCTTTTCCACCCTGTCAAAGTCCAGTGCCACCACATTTCTCAGTCCTTGCAAAATGAGAGAGTAAGACTGGCCATCTGCTGTGAGATTTCTCAGATAGTAACGGTTGCTAAAAATAAGGTATGGGGAGATATTACTATTTTGCCGGCAACTTTTTCCATCAGGCTCCCGGATATAGCCTGGGGCACACTTACAGATGTAGGAGCCAGCTGTGTTCTCACAAATCTGGCTACATACTGATGGAGTTTCATTGCACTCATCAATATCATCACAAGTTCGTTTATCAGACATAAGTTTGTATCCAGGATGACAAGAACAGTAGAAACTTGTCTGTGTGTCTGTACAGTCATGATCACATCCACTGATTGAAGGATCACTGCATTCATTTACACCTGGGGAAGGAAAGGAGTTCTATTCAAGGAGCCATCTAGCAGAGTAATAGTGCAGTTACTTTCCAATGCACTCTCTCTCTCTCTCTCTCACTCTCCTTGCAACCCCCTGAAAATGCTGAATGTGGATGTGGGCTGCTGTAATAAAGGAAAAAAGAAAACAACATAATCTAATATAAAATTATTCTACCACCTCTGAAGTCTGTCACAGAGCACCAAGCACAAAGTATGGACTACGGCATATTTTGGAAATGGAAGGGCAATGCATAACAATGTATGAAATACATTTTGTTTACATCATTAGCTCATTGTCACAGTCAGTTACAACAGCAATAATAAGTATGAATTAATTAAAGTAAAAAAATTTGAAAGATAAGTTTCTTATAACTTCAATTTCTGAGTGACAGCCATGGAATAGATATGACTGGAATTAAGGAATTTTCTTAAGAGTCCATTTTTTCAAAGGTGCCTACAATTTTTAAATTAGACGGTACAAATAAATCTATACATACCACATCCTTTTTCATCACTGTTATCTAAGCAATCATCCAACCGATTGCAGACTTTAACCAGCTCAATGCAGTTTCCATTGTCACATTTAAAATGATGGGGAGAGCAGGTCGCTTCTGGTGTACTACAGAGATGTTCCAGCTCATCAGATTCATCACCACAGTCATTATCCCCATCACAGACATAGGCTTTGGAAATGCAGCGTCCATTCTGACAAGTAAACTGGTGCTGTTGACATGGTTCATAGATGCATCCTCTCTCATCACTGCTGTCACCACAGTCATTCCGCCTATCACACCTGAAGAAGAATGAACACTCTCTTCAAATATAAGAAGGCAATCACAGTCCCCAGTGCAGATGGATAGATTCACTCTCACAATGTCCAAAGAAGGTCAATATTTTTGGCTCCAATAGAAGAGACTTTCAGAAACTGGGGTCATATTACATAGTCTGATCCTATGAGTCCTGATAATATTTCCTGGGTGCATTACAGGCTGGACAGAATCAACCCAGTAGAAGTTACCAGTGACAATAAGAAGGATTAAATGATAATGGTAAGCAATGGGAATATTAAAAGGAAAAAAAGCATTTTCAAGTCAAAGCTAATGCACGAATGCAGAGCAGATAAATAGTTTCATTACAGTATGTAGATCTAATTACAACTAAATGGTGGGGAAAAAAAGGTTGAATTAGTTCCTTCACAATAAGCAATTTTGAGAATTTCTACAACTGCTTGGGTAGTTACAAACCTGTATGCATTACGGACGCACAAGCCATTACTACAGGTAAATTCACTTTCTGTGCAAGTTCTTCGTGTGCAGTTCTGGTGTTCATCAAGAGCATCACTGCAGTCAGCATCACCATCACAGACCCATGCCCGAGGAATGCACCTCCTGAGCGGGGGTCGATTGTTGGCACAAGTGAATTCTGCTGCTGTGCAGTTGCGGTTTGCTGAAGGAAAAGCATACTCACTAACCAAGTTATGAGTTACTAACTCTGTGTGACATTCTCCTCCACCACCCACACAAACAGCCTTGATATCCACCCATAATCCACAACAGAGCCATGCCCTGCTGCACATGCACAGACAAATACCACTACACTTTCTCATGTACAAAACTGCACATTGCTGATTGGGAGCCAAAGCATTCCTTAGGCAATGCTGACATGTACAGAAATCTGCATCTTACTGGACTCTCAAATAAGCTTTTTCAGCCAGATTTTCTGGGAGCTGAATAGTTTCTGTCCCCTAGTTCGTTCAAGGTATTCTGCTCCAGGGAGCAAGCAGAGGTAGCAATATTATAGTTATAATATTATAGTTAATAAGGTCAAGGACTATAAGCATAACTAGCTGTTCTCCAAAGAATTAAGAAGCAGGACCAGGTTGGTGAACCTCCTTCCCCTTTGTTCACCCTCTGAACAGCTATGCTTATTTTATTCACTAGTTTTTAAAGATATTAAGCCACAAATATGTGCATGCAGTGCATGATCACCAGGGAGCATTTTCACTGATCTGCTCTAGCTGCTCAGATCATACACACACCCAGATTAATTATGTCTCCATTTCAACTCAACAATTCAAAGAAGAATAATTTTAAAACTAGAACAATATTTTGCTGGGCTTTTTTACCAGTAAAATATTCAATTTTGATTCAATATCATGAAAATGAAGCTAGAGGAAGATTGTACCTCACTCTTAATGTGCACATTTAAGGGGTAGAAAAACTGGCAGTGGGTGACAGTCTGGGGGTTGGTTGTTTTCAAAAAAATACCTGCAGGACAAAGTGCAGTATATACTTGCATTAGCCACGTACCACAATTATGCCTTTGATCCTCATCACTCATATCCCCACAGTCATTATCACCATCACAGATCCACGTTGCTGGGATACATCTGCCATCATCACATCTGAACTGGTCACTCGAACAAGTCCGCATTTGAGGCACTTAAAAATTAACACAATTACTGTGCTTGTTAAACTAACCTGCACGGCCAACAAATCTACTGAGGACTGTATTTCAAGAAGCTTATGACAGTAAAATGTAAAATCAAAGCTTAATTGTAAAATAGTTAATGCATAAAATGCAAAACATTTTCTTAAGCCAAAAGTGCAACTCCAATAATGTGCAAAGTGAGCTACCAGCCCTGCTGAAGACACAGAAGAATCTTGCCTTGTGTTATTCTTACTTTTACAGTGAGAATAATAACTGTTTTAATATCAACTGTCAGTGACTTCAGTTAGCTCCTTCTCTCCTTCCCTAGAGATCACTGTCTTTTTTTTCACCCCCTATCCTACTCTGCTTATTCCCATTAGTTTGTATTGTACATACAGGATTTGTTTACTGTAATACTATGATACCCATATACTGCGTCAACACTTTTCCCCTCTGCATCCCACATTTCCTTTTTCTCCAAATGTAATACTGCATGCATACTTTCTGTACAGCATGACAACTGCTTTTACATGCAAAACAATACCAAAATATTGCTATTTTTTGCCATTTGATTCACTACCATCATAGTCTTAGAGATAGGAGAGACAGAGATAGGAAGTTATACATTAAGAGTAATCACATTACAAGCAATCATTTGTTGCAACTAAAACCTTCATATTCCACACACAACTTTAAGTATTTAAAACTCAAATTATTTAATGTCTCAGATTAGAGACATTGAATAAAACCCAGAAGATACTTACTTTCCACCTAGTCTGGATTAAGGCTCCTGCCTACAAGACAAACTACTGATTTGCCATTACCCACCATGTTATATCCTCTGAGTGCAGACTTACCACAAGAGGCAGGTTCATCAGACCCATCAGCACAGTCTATTCCTTGATCACAGTACCAATGAGCAGGAATACAACGTCCCGATGTACAACGAAACTCACTATTTGTGCAAGTCAGAGAGACTGGAAGAAAAAACCTATGCATGACTTCTTTTTACTCTGCTACCTTTCCAACTTGTTTTAAATTGCTTTTGAGTTCATGTTATGCAAAAAATATTACAGTCCCAAAAAAAGAAAGAGAAGAAATTATGCTAGGAAGGATGTCCTTTCTCAGCTTCTCTGGAAAGAGTTCATTGTACAAAATAACTTGATACTCATATGCAAAAAAATGGGCTTGATTTTCTCCCTGGGCACAGGTATCAGCTAGTAAGCAGACAGAATTTTCCCTGGAAATAGGACTGCATGCAGCAACCTGAGTTGTTCTAAATGTAGAACATGTGTTCTTCATTTACACTTGGGATTTGTGCACAGGAAAATGGTCACATTCCAGTATACTCATTTCTCCAGTGCTCAAACCAGGCATAACAGACTCAGTGCTTTACAGGAAATCAAAATGTGCACGAAGGAAGTAATATCTCACATTAGAGAATTTTCCTCCTACCAATTTTCCTTCACTTGGTGGTAGGTACCTTTTCTTAATGGCAGTGAAAAACAGACCATAGCACTGAGTAGTTCCAACTCAGCATGCTGCAAATACTCTCTGCACTTCAGCCAAGCCCCTTGATCCTGGCATGTATAGGGGTTTTGACAATTTCTTCAGTAATTACCAATACTTTCCTGTGCCCTCTGATGGTTTCAAAATACCAGAAAGATTCAGTCTGGCCTTTTAATTTGCTCTTCCCTGTGCCTTTAATGATGGAAATCAGAGACAGTTAACTATTGCTCATTAACATCTTGGTGTTTCATCTCTCATTCACTCTCTCCCTCTTCCTTGCCCTTCACGACTTCTCAGTTTAAGTAATTCAGCAGGGACATAGACAGCAGAAGGGACAAAACACAACTTTGACAAGCAGAACAAAGCTCATTATAGCCACATATTCTTGACACATTGGTGTACACAGATAAAAGTGGCCACCTTCTGGCTACAAAAATTGAACTCCTATTTCAGAAGAACTGTGGTTCAAGGCATGTACTTTTAGAAAAAATAGTGAAAGCAAAAATAATCTACTCAGGCAATACTAAAACTAAATCACAATCTGAAACTATCCATTATTGATATACCACATTATGTTTTATAAATTGACCAATAATATTTTTTTATGGGAAGAGTACTACCTAATTTCTATCTAATAAAAATGTCCTAGAAAAGCTAATCTGATTTGGAATTAAGACTGGCTGAAAACTAGGCACTTCCATATCCTAACTGGAAGCTACAGTGAACTAGGAATCATATGCTAAAGCATACATAACCACATGAAAGAGCTAAAAGAAATTTGAGACCATAGACAAATTCATTAGGTTAGAAGGAAGAATATTCTAATGTTAAAATTATGGAAAAAGACAGCTCTCTATAATACTTAAGTGCCAAACATCTTGTAAAACAATAAAAAATACAGACAAAATAAGCAAGATGAACAATCCTCAAATGCTATATTAAAACTCTGCAAAAAAGTATCATTTTTTTTTTATTAGATAAAAACATTATTTAGATAATTAGGAGCTAGAGGTACCATGAATATATTACTTCAGCATTATAAAATAAGATGTTTTGAGAATAGTTGGAGTTATATTAAAAGAAGAGAGCAGTGGAATAAATTACAGAAGTATCAGAGAAGTAACAGAGACCCTCTTAACTCTCTTAACTTACCACAGTGAGTAGGACTCTCATCGCTCATATCTCCGCAATCATTATCACCATCGCACAAATATGTTCGAGGAATGCAAATATTTGTGCTTTGACATTTTGTAAAACCAGACTGGCATGTACGCTCCGCTTTAAGGAGGGAGGAAAAAAAGTAAAAGTGGTTTAGAGCTATTTTAAATACTGTTATGCTGTTATTTTCATGAACTGCAAAAGCAGCCGATATTGAACTAATCACAGTTTACATCTTAAAGAAAACAAACATACTGATAACTTTTATAAGGCATCTAATTTTAAACTGTGCCATTATGGGATCACAATACACACTCCTGATTATTAAATATAGTGTAATTAATATAGCATGACACAAAGGAAAAAGCCATTGTCAAATTCCCACTAATCCTATCAAAATATAAACTCTGAATCCAAGTTACCTGAAATAATCTGTTTGAAATCCATAGGATTACTCACAAGAATTAACATTACCTACTGCATGAGCATTTGTTGCTTCAAGGCAGACTACTTAAAGCAACATTTATTATGTAATATCTTAGGGTGTTCCAGAACATAATTTAGCAATTCTATTTGCTTCAAATAACACTAAACAGTACCTGTAATGTAAATTTTTAAAACTTTTGTCCTTTTTGCTGATTTTGTCAGATTTCTTCACATAAAACCACATTTACCTCTTTCTTTGTCTAGAGAGTCAGACTCAAAGAGGTGCTAGGTACTAAGGCTCAACTTACGACAATTCCTCTCATCTGATGTGCCATTGTCATAACAGTTGTTTACTCCATTGCAGACATACTGAAGGGATATACACCTTCCATTATTGCAAGTAAATTCTGTGTTGGAGTCACAGGTTCGAAACAAGCAGCCAAGCTCATCACTGTTATCTCCACAGTCATTGTAGTGATCGCAGCGGTAATGATAGGGTACGCATCGCCCATTGCCACAGGTGAAAGCTGTTGGCTGACAAGTATGGAAAGCTGCAGAAAATTAAAAAGAAAAAAAAATGTGGATAAAATATAATCTAAGTTCTCTGACAAAGTAACAACTAAAATCACAATATATTTTTACCTGCCAGGGCAAACACAGCTGCAAAACGGACTGCATGTAAAGTAAAATACATATTTGAATTAAAAAATCAGAAATTGGCTGTACTTGACAAAAATTCAATACTACAGTGCTTCTGGATTCTAAAGCAAACCACTAGTCATTCAGACCTCAAATCTGTGAGCAAGCAAGGGATCTTTCCAAACTACAACCACAAGATCCATCATCATAAAACCATAGAAGTGATAGAGACTACAGAACAGGCAAGACAGAGTATACTTTCTAAAGCTGTTATTTTAAATGCTTACCACACACACTTTCCAACTCATCACTGCCATCACCACAATCATTGTCGTTGTCACATTTCCACCTCTCAGAGATACAGTGTCCATTAAGGCATGTGAAGAAACCGGTATCACACCTGGTACCATTATCCACAATACAATGCTTATTGTTATTGGCTAAATACCAGCGACCTTCAGAGGGGCACTGACATTCTGCACCAGCTGGACCTAAATTTATGTTTGACAATTAAAAAATATAAAAACAGGACACAAAAAGAGGGAAACAAATTTAGCATTGATGTTTTATATAGGGTTCCATGAAAGTATTCATAGTTGTAACACTGGAAAAGGCAAAGTAACTTTCATAATTCCTGTATGATCTATTTACTTAGATAGTAGTGTGGTGAGTTAGCCAAACTTTTATCTCACTTAAGCAAACCCATTAAAACCCTCAAAAGTGATTTCAGAGCTCCTTAGAGGAACTGAGATCCGAATTTGGAGTATTTTAGTACTTGCTTGTCCAAATGCCTATTTAGTGGCAGCAAGATGGCATGAGATGCTTTCAAATATCACGGTTACGTCCACTGAGACTATCCCTCAAAATCAAAACAGGTGGTCAAAATTTCTTGCAATAGACATACTGCTCTTCTCAAAATTGATGAGAAGTTTGAGTTGTTTACAGGCAAGACAGAACTTCAACGTTATTTAGAAACAGGCACTGAATGATTTTTCAAAGGATCATAACTTCCAAAAATCTAAAACACATGAGACAGCTCTGTAACACTTATGTAATAAAGAAATAGCAACCATAAATTTTTAATGTGTTTTGTAGGAAACATCTGATCAGTATACAGTAAGAATATATAATCTTAAGGCAAGCATATCCTGCAGCACTCACTTCATGTCCCAAGGAAAGTTTAAACCCCAGAAAACAATACCTCAGCTTAAGTTAGAGAAACCCATAATTTTGTGAGGATTCTCAGACACAACCCCTAGATACATTGGTGAAATACTATGATCTTAAACAGCAACAATTTCGATTCCATTTATAAATAAAATAGATATTAAAAAATTGTGAACACTAGGAAATATTTCAGCTGTCCTCATGTGACTAGAATTGTTACAGTCTAAACTCTAATACAGGCAACAGTAATAGCTTAAAGTCATCAAGCATAACAGCTTACCTGGTGCACAGATGTGACTGCAGCCACCATTGAACTGGTTGCAAGGGTTCATACACTGCTGCTGCTTACTTTTTGCCCAGACATGAATATCCATTGGTCTTTGTGGAAGATTCATGATCATCACAATCTGATCTGAGCCATCGTACTTATTAGCTCTATAAATGCTTCGTGTGTTCCAGTCTGTCCAATATATGTGCTGATCAAACACTGTCATTGCAAATGGATGCAACGCAGTGCTAACAATTACCTCACGATTTGTACCAGTGAGAGTGCATCTCTCAATCTTTTGCCTAAAAGAAATTATTGCATCTTAAAAGAAAGAAGTCTTTTAACATATATAACATACTTAACATATATATAAAACCATGCCCTAATCAGTCTAGCAAGTGACATCCAGCATTTCAGTAGTGTTCACCAATATCTCACGTGCTGCTATGCTACTCCACCTCCATTAACTAGTTTGAAACAGAAAAGGGTATGTTTCATTTGACATCCTGAATTCCTTTTTAAAATAGACATCCCATTACAAGTGCCTTGCCCTCCTGCATGCAGCCACCTTATTCCCAGAAGATTCCATAGAGACACAGGCCATGGGATTTGTTGCATAACAGAGAACATCCTTCTAATACAACAAAGATGTCTGAAAAAGAACTTCTATGCTGGAGGAATCAGAGGGGAAAGGTCTGATTGCTGCAGTGGTTTCTCTGAGACCATGGGTGAATTTGAATATTTAGAAAACTAAACCGTTTTTTAAAACTTTCTTCCTGATGGAAGAAATTCTGTGGCATAAATTCAAGGGTCGAGGTCTGCCTGGTAGACAACAGCAGTAATATCAGGCCAAATTCCATAGGTGACAGGCATTAACCATGAGCAATGAATACTGTAAAATGTGTACTAGGATTGTATTTGTTTACAAGACACCTAGGAAAGTCATGAATTGCATGTAAGACAAACAGACAGTGAGTATGTAAGTGCATAAAGCAGAGAACAAAATCTACACTGTGACATAACTTCTTATTGCAAAGTAGTTTCACATCAATATTAAAACTTGACATTGCATTTCTAGTAAGTAATTCTATAATGTTAAGTACCAAATTCAACTGAAATGATGAAAACTAGCTATGAAACAAGGAAAAATAAATAATAAAGCTATTAAAATATTAACCAAATGTAAACCAACAAGTGTGTTATTAATACATACAGATTTGCATCAGCCCAGTACAGCTGCTCTTCTTCATAGTCCAGGGTAAGTCCATTTGGCCATACCAAGTTTGTGCTCACAATAGGCGTTCTAAAATTTCCTCCAAGTGTAGCTCGTTCAATCTTTGCATTTGAACTCCAATCAGTCCAGTACATATACCTGTCAATAACATGATTATATTTTCATAAAACAAAACTCACAAACTCTGCTTTTGGTGGTATTTCCACCCTGGAATCCCTCACTGAAGTGTGCATTGCAAAACTACAGGAAAGGATCTTCTTCCTCTGTTTTGGCTCACATTGACAAGGGAGTCTTCTAGAGGGATCACTGGGGTCCACTGCAGTGAACTTCAGAAAACTTTTTCCAGTTCCTATATAAATCCAGTAAAGTCAGTAAATGTCTGCTGTATCTTTCTTAATTACAACACAGTATAACTGCTAATGAAATTAAAAGCACAGTATAATACAGTAATTTTCCTCTCAGCAAATCTTTTGATACTGAAACAACAATTCTTCTGAAGCATTCAAGGAATACAACAGAAAAAGGTTTAGAGTAATAGGAAGTGTCTGACAGTCTTTGTCAAGGTTTAAACTGTAGTTTCACTGGCGGTCAAAACAAAGTGCAACACTTACCCTCTGCAGGGATCTAATACAACAGCTCTTGGCCGCGGCACCCGGGCAATCACTGTGCGGTTTGATCCATCCACAGCCATCGAGCTGATGGTCTGGTTGAGGTAGTCACTGTAGTAAACTCTGTTGTTGATCCAGTCAAAGGCTATGCCATCTGGAGTCCCCAGGTCTTAGGCACATGCAAGCAAACACACACAAGCTAAGCATGGTTTCCTGAGATACTGCAGCACTCTTCATCTATGATAATTTGGCTACACCAAAGAGTTCTTTGAAATGCCATTGGTACCAGTGCAAATCTGTCCATTTAAAAACCTGGACTAGTAAAACTGAGGAATCAGGCAGACCTGGGTATATAATAGTGTTACAAAGACCTTTCCCTCACACAGATTTAAGTTCTGGTTGCTATTCTTCAAGTAGCAGGAATCCTAACTCACTCCATTGTATTTATTACATATAATTTTAATTTATTATGTATAATTTTATATACAAAATAATATCCATCCAGTTTTATATTTCCATTTAACTGGGATCAAGATGAAATAAGAATCTCAGAAAATGAAAAAATAAGGAAGAAAAAAGAGCATTTAATTAGACAACTAAGTGGTCGACCTTGACCTTTATTATAAAAATACCTGTTGAGCTAGTTGTAGCTGCTGCAGGTAATTTTTTTTAATATCTGATTACTTTTTACTGTATTTCAGTGTACTTACCAGATGCAACTACAGTTGGAGAGCCAATTCCTGAGTAAATACTAACATAACTGATTCTTCCTGTTCCTGAAGGATAACTTTGTGTAAAATATATTCGGTTGTTTATGCTGTCAAAATCCAGGGCCACAGCAGTTCTTAACACATTGACTGTGCGGAAGGGAGGACTGTGGTTTTCAGGATCTAGGTGGATACTTCTGAGGGCATTTTCAAGAGCAAAAATCAGGTAATCATCTGTTGAAATGGAACATCTCTTGCCATCACTGCCTAGTGTTCCAAAGGCACAACCACATTTTGGTATCTGAATGTCAGGAAGGGCAAAACAGAGGTGAGAACAACCCCCATTGTTGTCCAAACAAGGATTGTTGTTGACATCAAGGGGTGAACGTGACTGGAAATTACTGTTGTAAATTGTAACATCCCTTAGCCAATTAATGTTATCTCTTATTACTGTTGGCTGATCAGCATTGCCTGGCTGTTTGCTGGCTTGGAAGATTTTTTTCAGGTTTCGATCAACCCAGATCATGGAATTGCCAAAGATAGTTATACCATATGGAGTTGGATAGCGACTGCCATAACGCACAATTTCAACATCACCACCATCAGGCTGAATTCTTGCAATCATATCTAGGGAATCATCAACCCAGTAAACGTAGCCATTGCTGTGATCTATGGCCAACCCACGAGGCGTGACAATGCCCTCAGACACAAGAACTGTTCTGTTGGTGCAGTCAAGAAATGCACGTTCAATCTTTGGATTTTGCCCATAATCTGCCCAGAAGAGATATCTGTTTTTTGGGTCAACTACTATGTGCCTTGGCATGTCTATGGTAGTTTTCAGAAGTACACGGCGATAAGTTGTGTTTAAACGCAAAACTTCTATAAAAGTCTCTGTCAGGAATGCATTTGTAAAATAAAGATTTCCTGTATACACAAAAACAAAACAAATCAGAAAAGCAAAAGAGAAAGTTAATATTAGCATCAATATCTGAGAAACAAAAAATGCTAAAACACGAAACCAAAAAATGAATAGCCATCATAAATATGTTAGTAGTTGGAAGCATAAGGTATTTCCCTACAATCTGACGAATTAGAAAGAAGGCAGCCAAACTGACAGTAGTCAATAAATTTCTAAATCCTCGTGGATTGCCATGGGTATAAGTAGTACAGCTGCCTTTTAAAACACACAACTATGAAATCCATATTATGGCACAAGACTGTATACAGGAACAAAATTAAGTGTTTGATAGGCTTGTTGGAATGAGTTTTAGGATAGTCATCTATTGTAAACACTTAATTTAGGTCCTGTATACATTATTCCTGTATATATATATTTAGTTCAACTGAAAAACTTTCGCAAAACATAAATACAGTATATATATAAAATTGAGGTATGAATGGCAATTGTTGATTAATACTTTCTGAAGAGTTAATATTTGAATTAATCTCTAATATGTTTAAATAGAAAGAGGAAGGACACATGGAAATTACAGTTCAAAGATAAACTATTTCTGCTTTTTTTACTTTTCATTATAGCTTATGTGTACACAGCAATCTGAGGGTAGATGAAAAGTCCTTTCTTATTTACAATGTCATAAGACAGGTTTTGTGCATTCTTCTCTGGTACATGTTTTCACAGTGATAGTACGTAGCTATGTACAAATGTAGATACAAGAAGAGAGGCCTAAGACAAATATTAAAGCATTAGGAGAGAAAAGGCTCTATACATCTCTGATTGACTTTCACCTTTACACGTAAATATATACGTAAGAGCCGTTCATTCCTTCCTCTTATTTTAAAATCAGTCCATTAAACCGCAAGTTTGAACCGTGGCACTTCCATTAAAAATAGTTCCATTAGAATCTGCTTATGTTAGCCTAAAAATTTTATAATATGTAAAGAATTACCTTCTCCTAAATTCAGCTGTGCTTACCTGCTACCCAGTCAATTGCAATGCCACGGATCCCATTTCGTCCTATTCCATTTGTAACAACATTTCTAAAATAAGAACCATCAGGTTTAATTTTACGTATTGCATTTTGAGAAGAAACTGTGCTACTGAAGTCACACCAGTAAATGAAACCAGAAGGCATGTGAACATCCACATGAAGTGCATTTCGTCCTGAAATATTTTGAAAAGTATTAATTAATGATTTTTTATATAAACTAACTTATTTAAAGTATGTGCTAGGCTAGAAAGAAATGCCAAAACACTAGGCATGACAAGATTTTTTCCTATTATATTTACATACCTCTTCCTGCCAGTGGTACCATGGCTTCAGAATGATCTGATGTCTCTAAACTAAATCCTTTAATTGCAGAGAGCATAGAAACAACTACAAATGAACTGTATGGGGAACAGGTTCTGTTATCAGAATTTAGCTGAAAGCCAGTAGCACAGGCACAGGAGAATAGTCCACCAGGTACAGGCAGGCAAAGCTGCTGGCAAACTCCAATATTATTACTGCAGCCATTTGAGGAGCCGGCAGAATCTGAAAAAGACATATACAGCAAAACAAAAATTTCAACTGCATCATCACAAACACCCATGGATATACACCCAAATTCATACACTTTTATAGTGTTAACAATCAGCTGACGAAAATAAAGATCCTAATCATAATACATTTTAGCACAGATGCGTCAGCAATAGGTTTACTGGTCTCTTGTCATCTAAGAACAATGGGGCCAACAATCAGATAAAACAAATTTGAAGCTACAGTACCAAAATTTCTTAGTCAACACTACTTTGGTAAAACTACATGAGCCAATAGATGCCTTTACTAGATGGGGAAGCATCTCTTTATCAAAACCAGGAAAAATGCTTCTGACACTTTTCCTGAAAGCCAAATCAAAGTATTTCTTTTGAAAGAGCAAACATTCTGTCTCCAAGGAAAGTTTGAGTTTTTGCAAGTTGAATATCCTGAAACACCTCTCTAGAAAATACTCACTGTCTCTGTAATACACACGTAGGCTCTTCAGTCTTGGGACATTATCTCTCAGTACTACTTTGTTTGCACCTGTGGCCTTGTCAACTCGTTCAATTACTTCATAATCTCGATCAGTATAGTACAGAAATGTACCATACACAGCAACTCCCCAGGGATGAGAAAGATGAACCACCAGAGTCACACGATTTGTACCATCCACATTGCCTCTCTCAATCTAAGAAATAATTTTAAAGATTAACATCACATTTCTTGTAGCAACAGTTCAGTGTTATAACATAAAACTAAAATACAACGCATGATACTAAAATTTCTTTTGTGCATGAAATCCTTAGGTACAAGGTTGGAAGAAGAGGCAGGCAGTGTATGATTTCTGATCTTATACTTTTTATGGTATTTAATAACAAGCTGTCCAGATTTTGGTTGGTCCTGCAACTCCCGTTTATAAAACTGAAGTAACTGAATCACTCGTGAGAAGCACAGATGCAGAAGCAGGTAAAGAAGCAATTATTAAAAAAATATCTCCTACCATTCCTGTGCTCGTGACAGCCCAGTACAACTTTTGTTCCCTAATGTCAATGGTAAGGAACTCTACATGGTCCAGGTTGCCAGTGAAGAGGGTTTGTATGCTTGAGCCATCCATGTTTGCACTGGCAATCTTTGCTGGGACTCCACTGTCAGTTCCCTGGTCTGTCCAGTACAACTTCCTGTAACAGACATTATCAGATCTGTTAGCAAAACTGGCAAGAGAAATCAGTGGACCAGAGTCACTTGAGCATATGCCTAAAACCAACTCCTCTGTCAGTCAATACTTCAGCACAGGCTGAACAGAGTTCACATTGAATCAAACCACGATGAAAAAGAGATTATTTGAGAAAGAGAAGAATGCTTGTTCTCTCAACAAAGAGAAACACCTGCTTCTCTTGAAAAAGAGGAATGCCTCTTAAATAATTTTTACAAATCCATAACCTCGCCTATATCAGTCCACGATACCATCAGCAGATAAATGCACTAGAGTACTATGACTACAACAAAAAAGGAGGAGAATAATAATGTTTCAGAGTTGGCTGCAATATTTCAGAGTGAGTTTGGTTTCAATTTTCAGTTAAAACTACAGAGTTGGAAAAAAACTAGATGAAGCAGAAAAAATGGCAAATTGTTCTTTTTGGGAGCAAGCAGCAAAATTATATTTATGTCTTTCTACTAGGCTCAAGTCAGACGTCACAAGATATTTTATGGAAAGACTTTGGAGTTCTCTTTATTCTGGGTTCCCATTTTTCAGGGATTTTTCCACAGTCACTATAGTCTGAGATTCTTTTTGATTAAAAAAATAGTATACACAAGCATTGTAAATTAAGGAGGATGAACATCTATGTAATAATTTAGGAAGCTATGTACTTATATTTTACAGCTTTAAAAAAGTAAATAAATTCTGCACAAATATGAAACAAACAAAATCATGTCAAATTCAGAATGAAATCTGAAAACACTAAACAAGAAGAATACAGAGAATACATTCATAGGCAAAGACAACAGCAGTTTTGGAAGTTTACCCTCTTGCTGGATCAACTGCCAAACCAATAGGCGTGCCAGCTCCCAGAGAGGTGCCATCATTGGTAATCAGTGTTTTCCTGTACATTATGTCACCATGCAGCTTCAGGACCTATGCAAACATTGAACTTATCAGACCACGGAATGTAGAACTTATGGTACTTTTTCAAATTACAGGAACAAAGCCTAAATCAACACAGAGTTGAAATTGCAGAAGACTTTATCAAATACTATGTAGAAAAAGCACATTTTTCTGTATTCTAACCATCTCCCTTCTCTAACACGTATCCCTTGAAGGAGCTGCTTTCAGCTCAGAACCTGCCTATGATAACAAGGAAGAATCCTAGATATAAAAATAGTTAATATCTCAGCTTCCATAATATCTTCAAGGCCTGAATGGGTTGATAAAATTCTGATTTAGGAAGCATCCCATTTCATTTTCTCAAATTAGCTGCCTTTTAATTTAATAGTAGGCATTTATATTTTGGAACAAGAACACTAATGACTGGGCTTATTCACAGTCATTACTGTATTATATATTACTTATCCTCCATTTCCCTACTCTGAATGACAATTTTATCCTTCACATTCTATGAGACTGCTTGTCTCCAGAAAGCTACATAATACATCATCAAAACATTTGGGAATGGATCTTACTGCGTTCAATGGCAGCATTCCTTTACTGTCAGAGGCATTGCACTGGAATCATTGATTTGAAGTAAGGATGGTAACAATAATAACTCTAGTCATCAGAGATATGTGTTAAACACTAGAAGGCTAAGGAGTTGTAGGGAGAAAACAAAAAGAGAGGTTTATATACAAATAAAGTTTGCAGGATAGATCTGTGCACAAATAAAGTGTCCAGAATATGCCGCTTTCCATCTTTTTGACTATGTTTAAATATAAGTTTCTGTTCAAGTTTGTATTTTTCTACAGACAGATTAGACTTTAAAATAAATCTAATTTGAGTTTTTCACTAAATAAATATTACTAATTTCAACGTGTATACACAGCAGTGAAAAATCCAGGCTCATATTTTCGAATTGTCTCTCTTAAATGATTACCTCAATTGACTGTGTCCCTGGGTTACTGTAATACAGGTTTGCAGATATCCAGTCTAGTGCCAGACCAAGAGGAGTACCAATAACAGCTGCTGGAGCAAAAACTGTCCTGTTGGCTCCATCTGACCTCACTCTGTGTATTTCACCCTTGGGAAAAAAATAAGAAAGTTAAAAAAATGTCAAAAGCTGAAAACATTATTCTATTCAGACCACACTAGCACTTTTTTTATACTGCAATCTTTTCTAATGCTAGCCCAGTTCAAAGAGGGAGAAGGCAGAGACAGAGATATAACAGAACCAGGAACAGAAAATCAAGCACAGAAACTAGAGAAATATCTTTTTTTCAGAGGGTGATCCATGACTGACACAGGTGTCTCAGCTCTGTTTGAGAGCAACAGAAGTGTGAGGTGCAGGCCAGGGATACAGTTGAGGGGCTCAGCCCAGAGGCACACATTTGTCAGACCCACCAAAGGCACAGCTAACACCTAACACTTGATCTGTGGAGGCACCTGCCACTTCACTTGTCAGGATTCAACTCGCAGTTAATGGATGTATTAGCCCGTGACCTCCTACACTATTGCATATGTCAGCTGTATCTTCTGGCTGACATCTGTCAAGAATATTTTTTCAGACTACAGGGAAGATGAAATGGATTCTCAAGTACTTAAGTAGTTTTTTGTGCAAAGGTTTGCTTAAACAGTCTATTTAAATACTTTATTGAACTAAACATTCTAACTTTAAAAGAATAATTAAAGAAATTGTACTTTTTTATGAGTGGCATAGAATACACTTTGAAATTAGTTATTTTTAAAATTGTATTTACTTCAGAGCTGCAAAATTTAAAGAAAGCAGGTTGTGGAAAAAAGTAAAAATCTTGTGTGGATGAAACATAATAAGTTTGTGAACTCCTTGTGTTAAAACGTAATTACAGAAATCTACTTATCTACCATCATACTTCTCCAAGACCTTGAATTACTGCTTTTCTTGACAAAAAGAACTGGTTTTAAGTTTCCAAGAGTGAAGACACATTACAGAATCAATAGTTTCCTATCACATCTGTCTCACAGACTAGCATACGTTTTTCCCTTTTGAATGTCCATCCACAAAAATTATGGAGGTTTTTTTGTGGCTTTTTTATTTTTGTTTTGTTTGGAATTTTGGTGTGACAAGTTAGCCTTAGAGAACACATATAATTTCTTAGTTATGATGAGCAATAAAAGCAATTAGTCAAAAAATTATAATTAACTATTAAAAATTTGTTAAAATTCATTTTTAAATCTATAAGCCTCATATGTCCTACCTGGAAATTATACTGAGTTTGCAACCATTTTCTATCTCTATCATGTTACTTCATTAAGTGCTCTGACTAAATGCACATGCATTCATTCTAACAAATTCATGTGCTAAGCGTCACAGTGTCCAAAACCCTGCTCCCATGGAGAAGTGTTCTGGATGTGTTTGCAGAATTGACTCCTAAGTCAAGAGAGGAGAAAGAGTGGACTACAGTACAGCAAGTCTGAGAGTGTGGTCTGTCAATGCTCTCCAGTATTTCCTGTTCATGCCTCCAAGCCAGAAAAAACATTAATCAGATGTTTCTGCTGAAAAAAATAAGAATTGCTTAAAAAAAGAGATGAAGCTTCTTCACTTGTCCTAGGAAAAGGACCGACCAAATAAAAGCCAAAAATGAAAAAAACAAACTCTACACTACAGCAACCAAAAAAACCCTCAATTTCATTCCTTTCTATTTATCAAAATTCTTAACAGCAATGCTAACATATTTCAGTCCAAAATACTTTTTAAAAATAAAAACGGTCTTAATTTAGTGCTTATTTTAAACACAAATACTAACTTACTGGATTTTCAACCCAATAAATCATCTGTTCAGAGTCATCAAAGTCAACATCGACACCATTTTGAACTCCTGCTATTGGAACCATAGCATCATTTGTCTTCTCCTCAGGGTTCAGAGAAATTCCATAAATTATATTCTCTCTTACAGCAATAAGGAAAGGGTGTTCAACTGTAAAAACAAAGAGTAATTCAGAGCTGTTTCTGATCAAGAAAAAGGCATTATGATATGCTTTCCCCCCTCCCACCCCAAAATTCCCTGATGCCGAGAATGGTCCAATACTACCAGTGATGTTTTGAAACTGCTTACACAGAGGTTTGTTCTCTCACTAGGAATGAGGTTATCAGCTACTGAAACTGCTGTAACATTTTAAGTTTCATCACTGTGCAATTACAATGCAAATTCTGAGAAGGAAGTAAATAAGGCAGGATCACTCACTCCCAGACAAAAGAAGGATATTTGTGCAGCTGCTCTAAGCTGTTTTTTCAAATCTCTGAGAAGGGGGACCAGCGAAAGCTCTGAGGATTCTGCAGGGCCTGCCTGTGATAGGTTCTAATGCTTATTGAGCAGGACTCACAAGCACAGAATGATGTCCCAGCGGCAACTGCCGATCATTATTATTAAATATAGCTGCAGTACTGTTTTCTTGTTTTATCCCTAAGGGAACAGACATACTCCCTTATTATAGGTAAACTTGTACCCTTATGCTTAAATCTTATTAACAAAGAGCAACTCATCAGGTGATCTGACAAAATGTATCAGAGAGCTGCAGAGTGAGAGTCAGCAATGGCATTTCTCATCCGCTAGGGACTGGGGAAGAGAATCTCCTGAACACAGATTCCCCTCTTCCTTCTGCTTTGGTCTTTTGAGAACAAATTCTAGTCTCTTCTTCCCATAGGCACAAGCTACCACTTAACAGGGAACTGGGCTGCTGTAGCAGTAACCCATTTCCTCTTTTATTATAGATCAAAGGCTTGGTTGGTTGGTTTCATTTTGATTTTCTTTACTGCCTGCTTAATACATTTATATAAATTTTGCAGTAAAAATTTCAATATGAAAAACCACAAAACAAAACATCACTGCAGCTCCAAAAATTATTCTCCATACTTCTCTCTGGCTGCTATAAGTATTTGTCAAATTTTACTGCTTCAAGTTTTACACCTATGCAAATCTATACAATCTGATTAAACCTCATTCTTTCAAAGGAAAATAGAGCATATTTGCTGAGATATAAAGATATTAAAACCTGTGTAGCTTCATCAGACTAGCATTAATATAACTTCTGCAATTCTTAAGCTTAATACAATTTACACAAAATATTACATCATTAAATTATTTGCTGAAACTTCTTGGAGAAACTAAAGAGAAAATAGTTGCAATATCTTGTTCAAAGATAGTAGGAGTTCAACGTCAAATTTCTTAAATCACTTTGAAACTGTCAATCTAAAGTTGTAAATTAATAGTAATGTATTTTTATATTAAATATGCACATGTACCATGTTAATACAATATTTTAATATACACAAATTCCATTGTTGCCAAGCCAGCTTGCTACATTACCCAATTTGAAATGTGGCTTAAAATAAAGTAAGTAAAAGGGCAAGTTTTCTTTATCTTACAGAAAGCTAAAAATGGTGCAATCTTAGAATCAATGAAGTTGGTAGTATTTAATATGCAAACTAAGTAAGCAGACACCAGCAATATCACTGTTTGTAGAGACACTGGGTAATCAAATGCATGCAGCTCAGTTTAATCTTTCTTCTGAAAGACTGCGCTGGCCCACTAAAGTATACAATGACAACAAGGATAACAGCAAATATTAGTGAAGAAATGAAAGTTATCTATTTGTGTGTAAGCATATAATCATAAAACAGCCTGGGTTGAAAGGGACCTTAAGGACCATCTAGTTCCAGCCCTTCTGCCATTGGCAGGGATATTACTCATAAGAAATTATTAAAATATTTTACAATGAAAAGAATCAATATATTTTTTATAACTTTTTCTGGTGTGCTGACCTTCAGCAAACACATTTTTTTAAATTACCCAAATCTGTAGATATTTTCTAGATACTGTTTTAACTGTATAAATTAAATCTAAATAGACAAAAAATAAGCCCATACAGTTTAAAAGAATTGTGCTTCACAGAAAGACATTGCTACTTCTCTCTTACTGAACATTTATGTCAATAAAAGGGCCACAGTTGTACCTAAGCAGGCACAGGGAAATTTGCAACATGTGAAAAATAAAGATAAGAAATGTCAGTAGCTCAATTCTTTGGTAGAATTGGGTCAACCCCTACACATACATGTGCTTCATCACTGCCATGTTCCATTTCTTTCATCATCATCCCTCTATAAGCCTGCACATAATCGAACAAGTGCAGATTTCTAAAACAATCTCTCTTTTTCATAATAGATTAAACAAATTCACACTTCAATTCAGATTATATAAATTGCTAATTCCCTTGCTGCTGACTAAGAAAAATGTGAATGCAATGCAGCCCTCTAAAGAGCACATTGCTAAGTATCAAGCAGGAAAAGAATGTGATATTGGCCTTTAACAATTAGCTAGTTTTAAAAGAAGAGGATCTTTTGACTGACAGATTTCTAGTGTTAGTTCATCCCAAAGATAATTTCAATTAAACTTCAATGATTTGAAGCTTCCTAATATAGAGAGGCATCAAAGCATACTTAATATCTGTACAATTGATTGAAAAATTAATAATGAATGCTTCATCTGACAAAAGCAATGTGGTCAAATTTCTAGTCACAAATTGCCTACCACTAATTTGAATTTATGTGACTTCTTTTTAAATGAACTGGCAAAATTACTTTTACAAATCACTGAGATCCATGGCCTACCCAAAGAAAACTCAGTGGTACCTTTTGATATGAAGTTTTGTATGCAAAGGTTAGTTCTGTTACAGCTGCATCACATGTAATCACATGTAATTTTAGGCTGTCCTTCCAGACCTTCTGCATTTGGCAAACTACTTTTTTACTCTGAATAGGGGAAAAAGCTGAAGATGAGAAATTTTGATCTGAATTTCAAAATGCAGTAGTTTAGATAGGCTGAAAAGCGTGATAAGCAACAGGAAGAACATTTCAACTGATTTGAGGAAATCAAAACATCGTTAATTACTTCTGAGCAAAACACAGACTGAGAATGAAAGTGATAGTCACTTCAAACTATATATATATATATATACACACACTATATACTATATATATATATATATATATATAAAACAAAACCTACCAGTGCTAAAGGAGAACTACTTGTGCTATTTATTGTGAAGGATAAAAATAGCATCAGGAATGGGCATAAAATGGGGAAAGACTATATTTCAATAGAAAATTAGGTTTCAAATTATCAAAATTTTGAGGTTAGGTGAATTTTAGGGGCAAGAACCCAGATTAATCTAAAACTGGAGCTTGACTGGTGGAAGGTGACATATGATGCAACATAGTCAAGGGCAACAAAGAAACAAACTTCAGTGACCAAGGAAGTCCCTTCCAGTCCTGCATCCTGACATTCTTACAATCACAACCCCTGTTTCCAAAATGAATACTTACAATGAACACAACAATCTGCCACAGTACATTTTCATTTTTAACTGATACTAAGCTCCTTCAATATGTATTCCAACAGCCAAACATTCCATGTGGTGAGAAATTTTTAAGTGTGGCTTCTTTAAAGTGCTTATAAGAAAATTAATTTCATTCATTTTCCCCAAATTAAGATTCTGAATTGCTGATTCAGTTCTTTCCCAAGCCTGTCTTCAAAGCTTTGGGCCAAGTATACTCCATGTGTCCTAAATGAAGTCTGGAGTGACCCAAACTGATTTCATTAGCAGCAGCCCACAGAATTATGCATTTTGCCTGGGAGAGGGATGGACTTGACAATCTCAGGTCGTTTTTATCACCTTATTATTACTACCCTACCTCTCATGCAGTTCCTGTTATCAGGAGAAAGGAGCCATCCTGAAGGGCAAGCACAGGAAAAAAAAAGTGGCCCAGATGAAGAAAGTAAGCAGAGGTGGCTACAGGGGGATGATGCACAGGAATTAATACCTGAAAATAAGAAAGGAACTATTAGCAACTATAACAATATAAAGCAACTAGAGAGAATATTCTGTCTCATTGCTACTGACAACATCAACCCAAAACTAAAGACAGTTTTGCTATTTCTTTAAGATTAAAAGAATGAAATTATTTCTAAGAACCACAAGCAATACAATATACTTGTAACAGGATAAAATTTTCCATGGAAAACTAGTACATTATCATAGTGATCTTTGCAACTTTATGCATCATAAAATATCTTTCAAACTCCATTTCAAACTTTTTTTAACTGCACGAGGAAGCCTGGGGGATTTGTAGTCCTTGACTGTAATAACCCTTCTAGATGAGGGAATTAAATTATTTGCTAAAACTTCTTGGAGAAACTAAAGAGAAAATAGTTGCAATGTCTTGTTCAAAGATAGTGGGAGTTCAATGTCAAATTTCTTAGATCACTTCAAAATTGTCAATCTAAAACTGTAAAATGGGAAAAATAAAAAGACATTGAAGGTCTCTCCTGACTGCTATTATTGCTATACACTAAAATTCAGCCTAAATCACTTCCACAAACTTGCTGCTGAAAACAAAAATCATCCTTAGCAATTACAGCAGACTTTATTCCAAAAAGCTTGGAAGTTCCAGGAATTTACACAATTTTTACTAAAATAAAAACTAACAAGAACTGAAAACAAATTAATATGACAGTAAAATAATGGCATAAACTCAGAACTCAAACTGTAAGAAAAATGTTCATGTCATCAGTATAAAGAATCTAAACTCTGGTTAGTGTCAGATCTAATGATTTACAAAATAAGAGAGTGGATGACAGTTTTATTCCTGTATTTGGAATTTCAATCAGCATGTAATTATTTCTTCATTTGTTAACATCAGTATGTTTTGCTATTCTGCAAGTGCTCTATTCCCTCCTTTTTTGCCTGGCCACACAAAGTACAGTAGAATAATTCAAAATGAAAAATTACAAAATGTACTAAATACAATAAAGAAAAAAAATTCTCCAGGAATATAAATTTTTTAAACCTTTGACTGTAAAATAAAATCTCTCAAACCATAATTATGATGAATAAATTAATGTTATGCCCTGCTAACTGAACAATTTGCAGTGAGAATAGGTGGCTTTAGTTCTGAACACGTCTGAGGAAAGTTTTGTTCCAAAACAAATCCAGCACTGAAAGTACTAGTGCCTTACTCAGATGTAAGTCTCCACCTCCCCTGGCATAGAGGTATATTTCAAGGAAATAAACAAAAAAAATTAATATTTATTATATTATTAATATAATAATATAATACACATACACAAGAAATATAACTCAAGCTGAAAGATAATATTCATATCAACATGCTTCCCACTTTCCAAGTAATGCCATGAAATAAAAAAAGTCTGATATTAAAGATCTCTACCTAACAGAAATAATGTAGGGTTTTTTTTTACAGTCTTTCAGCAGCAAGACATCACTTGCACAAGACTTCAGAGAGAATATTTAATGCAGTGAAGGGGTTTATTTATCATTATTGTTTCATTGACTAAAATAAAGTAGAAGTACTTACAGAGAAGGTTGATAACAGTAATCTTTTCAAAAAGAATTACTACTACACAAGAAATCGAATCTAGTATGCCACAGAGAGAATTTTTTTAAGTTGAAATGCTTTCCAAAAATGTTTCAATTGTCTTATAAAAACATTCAGAACAAAGTGCAAGAAAATGATGCATACTACTTCCTTATTATTCTTTTTGACTAGTCATTATCCTGAAATGCTGCCTAGGTGGTTACTTTCCCTAATACCAGATTTAACAGTTGCAAGTCAACAGGATGAATATTTGCTTGTTTTAAGCAACCTATTTGCTGTTTTAACCAACCTATTTGCTGAAAAGACTGTTCTTGGTGTTTCAGTGCATACTTATTTCTGCAATTACCAAAGTTCTTTTGATGAACTTACCATTAGGCTGCTTTACAGGATGGACTGCCACAAGACCCAAAGGCTGGTGAATGTTATAAATCATGACTGTCTGGTTTCCTCCATGCCATTTATTGGCCCGAATTACTCGATTAGTATAGCGATCACTCCAGTACACAAAATCTTCAAAGACAGTTAGCCCATGTGGATGTTGCAATATCTAAAAAGTCAAGGTAGATTGCAAATTTACTTCTGGCGATTTGCATATGTAAAGTTTGCAGTGAAGTAATAATAGAGATGAGCACAATTTTTAAATAAATAAATAACGAAGTAACTGTATCTCAAGAGACATTTTTCAGGAAGAAAAAATCATCTATTGTCTGAAAACATTAATAATGAGGAAAATATTTTTTTAAAAAAACTGAAGTGTTATACAGACCCTGTGAGATGAAGAGAATGAGGGATTAAAAAAGCAGTCTACTTTGGGCAGAACCCACAGATAAGGAGCCAACTGTAGATTTTCAAGAGCAAAAGAGGAAATGTCTAGTGAGAATTAGGGACCTGTCAAGAACCTACATTCCTGATAAGCTCCCCTAAAATTTACCAGAGGATCAAAAAAGGTGGCTTACCTAGATTTCATATAACCAGAAGTGGAAAGATTGCCTTGGCTCCTATTCCACACTAATTGTCTCTCCAGCCAAAAGTAAAAGCCCCAAGAGTCAATTATTAAAAACATTCACCTGGTTATTGATACCAGTTTCTGTGTACCAGCTGAACATCTGCACTATTGCATTGGTAAAAAGACAATGCTACAAGCTGCCAGCAGCAATTCACTAGGAGATAGACTGTAAGAGGAATGGTCTTGATGGAGTTGCTGCACACAGCAAGCAGCAACACAAAACACTTCACTGTTCTCAAGAATAGTAGCAATAATCACTCACAAAAGACCAGGAAAAGTTTTTCTAGGCTTTTTGTACTATATTTGCCTATGGAGAATGCACCAGCAGTAGCAGCAGTGTCAGATTTCATACATGCAAACAGAACAGATGGCAATGATCTAAAGCACTAAGTCTATATGCAGCTCCAGACTCTGCTGAAGATCTCCCAAGAAACTGAATAGGATATACAATTTCTCTTTTTCCAGCAGCAGGAAGCAGATAAAATACTTCACATCTGCTTCACTCAAGAATTTTGAAGAACAAAACACCCAAGTCTATGACAATAATATATTTTTAAGTACTATCAGCAGGGACATGGGAAAACAACAACTCCTTATTAATGTCTTACCAGATCACTTGCAACCACCTGTCGTCTATTGTTTCCATTGTAATCACAGAAATCAATATAATCAAGATAAGCATCAGCAAAATAGAGAAGTTTATTTGGATAATCAATGGAAAGTCCATTGGGCCAGTAGATTTTATTATTAATAATCACTGAGCGCATTTTGCCATCCATGCTGGCTTTTTCAATTCGAGGGTTTTGGCCCCAGTCCGTCCAGAACATTACATGAGCACTGAAAAAAGTAACCTGTGGTTAGCAGTCTGGGAAAAAAAACTAGCTGCCTATTGAGAAACATTACATAAAGAGTCATTAGCCAAAAAATAGACACAATCTTTCCAAGAACAGTCCTACACAATGATACTGAAATAATTTATTTTAGCAATATGCATACCTAAGGTATTAGAGTAAACTCTGTTATAAAAATTCTTTTAATACTCCTACTGCTGTTTCTATTGGTTGATAATACAAGCATATAGAAGCTACTGTTGTCACTGGTTTTTAATGTTGATTATAATCTCATTCTCCAGTTGCTACATAATAATTTAATATAGGTTTATACTCTAACAGGTATGCATTGATAATGTTAACAGCACTGAAACTGGCAGTAAACAGAGTTCAAGGCATTGAAGTTCTCAAAAAAAGAGTAAAAATTTATATATGAGTAGTTCAAATCGTCACATCAACTCTATACCACTTGCTGTCTGAAATGGGAAGGTACTTTTGTGATAACAATAAAATCTAGATAATTATTTTAGACTTGAAGCTATGAAGGTAGGCATATGACATGAAATCACATATAAGCTTGTGGCATACCACCAAATGAAGTGATACATCATAATTTTGAATTAATACTTATTAAGTAGGAAGCAAATGTAGAAAAACCCTTTATACATAAAAAAAATCTTGTTACACTGAAACAGAGCAACTTATCACCAATAATTACCTCATGATTTGAAACATTAATCAACTCTGCAAACACACTAAATTGTTAAAAGTTCTCTTCCACTTGTCGTTTACAATTCCAATACAATTTGGGCATGTCTCAAATTCTATTAGTGACATCATAAAATAAATATCTTTATAAAAAATATTTGAAAAATCTTACTCAATTCTGGGATCTAACACTAGTCCTCTTGGGTTTGTTATATTTTCACTAATCAGCACAGTCCTGTGGCTCCCATCCATGTTGGAGACTTCAATAGTTTCCAGAACAAAGTCTGTCCAGTAAAGGTTACGACCCACCCAATCTACCGCTATACTTTCAGTCACAGTGACACCACTGTCAAACACCTGTTTAATAACAAAAAAGCAGGTTGTGGGGAGGAAAAAAAGATTATATTAAATTTTACCCTTTTCATTTCTATAGGTATGGAAAATGATGAATCAAGTTTCCAATATCTTTTATATCTATTAAGCAGAATGAATCACAATATACATATTCAAAATTATGGCAAAGCATAAACCCAAACACTCCTACTAACTTCAGCAGGTCTATTGAAGAAGAATTTACTAATAGGAAAATCAGCTTTTATTTTCACATTTAAAAATGGGCTTCCTGAAAGCAATCCGTTTCCTATTTCAAACTATGTGAAATGCTAGCTAAGCATCTTCAAAGTTGTTTCACTTTGTTATCTCTCTTCTTACTATATTTGGATTTCTCTCTTCCTCTTTGTAAACTGAAGATACAGCATCTTCATTTTCTCTCCATAAAAGACAAGAAAATTTACTCAGCAAAACTTACTATTTTTCTGTCAGTCCCATTTTTATAAGCACTCCAAATTTTATCCTGTGTTGTATCAGACCAAAAGATACGATCTGTGATGGAATCAAAATCAATAGCCACAATATTTGTCCCATCCCGAACCAGAGAATAAATACTGTGTGACTGAGAAGTGATGTTATCCACAACGATTTGGTTACGACTTGCCACCAGCAAAAGAAGATTCCCAGATTCTGTGAGAGGAATATAAATTAAAATAAACCAATGAGTTACTCAGCAGTAACTGGGAGAAAAATAAATACTGAGTAATTTAACATGACTTTATAGCATCAAAACTCTAGTATCTAGATACACATATTGAAAGGAGAAATTCAAATCAATTCTCAGGCCAAGATACAGTATCATATCCAGTCTGTCCATCCTGACTTTTAAATCTACCTTGCCTTTTCTCCATAACTCTTCCTATAGACTTCCCTTCCAGGCTCCTATCTGGACCTTAGGTCCTATTTCCCATTGTGTAACCCATTTGCTGCTGACATCCAACTCTCATTTCTCCATAAACCCCTTTCATCTCTGACTCCTGTTTCAACTCCCAAAGTTTTTGGTACTTCCAATTAATTTACTCTGGCCTCCCTCCTTTGTAACCTTTTGTAACATTCTCTTTTTCCCCCCTTTAGACCATGTGGGAACTAGGGAGGAGAAACAGATAACAGGAAAGCCATAGGTTGCTGTAATTAGGTTGCACAGATAAGATGCTGAAAAAAACTGAAGAGTAGCAACCACAAAGACAGTAAAGTACAATAAACTCCCTATTAATAATGGCCAAGCTTATGTGCAGGAAAATGCAAATATCTTCCACTACCTGAATGTATCCATAAAGCAGGAAACCTATAGAGACAAATTCCACTGGGTATATGGCTTCTCTGCCCTGTCAGTGTACTATATGAGACAGAGGACAACTGGAGCCTAGGCTGTATCAGTGATGTTTGCTCTTTACAAATGAGTAAGGTACAGCATGGGTACCAGGTAAATCTTATGAAAGGCTGGAATTTAAATACTTCGTAAGCACTGAACTTTATGAACAGTTAATTTTGGCCTATGGTTTACAAGTCTCTGACACTGGTTTTCTTCAAAACATTATTTTTGACCATTGCAGGCTAAAAATAACAGCATTCATTAAAATATATTATTTCAATGATATATTAGCTTCTAAATAACCCCTCAGCTGACAGTTTGAATTCTCAAGGTCATCTGCCATGAACAGCTCTAGGTGGCCATTTACATCCACTCTTTATGAAAGAAAACAATTCATAATGGCAAAGTGTTGGGGGTTAGGATTTTTCCTTTTGTTACTTTCTCTCAGGGAATTTTCTCCCATATATTGCTAAGAGACAGTAATGACTGGTACTTGAGAAAGACAAAAGACAAAAGGCCAAGGAGACGGGGGATGAGTGCAGCTGGCTGAGAGGCATTATCTTGGGAAAGGCAGCAATACCACAAGATTTTGGCTGGGGGGCGAGGAGCTGGACTCGGCTCTTCTTGCTCTTGCTGTCAAGCATTGGAGGAGGATGGTCAGAGGAAGATGGTCTGAGAAGCTGTTGCCACTGCCACCGCTCTGCCCTGTACTGCTTCTTCCTTACTGTGGGTGAGCCTCTGCTTGTTAAGAGCAGCTGTTGGACTGGGACTTTATTAACACCCTACCTCACCATCCACCTGAGTGCCTCAGGGGAAAACCCAGGACCCCAAGCCCCCTCCAAAGGACCATTTCCTGGATGCATTCAGGAGCTGGGCTGCTGCTGCCCAGCCCCGCCATTTTTCTGGCACTGCTCTGGGTTTTTTGCTACACTCTAACCCTGCACCCCAGCCTGTGGAAATCCCCTCCGCTCCTGCTACAGCTGTGGGGTTTCTGATACATTTTGATTGCTACTCTGGAGTGTGCTTGTCCCTGCCGTTCCAGCCTCCGCTCGGAGGTTCCTGCTGCAGCCCATTTCCCATCCAGCCCGCCCGCCATTACCCCGTGAGGGAGACGCGGCCGAGCTCGCGCCACAGCGCCCCCTGCAGGCCCAAGGGAACCATCGCAGCGCCCCCTGCCGGCCGTGACTGTAACCACACCAAGGGCAAGCGCCTGCAGCCGGGACAAGGCGCTCACCGTGGGTTTCTGGTTTGGCTGGCTGTCTTGTTACACATAGACATATCTATAGATACATTAATAAAGAACTCTTATTCCTTTTCCATATCTTTGCCTGAAAGCCCCTTAATTTCAACGTTACAATGATAATTCAGAGAAAAAGAGGTCATATTTTCCACTCCAAGGGAGGTTCCCACCTTCCGTGGCAGATACCTGTGTTTCAGACTGAGACACAAAGCTGGATAGTTTTCAGATATTGCTGTCATTCTTCAGACTGACATCAAAGTTTCTCACCTGCTGCCTTACAAGTCCTCCCGTTGGCTTCTAGAATGTATCCTTCATCACAATAACACCTAAAAGACCCTCTCTCATTGTAACAGTGCTGACTACAAAAGCCTGGAGGGTCACATTCATTAATATCTTCACAGGTCTTGGAGTCATTTGCAAGCTGGTATCCAATAGGACAGGTACACTGAGCTCCAAAAGGTCCTTGAATACATTCATGAGTGCAGCCAGCATTATTGTCAGAGCAGCTTTCCTGATCTGAAGTTGGGTTGGGGAAAGAGATAAGCAAATAGTCAGCAAAGGCTTCCTATGATAAGTTTAAGTCTTTGCAATTGCATTATTAGCCTAAGACTGCTGCTAAAATGACTGCAGAATCATCAGCTATGCAATGTGAGAATGGGCTATACAACATACACAGTGCACATAAAGGCAGGTGACAACATTGCATGTACTGAATCGCATCAAATTAATGCCAAACAGAAGGCTAAGTACATACAAGAACTTCTTCAAAAATAGCTAGAATCGCATCAAATTAATGCCAAACAGAAGGCTAAGTACATACAAGAACTTCTTCAAAAATAGCTAGAAATTTACAAAAATTTACTCTACCACTCCAAACCTAAAGTTGTATAAATAATAATTTAAAATAGTTTATAATCATACCTGGCTGGGGTTCATCTGACAATGTGCATTGATTAAAGAGAAGGAGGAAAGAAGGAAAGAAAAAGATTATGTTTAAATCAATTCATAATCAATATAAATACAAATTATGGCTACACATTAATTTCTTGATTTTAATCATGATTCTTGAAGTTAAAAATTTAAAAGAGAATATTAAGGACTGAATCACATTTCATCTGAATTTCAAGCATACTATACTTTAGTAAATGTGTTCAGGAACACAAAGTTCATTCCCATGTAGTTATATAAAAATCTAGAGTCAGTGAAAGTCACACCGGAATTCAGAGCACAAGACCAGACATAGAAAATGAATTCCTCATTCATCATTGTAGTGCCTTTTCACTGAAAGCAAGTTCCACTTAGAAATTTAAGCTCAACTTACACTGTGCTTGCATTTCTGCTAGAAACACTGTGACATTAAATAGAGCATGCTGAATATTCTATTTCTTTCTGAAGACATAACATAGTTTATAGTAGATGTTGAACAGTAACTTACTGCACAATGGAGATTCATCAGCTCCATTAGGACAATCAGCAGAATTATCACATACTTTGCTGAGATTCACACAGATACTGTGACCTGGACACTGCCACTGCCAGCTGGGGCACCGGAAAGGTTGAGTCGGACAATCTCTCTCATCACTCATATCCCTGCAGTCGTTATCACCATCACAGATCCATGCTCGGTACACACAGTTGCCATTATCACAGCGGAAAAGCGATGGAGGACACGTTCTGGCAGGACATCTATGGTGTTCATCTGAGCCATCTGCACAATCAAGATGGCCATCACATTCCCAGTTATCAGGAACACAACTGCCATCTGACTGACACTGGAACAGAATCACAGTCACTCAATCTACATGACATTGCAAAATGTGAGCAATTTAACTCCTACTTTAAATTGTGGTCAACAAGGCAATTCAAATATTTTTATACTTTGAGCAAGCACATATTTATATCTATGTACCTGTCCGAAGCTACAAAAAATCAGTTTCTCTTTCACCACCCTGTGTTGTACCCTTTTAAGTAATTTAAGTGTAAAAAATTATTCAAAAAAGAAGTTTAACTCTCATGAATACCAGTTTTTTTAGATTAATAGACTTAATTTTACTTTAAAATCCTGAGACTGAAATGCCAAGTAAAACAAAATGTCATAGCCAAAAGGAATGCAACTCTCCTCTTTGCTTGGACCATCTACTCTTGCCAGCACAATCTGCTTAGTCTACTCCAAGATGATTACAGGAATGGAGCACCTCTTCTACAAGAAAAGACTAAAAGAATTGAAATTGTTCAGCCTTAAAAAACAGAAAGCTTAGGGGTGACCTAATTGTGGCCTTTCTCATAGGCTCCTTTCAAGTACTGAACGATGGGGAGAAAATTTTTACAAGGGCATGTAGTTACAGGACAAAGAGGAATGGCTTCAAAGAGAAAGAAAACAAGTTTAGATTAGACATTAGGAATAAATTCTTTACTGTGAGGATGGTGAGGCATTGGAACAGGTTTTCCAGAGAAGCTGTGGATGCAATATCCCTGGAAGTGTTCAGCACCAGGTGGGATGGGGCTTTGAGCAAATTGATCTAGTGAAAGGTGTCCTTGCCCATGGCAGGGGGGTTGAAACTAGATTATGTATGGTTCCTTCCAACCCAAGACATTCTATAATTCTATGATATTCTTGTGCTGGAACCTGTGTTTGAAATTCCTGCTCAGGAAAATGATGTAAAGACAAGTTTCCCTGAAAAGAATATAAAGATTTCAAGAACAGTATTTGACATGGCAGATTAAAGGAAATTTCCAGAAGCATAACTTAATAACTGAAGTCTTTCTTTCAGCATCAATATACTTACGGCAATCAGCTTCATCTGAGTGATCATTACAGTCAAAAACACCATCACAGTGGTAGTAGGTGCTGATACACTGGTCTCCACTTAGACATTTAAACTCTGTGGCACTGCAGTTATATACTATAAAATGTAAAAATATTGAATGTTATTTATTTATTTATTAAATTTTATTTATTTATTTATTTGTTTGTTTGTTTATTTAACAGAGTTAGACTGCATCAGATTTACCCTACAGGTGCTTAAGTCTGATATGGTATCAATTCCACTGAAGACCATAACTTCCCTGAGATACAGAAAATGCAGTGACTTAGTAATTTACAGAAAACAGAGGAAACTGATTTCAGCCCTCCACAACCAGCCCAGAGATCAAAAGCATCACAATCAGGGTTAATTTATGGATAGCTTTATTATGCATTCTTCTGTCTTGGAGCTGGTAATACAAGGTCACCAAAGACTCCTTTGGGAGCAAGGATGAGGAAACAATAAAGCAGCATTCAACAAAGTTATACTTACTGCAGTCATGCTCATCAGCACCATCTATACAGTCTTTGTCCCCATCACAGACATAAAACGGATCAATACAGCGATGGTCTGGACACTGGAATTGCCTGGGTTCACAAGTACCTGTGAAAGCTTTTAAGAATGACAATAAATGCAAAAGTGTTTCTTGTCTTTTGAAATCAGCATATTGCTGAGAAAGTAGAAAATTATGCCTAACTTGCAGCATATAATGCAGCAACTAGCAATCATATAAATTACAAGCACTAATAAATCAATATCAGGTAATTTTTATTTTTATGTAGGCTTGGGCTCATGGAAATTAAACAAAATTTACCACATAGTGGTAAATAACTCAAAAGACAGTATATGTATAAGTATACATACTCAAAAGAAAGTATATTACTTCTGGTAAAAACTTCCAGCCTAGGTTAGCTGACCACCACTACCCATTACTGAGATCACTCATGAAGTACAAGTTTAGCCCATCTCAGCTCTAACTGCTTTTTGTTAATTGCAGTGGATGACATTATGCAGCACCATGATTACAATTATCGCATTTGCCCCTTTTTATTTATTTTTTTATCTCTCAGCATTCTACTTGGCCCTGTAACTTCAAATTAGGCAAGTTTTCCACATCTTAAGGACCACAAAATATAAGTCTAACTTAGATACCAGTCCTTTTTTCCCAATTTCATTTATCATCCTTATACCAACAGATATATCTATGCAGATATGCACAGTTGACTATAAAACAACAGATAGTCATGATACTCACTGCAGTTTTTTTCATCTGAGCCATCACCACAGTCATTATCAGTATCACATAACCAGATTCTTGGAATGCATCTTCTATTATCACAGGTGAACTGGGTCGCAGGGCATGAAGAGGGTTCTTGTGTAGGACAATGCAATTCATCACTGCCATCAAAACAGTCATTATGTTTATCACAATGCCAGCGACCCGGAATACACTGCCCGCTGGCACAGGTAAACGCTGAAGAAGCACAAGTATTGTCTAAATTTAAAAAAAAAAAAAAAAAAAAGTCTTTATAAAAAGATCCCCAAAACTTGCCTTTTCTGCAGCAGTTATCAGTACATTCATTACAATTACATTACAATGCCTAAAATATACATCAAATTCTAAAGTGCACATTGCTTAGAATTAAAATGTCTGTTATGCAACATGCAGTATAACTGAAGAGAATACTTACAAACTTTTTTAAACTGCAGGAAGCAATAAAAAATTAAACTGTTAAGCACTCCCTAACAATCTAAACAACAAGAAAAGCAACTTCTCATAAGCATTTGCTTCCCCAAAAGATATTCTAGTTATTCTAAAATGTCCCATTAATAACAAACAGTTTATAACTCAGTCATACTAGTTAGTCCTTTTCATTATGGAGCATATTTTACTACTATGTCCTATTTTCTTGTTTGTGTTTTAAAAGAATTAACTCTGAAGAAGCACCAGACATGTTATAAAAACATCTTTGATATCTTCAGTATATTAACCTCTCTTCAATGCCTTATCAACCATGATTACCCCACTATTCTCTCAATTTACTTGAACAACAAATCATTTTGTGTGAGACACTTTACTGTAAAACTAGGAAATTAACCAAAGTGCTTTTAATTTACTTGATTGATAAAATCCAGATGTAACAAATAGATCAGCATTGCCCAAATATTATTAAAACTACATATTTTATTCTGATGTTATGTGAAATAAAAGGTGCTGCTTTAATCTTAGAGGAAGGTTAGGCAATGTACATGGTTTTGTTACTTTCTTATGGTGCTATTTTTTAAGTGTCTTCATCTTTACTAGGATGGCTTCCTCCTCTCCATGTACCCAAATAAGGCAAGCTATTGATATTCCAATATCTTTCAAAATTTACACAGAATTAAGGATAAAGACAACTTTTTTCTTTATAAAATAAATTTTTGTTACTCTGTGAATTAAATTTTGAGAATAGCGAGATATGAATATTTTCACACATTGTTTAGGTGGCTGGTACTGAATCCTGTATTACTATGATATACTTTCCAAAGTAACTAATCTCACAGGAAGATTTCAGGATTTATTCACAGATGCAACCCTAAAAAATTGGAGTTTATTCCAATGAAGCCGTACCAACTCATTAAATTTTCTGAACTGTAAACAAGGAACACTAACTGCAGATTACAGGGATTACTTACTTAAAGAACCACAGTTTTGCTCATCACTGTTGTCATGGCAATCATCAACACCATCACACTGATAGTATTGAGGTACACATCTTCCATTACCACAGGAAAATGAGTAAGAGCCACATTGCAAAGTGGGTGGCTCATTGGATGGATCTTCAACACATGTCAGTTGATTTGGAGCCAGCTTCATACCATAAGGACACCCACAAACTCTCTGAAAGTTTGGTACTGGGAAGCAGAAATGGCTGCAGTCTCCATTGGGATTTGTTCCTCTATTACAGTAGTTAGAGCCTTAAAAAGTGATAGAGAAGATCAGCGTGCACACTACAGATAACATCTTGGGAACTATTAAAAGTGCATAATAACTATAAAAAGAGTGCTGTAGCAAGTCCTGGTTTTGCATACACTGCAAAACAAGGTCAAGTTCATCAAAAGCTATAGTAGCAGTAACATAAAAAAAAGTGTTGCATTCCATATACTCTTCCTTGACACAAACGTTCATGGAAGCTGAAAACATACTACTAAATTTCATCCAATTTCCTGACAATTTTCAGCAACTGTCTGGAAATAAGTATGCTGCCACAAATGAGAACCTCTGTCGAACCAAGAGTGCGAGATCAGATGCAGTTGTTGGATACCAAGTAGTCAGTGAGCCTTAGGTTTAATCATATGTTTGATGAGTTCATTGGCTGTTTGACAAAATTAACTACAATACCAAGTCCTTGGCTTAGATCATAGAGTCACATAGAATTTAGGAAATAAGAAAAATAGTGATTTTTCAAGTAACACAGTAGTTACTTGAAGAATTGTAATTTGATTAATAAACATTTACCCAATTCCTCAAAATCAATAATTTAGTTCAACTAAAGCTTTTACCAGAAAAGGAATAATATGAAGTTGTAGTTGGTGACACAATTACACAAAACACAATGGAATCATAATTTCATTTCGCTTGGTTGTTAAGTACAATTAGAGAAGGGGTAGAGTGAAATTGCATCGAGTCACAAGCCAGTGAAATATACAATGTGGGATTGCAAGTGCCTGTGCTGCCTTCCGTGTATGTCAGTTATGATTCAGTGAAGTCATTTATTTCCAGAATTGAAACTGGAAATCTGCTGTCCTGACATTTTTGTCTCTTATTCCCATTTCACATCTTCCCTCTGTACAAGAAAGGGGCTCACCTATTTGGGAATGAGCATCGTATGCTTTAACATGCATAATGTTACTAATCCCTCTCCTGATAATAGTCATTTCTCCTCCATCAGACTTCCTCACTCGAACTATTCCACCAAGCCTCCAATCAGTGAAATAGGCATAACCTGTTTTGAAAAATATTTAACACATTATATGGAAATATGACATAAAAGAGCAAGCATCATAAAAAAACCCTACAAGGCTTTTCATGAAAAGTTAACCATTTTCCATAATTTTTTTATGAAAAAGACAAAAGTATCTTCACCACTTATAATGCTGTCAAAGTGAGCCTTCAGTCACAGGCAGACATAACTTAGGAAAGTCTTCTCAAATTTTGCTAAAATTGACATGTAACAAACCCAACTACAATTTCAAATTCCAAGGCAATTTTAAGTCATTCATTAAGACTACTTCACAGAAAATTTTAGAGTATTTTTGAAGATATTTTTATACATGATCAAAAAGGGTCATATACTGACATCTTTCTTCAGACACAACATAAATTCAATAATAAACTTTATATATAGTAATTCAAAATCCTGAAATGTTGACCATCCCTGGAAGTGATTCACTTTGTCAGTTCAGCATGAATAGCTCACCTTGGAAGCTATAATTAGTACAGCATCTCTGACTTTTTGCACTACATGAATTACCCAACCTCTCTAAAATTATTTATAAACAAATATACATAAAACCAGTTCTAGAAACAAGCAAAAAGTACTAAATACATATTTTTAGTAGAAATTTTCAAGAGTGTTTTTTTTGGAAAACCAGTATTACAATATCTCTGTCATTTTATCTCACAAACTCACAGGATCACCATATGAAAAGAAAAATCTGTGATAATAATAGACAATATTTTTCAGTGCCAGACTTACCTCCAAAAATAGTAAGGCCAAATGGGTGAGTCATCTGAGTAATATGTTCAAGAGTCCGTCTGTCCAACCCATCAAAGGTGCTGTGCTCAATTTTATCAAAAAAAGCATCCACCCAGTACAACCTCAGAGAACTAGAAATAATGAAAGTGTCTTATCTTTTTAAGTGACATTATGTCCATTAGGAAACACTAGCATTTTATTAAATAATAATCTTTAACCTAAAAGAAGCTATTGGGGTGTGTGGGGAGGGATTTTGAGAAAACATTACATTTTAAGGCTTTTCAACCAATTGAAAGATAAGGTCTTCAAAAAAAGAGCGCCAGTAAATGCAATCTCTGACATAATTCCTTTATTTTTAGTCTCTAACAGTTTAAAGGAAGAAACATGCTTGCTCAAAAAAAGCTTCTCTGTCTTCTGTGTTGCCCTTACCTCCAGTCAATGGCAAGGCCATTTGGCCAGCCTAGTGTTGTATTTACAATCGGCAAAGCATGGGATCCATCACTCCAGGCCCTCATGATTTTTGCTGGACGGAACCAATCTGTCCAGAATATATACCTGAAAGGACACATGTCAGAAGACACATAAGCTAAATTATATAACGTGATTCAACAGAGCAAACATTTGAAACAGCATTAACATTTTTCTTGTATCATCTTTCAAATGAATTTAAAAAATACCATTTCATGTTGTCTCTCTCCTCAGCTGGCAGTGATAATTAATATTTATCCTATATACTACTACCACAATCTTTGGAAGTATTTTGGCTCTTTAGATATAAAATATCCATAACTTGGTTAAAATTGTTAGGGTTCTCATGTGATTACTGACAGAGAAATAGAATCAATCAAAAATGTATCTTCTAGCATGAATACTAAAAAGAATTTTCTCCTGTTCATTTGACTTATACTTACAGTCAAAGAGTTGAAGTTAATGTTAAATAATTTTATAAAGCAGCAAACAAAAAAAAAAATGCTGGGATATCCAAGGATATCCAGGTTCAACATTATTCTTATGAGATTACTTTCAAAATAGTGTATTTCATTAGTCATGAAAAATCAATATCCAAGAATCAAGAAATTCAGCAGTACAGCATTACAAAGCCAAACTATGCTGTGAAAGAAGCACTGTCTTGGCATTGGCAAAGAGCACAGAGTGTGGAATTTGAAAGGAAGCATTTCCATCAAAGAAAAGGAGGGCTTTATTTTGTGTACAGAGTCACGTATTGTAAGGTCTGTATCGAATACAGACAATAGTGTCCAATATGGTTCAAATAAAGAAATTCAGAGAGATAAAACCACAGAACCAATGCTAGCAGTCTGGGAATTGAAAGTATATTTAAAGCAATTTGGCAAACTTCGTCTTCCAACAATGAGAAATAGCTTTCTTAGTGATACAAAGAAACCACGTTCTTTTGCCTTTTTATCAAAGAACAAGAGTAAAAAAGAAAAACCATGGTGCTTTTAAAGAGAGTTCTTTTGAGTGCTTCTGTCTTTTGAAATCTCTATCACCATGCTTTTTCCTCTGGATGCTGAATCTTAGGGTAGAATAAAACAAACAAAAGACAAGACAACTGAAAAAAGATGGTATTTCGAAAAGAACAAAAATTCAGAATCAGATGCAAGTCTAATCTCACCAGTTCTGTTTAAACCATAAACTTGTACATATAGTTTAAAATGAGAACCTAACCTTACCCAATAACAGGATGAACCACTATTGAGCGAGGATTATTTAAATTCTGAACAATAGCTCTCCTGGATTTATCTGCCAGCCTCATCACACTAATGCTCCTGTATCGAGGATCTGTCCAGTAGAGGTTCTTTGAGATCCAGTCAAAAGCCAAATCTTCAACACTTTCCACTCTATTAGCAGTCAAGATTTCTCTTCCTAGAATTTATGACACATATAATGATTGCAAATGTTTAGGAACAGGGGAAATAACATGGGTGCAGTATTCTATTGACAAAACTTGTGGTTCCCCCTGGATAAAATGCTATCTCTGTGCTACTTAATATAAAGACCAATAATCAAGGGGAGGGAGGAGTGACCTTTGTTGTAGACAAAGAAGGTGTATGTCCAGGAGCACAGCTGCAAAAGAGGGGAAATAAAGACTAGCCAAAGGTCAGAGAAAAATCTGTCGCTAAGTTTACACTGAGAGTTTTACAAATGAAGGTCAATAAGGTCAGCACAATAACAACATCTTGCACAACAGACAGACTTTACCTACTCTTTGAATAGTAATGGTCAGCTGCAGTCTACAATTAACCTGACCCAAGGCAGCAAGCAAACACAGAAGATTATGTGCTGACCTTTGATCATCATTATAAATTGGAGATAAACATTCTTTACGCTAATAAATAGGATTTCCAAAAATCTCACAAAGTTAGTCTTCTTTTTCTGTATTACATAGGCAAACATCCTGCTCTCCAGATAGGGAAATTAAAATAGAAACACAGTTTCATACTGCTGAAAGGCATACTTGTCTGTGTAAACAGACTGGTGTGGGCAAATACTAGTTGTGAGAACTACTACAAATAGTTCCTTCCCATATACATTCAGCAAGTTTGTAAAACAAGAGAATTCAACAAGCTTAAAGTGCTTTGTATAAACATTTTTAGAAACATTTTCCAGGTTACTGGGGTTACATTGAGATTTATCTGTATATCTCACAATGTGACTTTTCATGATTTTTTATAGAAAAATACATATTACAATCTCCTTACCATAATTACTCTACAATTCCCAAGCATGATTCTCACCTGAACCATCAGTCTTCTGTTTATAGATCATGTCTTTACTTGTGTCTGAAAAAAAAATTGTGTCATCCTGAGCACAGAAGTCAATTCCAACAAAGTATGAAGGGCTCCCTGTTACAGGTATGATCACATCTTCCTGGGTGGAGAGATTGAATGGGATTCCCCGCACTGCCATCTGGGATGAAAACAGCAGAAACTGCCGCACAGCTGTGAAAGGAAAAATCAGACACAGACTTGACTTATTCACAAGGGGAGATACCTAAGCATTAAGAAAAGCTTTGTTTTATTTTGACAGCACTAATAGCCTGGAAGTAGAAAAAAAGAAGAATTAAAAAATAGGCATTTAAATACTGACAAGACTTGAAAACTGAAGAAGAAAAACAAAACACAATCCAGAATATTAGGTGATGTGGTCAAGTATTCCTCTTTCATCATTTCCGTGGTCCTAATACACTTCTAAAGTAAACATTATACCTACGGAGGCAGAAATCATCTTCTCTACTCTTCTCTTTATAATCACCTATAAAAAAATAACTCACAGGCTTGGTAGAATCACCATAAAACTAGACAATACCTGGCATAGCCAGATAAATGAATGGCCAAATACTAAAATTATAGACATAATATATTACATACTCTGTCAGTAGACAGTCACAGTAAATGTGATAATTCTGTGCTCAAGTAGGAAGCAGAAGATTGCTGATGGAAACATACAGCTCCAAACCTGAATCTCTTATTCTTGCCATGTGTTCTGTCTACACATATTCCATATTTCACTCAAAATCCTCATTAAAGGAAGTGAGTTTAAGTTGTGCCTTGAATTGAACATCAGCAGAAATGACTGCATGTAAAGCTGTCAAAAAGAGTTGTGATGAAAAGACAAAGTCCTCAGTATATGGAAGCTACTGATGTGAGGAAAAACGTTCTAGAAACAGTTCTAGAGCCAATGGAGTAGCATTATTTCAAACAATTGTAAGGCATTTTCTTACCAACACAATGTCGTCCATCCACATGTAGGTCAAAGCCCAGGATACACCTACAGCGATAACCTAGGCCATCATTATCTGTTTTGTGGCTGAGAACACAGACCTGTTCACATCCCCCATTATTACTTCCACAAGGATTTCTTGCTGGAAAATAATACAGATAGAATTATAGCTTCCTCTATTAACCGAATGGCATCATTATCTTGATTTTTCAGCATTTTCTTCAACATTCACAATAAATCATGTGGGTTATGTGAATTACATCACATGGAAAACATACACCACCAGTTCTACAGTGGAATGCACCAAAATCACATCAGAGGTAACCATCAATAAGGAATTCAGCTCATACAGACACTCAGCACAGAGCAATAAGGCCATAATTTGGGCTTTAGTCTTCTGCACATTGGTCTACTACAGAGTTATAACTCACAGAATATATTTCTGGTAGCTTTTTCGCTGTATTCATTGCAGTGTTGAGGAAAAAAGTTCTAAACACCAATACTACTCAAACCCACAGGTCTGACCCCACCAAGTATTGGACTATTTATAAAGCTCCCCCTATTCTTGAATGTTGCATGTGACAGCTCATTAGCTACAGGAGTTGGATGAAACAACCGTGTGATAAAAATCAGCCCAGTTTTACAATACAAATTTATGTATCATAATTATAGTTCCTTGCAGCAAAATAAAAGTAACATAATTTTTACCAATTTTTTGTAATATACTTCCTAAATCTCCCCTCATAATCCACTTATGATCTCACCAAATGGCTGCCTGGCAGCGTGGTAAACTGTCACTCCATAAGGTCTCAGTGAAGACTGGTAGATCACTTGAGGGTTAGACTCTGAAAATTTGTTAGCTTTCACCACTGCCATTTTGGTCCAATCAGTGAAATAAACATTGTGTTCAAATAAAGTGATTCCATATGGATGAGGAATCAGTGAGCCTCCATGAGCTACTGTTCTCCTGTTATGAAGATAATTTAAAATTATTTACCAAATATTAATTAAACAATAACATTATTTACAGAAGAAAGGATATAGTATTTTTAATTCATTTACTGGTTTTTGTTTCAACAGAGAAGCTACTAAAGTACAAATGAAAAAGATCAAATGAACTGAAGAGATAAAGCTAAACATACACAGTTCAGCCTAAAGGACAGAGCAGTGAAAACAGAGCAACGGTGTTAGCAAATTCAAGAAAACACAGTGAGTAAAGATAAGACACCAGCATTAATTTTATAATTTAGAAAGTAAAAAAATACGTCGAACAATAGACCCGTCAAAAGAGCAGAAGACTGTTTTTGAAGGCAATATGCTATGAAGGTATACTAAAGGGGACATTTTTTCCTTGTGTTTGAGTAACTGATACTAATCAGAGATACAGAGATAAGCAGGCTTCTAAACAACACTATGCTGTAAGACACAGTCCCATAAAAAATCAAGGACTTCCTTCTTGCAGGCTGTGATTTAGTCTCCCCAGCATCGTAACAGGGTGAAGGATGACTTAATTATTAACAGTAAAGATTAATGAAATGCAAGAAAAGCATTTAATACCTATCACACAAATTAGTTCTTTGAAGTGGAATATTTCATATAAATTAATTCATTAAAAAATGCAAAGAAATTATGATGGAAAATTATGACTATAATTCAAAAATAATAAAAAATAAAATGCTCTAAAATGTCTATTGTACGGGTGGACTATAAAATATACATTATAAGATAAGGAGAAGAAACATTCAAGGTCAAAAAAGAGCAAAGAATGATGAATTAAAGACTATCTAGAAGAAACATGAAACCATAGAGACAAAGGTGCATCACATGCATGATGCTGTAATTTCCATCCCTTGCGTATATCGTTTTGTTAGAGAAATCTTTGTTTGAGCTAGATACAAAATAATCAGTATATCTGTAGCCCCTAAAGAATATTTCACCTACCTTTGAAGTCCATCATAAGTTACAGTCTCAATGTAATCAAACCGGCTGTCAACCCAGTAAAGTCTCTTTGACACAATATCCAGCGTTATTCCAGCAGGCCAGCCTAATTTTGTTTTTATCAAATCCTGACGATTTGTGCCATCCATGAAAGCCCTTTCCACTTTAGGATCACCAGACAGACTGTCCCAGTCTGAGAAAAACAAATAACTATAAAGAGATAAAAAAGAAAAAAGGTTACATTTCCTTGAGATTTTACAAGAAACCCTAGCGTTTCACATGGAATTTAAAACCAGCACCCTTTCAGAACAGATTTCTCAGCTGGCATAAGTTTACTGCCAGAAATAAACCAGTGACAAATAGTTGCATCATGAAAGCAGCAGCCATGACTACAAGTTGCATGAAATTCCTCTTCCCATTCTCTGAAGATCCAGGTTTTCATTGCTCACATATACTTCTGAAGTATATGGGTTAGAAGACACAAAAATTAAGATGCAGAACAGGTTAAGAGAGAATGCTAATGTTCAAAATATTTTATATCTGATTTTAAAATGATTGCTCTTCGTGTTTCCCAGTTGTCTTCCTTTTACGTGGGGATAAGGGAATTTCTGACATCTTTTACCATTATCTGATAAGTTTTACTTACCCAACAGTTGGATCAAGTGCTATTCCTCTAGGATTTCCAAGATTTTCAGCAATAAGAGTCACACGGTTTGTTCCATCCAAGTTAACCATATCTATTCTGTTCACACTGGTCTCAACCACATATAGTTTATTGTTAACCCAATCCACTGCTAGATTTTCAGGTGTGTCAACTGAAATATTCAAAACTTCTTGGAAATCAGAGCCATCAATATTAATAGAAAAAACCTGAAAACAATACAGATATTGTCAGTCCCCACATGATGTTTTGCTAATCACAAGTCACATGGTATTTGTCTTTTATCATCATACTGATCACCAATCCACAACTGACCACCAATATACAAGCAAGTTACCCTCTAAGGTATTCCTTAGGTTAGAATTTTTTGCAAAAATCTGGAAACCAACACAAAAATTGCAGGAGGCTTGCCTTCAACTAGCATTTCTACAAAATGGACAAGGTAACAGACTAAAACAGCCTTGTCTTTAGCAAGTGTTTAAAAACAATAAAGAGGAAAGTGCATTTGCTTTTCTGGAATCTAGCAAAACCCAATATTTTTATTAATTGAAAATAAACTATCATGCTTTTGAAAAGCTCTCAACAGTGAGAAAAAACAATGAGCCAAAAAACAGTGAGCCAAAAACAAGAGGGGGAGCTCTTACTACTGCTACAACTGAGGGAAAATAGCAAAATGAAGAAAGTAAGGGAAAGCTGTCTATCCTCACAGAAAGGAGGTCTCAGCTTGTGGTCTCCTTTATCTAAAGCTAATTTTAACAGCATCCTGCTCAAGAAGAATAATGCTTTTTTTACAAGCAAGTTCAGAGCTACACAAAGTAAACAGTCCAAACACAATAATTTTACATTTACAGTAATTGTGTGATTATAACACTGGGGAATATGAAAAGGAAGAATTTTTCTTTCTTTTTGGAACAACAGCATGAGATTTGGAATGCATTTAAATGAAAACACCAAGATTACCAAGTAAACATATGCAAGAAAGATAAGAACTGGAAGAGTTCTATCATTTTAAATATTCTTCAGTTCCAAGTAACAATGATCAAGATAAGCACTTAACCGTCTACTCTGTTCTTTGGAAGCCCTGTTGATGAAAGAGCTTATGGGCATTAGGTTATCTGGCAGTACACTGAATGAGATAAAGTTGACACAAAACACAAACCACAATTATCTGGTTTAGTTTTCATATTAATCTTAAGAAAGACAAAAAATGCCCTAGTAACATCATTATTTTAAGACATCAGGTGGAAATATTCATAATTTAAGAAAATTCTAAATGTAAATGTTTTCATCTGGATATTCTAGCTAGGACTTAATTAGATTAATTAGTCTTAATTAATTAATTAGGATTAAACTATATTGGGCAGGTAAAAAGGCAGTCCTGACCACCTGGAGTGTGCAGAAAAAAAAAAAAACATATTATTTTTTTATTTATACCTATTACAAAGAATAAATCTCCTGTCTCATGAAAGTGCAGATTTGACCCTGACTACATTCAGCCATTTACAAAGCTACTGCAGCAACAGGAACCTACTACAGGCACAATAAAAATGCCAGAATTGTGGACAAGTCAAAAATTGTGCATACAAATCTTGTCCTGCTTTACAGCCACACAGTGAATGCTCTTTCCACAGAACCAGCATGGAACTGTGGCGAGAACTATAGTTTTTATTACATGTCTTATGTGTACATTCAGAATTATGACAGTGACACCAAATTGATCCATCAGTGGCATTAGCAGGAGCCAGGTCACAGATTCTCCTTCATTCTGCATGACGATAAACATGTGGACAAAGATTATGAAGTATCAGCATCTGACCTAAGACTTTCTTTGATTTCCCTAAGTTACACATAGAAAAAACAAGGGTGCCATCCAACTTCCACTAGAGCCTCCAGACTGTTTTCTTAAATTACTTTGCTGTAATGTATCTTGAAGCAAAAATAATTACTCTTAAAAAAAAAAAAGTAACACAATATTGGCTCATTACACAAAATACTGTCAATATTTGTTATTCAAGCTCAATTACAGTACCATTTGAAGTATATAAAGAAATCTGATTTTTATCATCTTGGAAGGCACACAGCTTTTACATTTTAAATTATCATGTTTCAACAATTACCAAGAAAAATTTGTTCTGTTTTGAAAGAATGTCTACTATTTCTCTTAATTAGTTTTTTGGACTCAGTCTCAAGTAAAATTAAAAGTTGCTCAAGACATTCCCATATAATAGGATTCTTTGTTTAATATGTCACATGTAATAGTATAGTTGAAAAAATACAGTCATTAACATAAAACATTTCAAGGAGCTTTTTTGTTAGAAAACGAAATTACAGCCAGCTTTGGCTCTCAAAAATGAGGGCTATCAACACATTCTGCCTCTTGCAGTTCTCTACTTCCAGGTACACAGAAATACATTCTTCTTGAAATTTTTACCAACCTTATCTTGCACTGTGTCCGTCCAAAAGATCCTGTGCAGGTAAAAGTGGAAGTCCACGCCAACTGCAATCCCACGATTCTGTGACTGCACCAAAGTACGAAAATTTCTTCCATAAAGGTCTCCAATCAGTAAATCACGGCCATTGGAAAAAATAATCGATGCAACACCAGCTGAAAGCAGGAGTGACAGAGATATGATTACTCTGCAGGCAAGATATTTTGCCAAGGGGCATTGCAATACATGCATACTGGTTCATACACACTGGACACAAAGTTTTAAAAACATGCTCAGACTACAGCCTATATAAATGTTTCTATGTGAGTACTAACTTGCTGTGATTTGCCTTTGGTTTCTACACCTGGAGCAAATCAAGCAGGTACAGCTGTTTAAAGCCCTACCAGGTAAAACTTTTATAAAACATCTGTGCAGACACCAAAAGACTATTTCTATTAAAGCTAAAATGAACCCAGTGAAACTGACTTTTAGCAGGTACTAAATTCTCCCATTTATATGAGGAAATACTTAGAAAATTGTGCGCTGAAGACTGGTCTGGAGATGTGGCTGAAGAAAGAAGGAAGGAACTGAGCAGTTCTTGCTTTTCTAAGAAACAAGACTGCTAATCAGCTATGCCAAGCAGGAACTTCCATTCCCACTGATTCTCTGCAGGCAGGAACACCTGCCTTACACAAAAGCTCGTTAGGACATTACATCTCCACAAAGCAGGCTTTCCTGGGGCCTGCTTTCAGCACTGAACAGGAGGTCAGGAGCAGCAGCCTACAGCTGATGAGGAACTACACTCTGAGAGATAAGTATTCTTCAGAGTTCAGACTCCAGGACATTCAAACTTAAGAGCGTGGCTTCTCTCACAGGAAAGTGTTTGATCTCCCCATTGAGCAAAACCATCTTCTGGCACAGTTCTAGAAAAAAGAATTTCCTGATTTCTTGACAACCCTATGTTCTATAGAGAGCATGACAAAACTGCCTGCCACAGAAACAAGATTTTTTTTTTTTTTTTTTTTTTTTTTTTTTTTTTTTTTTTTTTTTGTTCAGGAGTGCTCTGGCAATAACCTCCCAATTCTGCAGAAGTTAGGAGTGCTGAAAATGCAAAGGAGCCTAAAAGACATTTGTTGATTAGAAGAGAAACAGCCCTGATGAAACAATCAACACCAACCTACACATGCCAGCAGATACAGAGTTCTGACATTTGCTGATATTCTGAAAGCTGTCCTGACTGTAAATCCTTAAGAGCAGAGTTAAAATCAAAGAGAGCTGTGTGGCACAGACATGAAAATTACCCCATTTTACCTAGCTCTATCTATTTGCTCAACAAGACACTTGAAGTGCACTAACCTGAAGTGTTGGCCCGACAATGCCGGTGATGCTCTAGGAAATAACCTTCCACACAGTGGCACTGGTGATGTCCCACACGATCTTCACACAGCTGGTCACAGACACCCCACATTTGACAGTCATCAAAATCTGTCAAGTGAATAAGGCATATTTATAAAAAATGCTTTGTGTAAAATTCATGTCGTAATTAGGAACCTGCAAGTTAGTCCTCTCTGCTTACTTTATATATGTTTGCAAAACTATAGCATGAAGAAAGAGGGTTTGCATGTTTTTCCACAATGTTTCAGTTTCATATTTCTGGATAACAAAAAACCTGTATTTCCTGCCTGAGGACCTACCTGCACTTCTTCTCCCCACTGAAAAATACTAACCAACCAACAAAAAAAATCTAAACCACACCTGCCAGGAGAAAAGGAAAAATCATTTGAAGAGATGTCATTGTCTACTTTCCACAATACAGAATACGTCTATGAAGTATTTTTCCTGCAAAAGATCTCTACACTTGGCACACACAAAGACTTGGCTGGATTTAAGGCCAGTCTGAAGGTGAGCCCCACCTTTATTTTAGTGCATTGCTTAAGCCTTTAAGTCGTACGTGAAGGAAGTGTTTATTAGCTCAGATTTAGTACCATGCTAACAGGCATCTGATGTACAATTAAAACCTGTCTGTGCACCAGAACCAGCAAGAAAAAGTTCCTTTTAGCATGCAAAATACCATATAGGTAGCATACTGCATCTGGCATTATACAGTACTGACTGTCAGCCATTCCTTCATGAAAAGTTTTCCTCTGACTGCAAATACATGCCTAGATTTCAGCAAAGCAAAATACATTGACTCAGATTTACTAGCCAGAATCTGATAATTAGGCTTACAGGACAGTCAAAAACCAAGAGAAGACTCACTGAGACTGCACCAGATTTGGGAATGTGTCCTTCATTTATTTCCCACAAAATCGTGAAAAAATTGAGGAAATTTTGTGCCTTATTTCTCTGTCTCTACAAAGAGCAACAATTCTGCCATTGCAGTCTATATAGCCTTAGGCCACCCAGTATTGTCAAAAAATATAAAAATCTCATTAGCGACTGAGCATCTGAAATACTTTTAATAACACCAACACCAAAGCTTGGGTTGAAAACTCATAACAGATATTTACCCCTTTTCTTTTATTAGGCAGTGCTAACTTTCATGATTCTGAAGTTACTCAATTGCCAGCTACTGAGATAAATCATTTGTGCTACCAGGTGATAGCACCTTTACAGTTACCTTTACTTTCTTGTAAATATTCTTCTTTTTCATGTAAATTACGTATGTACTGAAACCCCACAGAAGACACAGCCTTTCCATAGTGCAAATACAAAACACCTTCTTTATTTTCAAGTATAATGTTCTGCTGTCCTCATATAAAGCCACTTTCCAAAAGTAACAAACAACTCAATATCATTAACTGTTTTTCCAGGCATGCAACACACATCACCGAGGCAGGAACAATCTCTCTATGTAAACACTTAAAGACCAGTAAAAACTTTTGATAATAAACCAGCCATCCAAGAGTACATATTTAAACCTAATCATGCTGTCACTATGTTTTTAGGTCAAAGTGCAAGAGATCTTTATGATATCTCTCTCATTTGTTGCTGTGCCATTATGCTACCTTTGTGCCACTAAAATTTTCATGCATTTGCTGACTCTTATGCTACCTTTGTGCCACTAAAATTTTCATGCATTTGCTGACTCCTGAGATTTTCTATTTGCCAGTACATCCACCCAACTCAAACTAATTTGTCTTCCTGGAATCCAAACTTTCCCAAAGGATTGTGAGAAGGTACTGGATATCTGTAATCCCTGGACTTTACTCACCAATACAAGTACCTGTAATCCCTGGACTTTACTCACCAATACAAGTACGACTGTCATTGTTACTTATTGTATATCCTGCAGGGCAATAGCACATCCCTCCTGATGGAGAGGAATGACAGCGATACTGGCAGCTCAGGGCAGCACAGCGAGATACGTCTGAAACGCAAAAAAAATATTTCAGAAACACACCTATAACCAGTAGAACAGCTTTCTGCTTTCTTAAGAGTTACAAAGCTGAAGTCTTTTCTATGATGAGACTTCAATTTCAAGTAGAGCTTGTTAAAACTAATCTGCAGAGAAAATGATGTACAAAGTTCTACAAAATCACACACATTTGCATACATGCAGGCAAGGGCATGGAACACAGAAGACAAGGTACTGTTTTTAATAGGTTTTTAGAGCAGAGTTAAAGGATAAGCATGAATCTTATATGTACCACCAGTGGTAAGTGCTGTATGAAAAGGTGACCACAGGAAGCTATCTGCAATGTACCAAAACTTTCCCTGGTTCTACTTGTGAGCAACATATCCTTGAGCTGCATCTATTGGCACATAACCTCATCATTTACTCTTCTATGTGAAAAACCCCTACTCTGTTATATTAAGAAGAATATGTATATCATTCCAATGTATTAGAATATACTGTTTGCATTGTGTTCATGGAAAAATGTACTTTATCCTTTCCTTCTCTTGCTCTCTCTTTTTTCTGTCACCACTCCTTCTCTTCCTTCTACTAATAAACAATTCAATGACAGGCAAATAAGTTATGATTGTAAAACACTTGACAAATAAGAAGGTGAAAGTCAGCACTTTCCTTTTCCTCAGTTTCTTCTGTTAAATACCTTGCTTTGCAGCTCATATCTTCTGTAACTATCAAACCACTCAGCAAAGCAAGAGGTGCTGTTTTACAAAATGGTTTCATTGCTCCTTATTTTTTCTGCCCTCCTATTCCAAAAAGTATGATTTTTTTATTAGGAATTTTTATCTTCCTAGAAATTAAAATACACCGGTCCTTGTCCTCAGAGGGATTTGATATTTGTAGGATTAGAGAGAAATTACTTTTCTCTTTTTGAGATAAATTACTTTTCTCTCTACTTCTGGAGGCTCATTGCCTCCAACAGAAAAAATGCAGTGTACCACTAACCAGAGAAACAGACATCCTAGGCAAAAACATACTTTTTAAAATCCTAATCTTTAAAGTGAATTAGTCAAAGCTTAGGATATATTGATTCCATACTGTGTTCTAATCAGCACAAATCATTACTTCTTACTTACACAAAGGGACAAACAGATAATTAAACAAAGAAGGCATATAGCACACCTTTCCCTGACTTTGTGAACATATTTTAGTGTATGGAGAGCAATTTAAAATCCTTATTTGTGAAATTTCACAATTTTAAAAAAGAAATGCTCTCTTTGCAGTATATATGCCTCTTTCAGATCATCCAGTCTAAACAGTGCCAATGAAAATATTGAGCTTCCGAAATTTCAGTATTTTTTAGGAGACAAAAGGCGAATGTAAAAAGATATCAGTACTGGTATTTCTGCTATTTTGTGTATGCTTTCCATTCTAATACATACTGCAGTGTCTGCCTGCAGTGATGTTAGTTTCATCTTCTCCTTCAGGGCAGTCTGCAGCTCCATCACACACTTTCCCAATTGGAATGCAATGCCCTGATCCAGGACAGGCCCACTCTCCTGGGTAGCATTCATGGTGACCACTTTCTATGGAAAAGAAAAACAAGGCTAATGAAGAGTATGTTTCCAATATTAAAATTTCTTCTCTAACATCTTCCCAAAGCATCTCTATCCTTTGATAATCAGTTTCTGTTTCTTGCACACAGCTCAGAAAGACTATTAAGTAACACTATCTATACTTGTCATGCTTTCTTCCAAGTTCAAACTACAATGCCAACAATTTTTGGGTAGACAACACGTGAATCCCTTTAGTTTTCTGTTAGAAATGGTAACACCATTTAGCTTTAAACTGCCCAGTGCACCAGAAACTGAACTATAGCTTTGTGGTTTCAAAACACATAAATGCTGTCTGGATAAAGAGAAAAATGTTTGTCATAAAAAAGGCCAATGAAAAAGAAATCTCATTCACACTTTCATTCTTTAAAGCTTCTCTTTCTTATATGACAAATCTTGGCAGGATCTGAGTTAATTTCATTTTGAATCAGTGGGTTTTAGTTATTAGAAGCCTCATGCCTCTTAACAGATGACCTGAAAAATCTCCATAGGCAGAAGAACCAAAACAAAATATAAAAGAAAAAATATATGCATTGCTATATGTAAAAAGTAATTTGCATCATACCCAGTATCACAATAATTCTCACACACACAATAACAAATATATTGCTGAAGTTAAAAAAAGAAATAAAAATGAAGGTGGAATTTTAAGGTTTTAAAAGAAATTAAATTATTCAGAACATCTTGAGGGGTCTAAATGTCATAGATGTAGGTTAGTGTCATCTTCCTCTGAAAATACCATTGGAAGTTAACAATAGCATTTACCACATCCTCTTTCATCTTCATTGTCTTCACAATCATCATCTCCATCGCAAATCCAGCTCTGATGAATGCAACGGCCACTCGGGCAAGTGAAGAAGTTGCCTCTGCAAGTTGCATAAGCTACAGAAAGAAACAGACAATCTAACTGCTCTAAGCATCTAAAAGATTAAAAATAACAATATTGTCTCCTATATGATAATTTATTATATCTCCTAAAAAAATTAGGCAGTTCCATATTTTGTATCTATTGCAAACACTGCTGGTTTCTTCTCATTTAGGTATGAATTACCTTTGGTTCATGCTGAAATTAAGAAGATGACAACAACGTAAGTGTTGTCAACAAGCATCAAGAACCAGACTGTCAATCCAGCAAATTCAAATAGAAATGACATACCCAGGAACTTAGCAGCAAAGACAGTCTATCAAAATAGCATTGCAATTTCCATCTTTCTGTATAAGAGTACTTGTAAAACAGTGACTAGCTTTTGATGGGTGTACAGCCAAGCAGTCTGCTTCCTGCTACCTGCTTGAACCAGATCTTAGTAAAACAGTTAAAGAAAGTGGGAAAAAAAAAGGAGCATCATACTGCAAGAGTTTTCATCACTCCTATCTCCACAGTCATCATCATGGTCACAGATAAAGGCTCGCGGGATGCACTCTCCATTAGCACACTGGAACTGTGTACTGGTACATCCATGTGCTGAAAAAGATTTTAGCACAGAAACACATACAGAAAATCTGTCAGAAAACCACAGTGTTTAACTCCAAAAGAACATCTATAAAGCAAATTTGTTTGGGATCACTCTGCACAGGGGACTTACTGCAATTAGCTTCATCGGAAGAATCTCTGCAATCAACTTTGCCATCACATCGCTGGCTTGCATTGAAACATGCTCCGTTTGCACATGATAACTGTTCACATCTTGGGTAGTCTAAAATAAAAAATCCTTTATATTAGCGTGAAGTTAGACTATAATGAGTCATATCCATCTAGTGTCAACAGAATATCTTGGTTTAAAGGAAAAAGGGAATACAAAACTCCATTACTAGTAGTCCATTTATACAGTATATCATCTTCTCCAACAGATATTGAAGAATATCCTCTGGATGGATGTTACCAAATCTTGCATAAGAGAAAAATTAAATGCCTTCCCATACCCCAAAAAGATTTGCAACCCAGACAGTTTACAATATGATAGAAAGCAATGTAACATAAAAGGAAAGCAAGCAATGAACATTTGTTTTATTTATGTATACCTCTGTTTTACACTGTCCTGATCCTAATAAAAGTGTTGAGATAGCAAAGGATTTCCTGAAATTTACAGTTCCTAGGTCCTTTTCAAGTGTCTTGAGTTCTCAGACTCACAGACATTAGGTTTTTATGGTTTTATTCCAATTAATCCAAGGATATTGAATTTCCGGGTTCCATGAACAATATTAGAACTGCTTGTTTTTATTACTTGCTTTCTCCTTCACAAAATAAAACAGATTCTGCAGAAATCATGATTTTTTAGGTTTTGGACATTCTACTTATATAGAAGACCTACAGGCAAATACAAGGGATTGCTTCAAATGACTTAATATTAATTCTGAGAACACTTAGTCATACAAACAATCAGTGAGTTCAGTCAAGTATCCAACAAATTAAGCATATGCACATACTAGAGTTGAGTAGGAGAACAAGCACTTAGTTTAGCTTGTTGCTATGTAGACAAAAATTACATTTTTTGGTCAAATGGTAAGTAAGAAAGCAAAGAATTGGTAATTTTAGAACTTAGATTTATTGAACCTTTGTCTCTATATAGAAGATAAATTAACTCAAGACACAGAAGAGCCAAATAACATTTTGCACCTTTTAGATATGCATTATGAATTCTTATCCCATTTTACTTCTCTAGGAGTTAATAAAGAAGATAGAGAAGGCTTTCACCTAGGCACATTTTCTGTCAAACTCTTGGAATCCAAAACATGGGTTATAAAACTGCTTCAAGCAGATATCAAGAAACCTGCAATTTTTCCAGACAGTGGCAAACTGTTTTGCTTGCTTTTGCTGTTCTGTGTATTATCATAATCCCACAAAAATTCAATCACCTATGGAATAGGCTTATATGATTTTAACTGTTAAATTGTCAAAATGTGAGACTAAATAGCTGTGTTCATATCCGCTACAAGTATAACCAGACTATCTCCCCAAATGATTCCTTTACATTTCTTTTATTTTCACTCTGAAAGTTGAGAAGGCATCACAGGGAGGAACCATCAGGAGTTCTGTGGCTCAGCAGAAACAGCTATGGCAGTACATTATTATACTGGATTATAGGGCAGATGGAAGAAAAGGAAGAATACAGGGTATGTGCTTGTAAATGCATTGAAATAGAAAAGCTTCCATGGGATATATAATAGATAGTTTTGTAATTTTCCTCTCTTTCCTTCATATGCCACAGAAATACCTCCAGTGATGTTCCAAACTGTTTCAAATGGACTGATGTCAAGCAAATAAACAATTGAACCCATGGCCTTGCACTGCCTGCTTCTTCAAGAATGCCCACGCAGACTAAGAATCTAGCCAGTAATAAGATTTTCTCAAGCTTGTATTTAACTCCCTTACAAGAAGGGAAACTTTGTCAAAGTCTTCTCTCCAGCAGCAGACCTGGAAACGCCCTCAGCCTAGCAAAATCTTTATTATATTATTAAGTCTAGTGGATTGTATAAATACAATCACTATAAAAAATTAACAAGAAGAGCCATCAGTAAAGATGTTTTGAAGATACATCAAAATATACATTCTGACTAAATTGGTGTTTTATTAAAATGTGAACAAAAGCTTTTGTTCCTTATTCTCTTTTCAAAACTAGTGTACAGATTATTTCTTTTAATTGTACTTGCACAAGCAAGACCATTCTTTGAAAAGCCTGATGAAGATTAATTTCATTTTTAACTCTGAACAGGTAATCCCATTTCCAATCCCTAGTCGAAAGACCGAGGTTAGTAAATGATAGTTCTGATCACAGCTGCTCACTGATCTGAAAGATATTTTTCACTCCATTCTGCATTGCAGATTTTACTCTTTGCACCTTATAACATATTCTTTTAATAAATTTGTTTTAGTTATTTGGGGCATTAAGAACTAAGCCTCATGAAAACTGGCAAAGCTGTGAGCTATACCAAAGGCTGTAGCCAATGCAGTGTATGGTTCAGGAGCATCTGTGCCATCAGGACAGTTCCTCAGTACCTGGGTTAGTTTTATATGAGGAGAAGTAGAGAAGCTAAAAGAATCATAGAAGAAATGCTGGCTTCTGTGAGGGCTTAATGCTGAGAGAATGAAGGAAGACAAAATAGAACTTCATAACAATACTAGGATATCTGAAAACAAAGGAATGGTTGTCCTTGCAATTGCAAAAACCCAGGACTTAAACTCTCTTTCTTTCTCCCCAGAATTTAGAAAATATTAGCCATGAGCTTAGTTGCTCTACTCTATTATCAAACAGGGACTTCTAAAAAGGAAAAGAATCTGAACCTTGGCAGCAAGAGGGGAGGAACTGAAACAATCCTGTACAATCCAGCTTAATGAAAACGTCTACAGCAAATGAAGTTGGAAAGTGACTACCATGACATTTTAAATTTAAGTGGAATGATCTTACATCAGTCACTGTATTTGGGGCTTGCAAAAATTTCCTAGCTTTTATCTGAATTTTTATTTAAACTAAGATTTCTCTGTACACACCTGATCCAAGATTAGTGCATTTGATTATAAAATCCCTCAGCTGTGCAAGAACTGATATCAGAGAAATTGATCGTACAGTCTCTGTTGTGGGGGGCACATGAAAAAAGTGCGCTGTGGATGACTTGAAGGGGTTCTCTTCTAGGCAATGGAATTTTTTTCTCTTTCTACATTGGTGACAAAAGGATTAGAAAGAGAAGAAAATGAAGGATAAGGTTCTGAGTTAAAAGGATAACAATGTAGGAAGTTTGCACCTAAGGAGGTGTGGGAATACAGCTGCACAAGAGATTGAAAGGAGACACTGAAGACAACATTAAGAGAAAAGTGAACAGACAGAAAAAAATATAAACACTATTTTCTTTCATCTTGTTTTGAATTGTCAATAGCCTCCAACATAAATACTGTTTCCTTAGCCTTCTCCTCCCAAAAACCTATGCCTAATTTTACAGAAAACTAAAAAGAAGAAATGTTTCTGTAGTCATGACAATTCCTAGAAGATAATGTGAGCTTTGTGAAACAGGGGGAATATTTTTCACCTATGTTCATTCCAATGGTCAGCAAGAAAGGGAGCTCTTCTTTCTCTCCCCTCAGGCATTTTCTTAGCCAAAATACTTCCACACAATCTGTCTCCCTGATGCATGCCAACACTTCAGTTGCAAAATATAAGTAACTAGAAAACACCAGCACAAATGACTGATGAAGCACCTTTTAACTGTTTCGGGGAAACAGCTGTGAACATATTTAAATGGCATCTTTCAATGGACACATGGAAGATGTTTGAAATCCATGTCACAGGAATTGCTAAACCTACATTATTTTTCACTCTGCCTAGAGCTTCTGTTCTGTAAGCTGGAAATAAATCCATACAAAAACAGCAACAGGAAATAGTTGCAAATAGTATTTGATTCAGCACAAGCTGATTTCTGTTACACAGTCAGCAGTGTAAGCTTCCATAACCCTAACCCATGTTACAAGGAGTAGAAGTAAAAGGAAAAGAAAAATGGCAATTTCCTACTAACAGGTGTCTTTTGTTGCAAAATGTAAAAATATTTTACAAGACAAAGTTTATTAAAACCCTTTGATTCACTGTCATAAGTCACCACCTCACAGTGGTCAAAGCATTGCCCAGAGAGCTCACAGCCTACTTAGAGACACCAGGAGGGAGACTTGCTCCAAGCCAAGAGTCCTATGAGCTACATGATACCAGGCAGTGTTCATAGCAGAGATGCTTTCAGAGCTGGCAGACAGACCAGACCCTCATTCCTGGCCTTGGCTCCTGCTTTTTATCCCTGAGACTCTAGTCCTTGGCTGCCTGCCTTAGATTGCTCCAGTTTTGCTACTTCCCTGTCCCAAACTCTTCTTAGAGGAGATATTTCCTTCAGCCTGTACTTCTCCCTTGTCCTATAGCTGCTACATGTAATTTGTCCAACATCCAGAATATTAAGCCTCTTCTTCTTCTTTCTTGGACTACATCCATTATGGACTCTTCAGTTCTTGGTCTTTGTCCACTTTCACTCTGGTCTCTGCAAATTAATCCCAGAGCTGACTGCCCACTTCCTGACCACAACTGCTTTTTAGCACAGCAAACAAGAGGCAGGAATTCACAGGTTAGGCAGCTGACCTATGGCAGCAACTCAACATTAAAATTAGAATCAAAAATTCAGTGCATCTTGGCCCACACTCAGCCCACTAGCTTTGAACAGTATGTCTTTAAAGTACTGCCCCTTTCTCCCTCACAGCCTCAGCATAGCACTCAGCTGCCAGAGCAGTATCCAGAAAGGTTATTCTGTCACAGCAAAGCAAAATGGGCATGGCTGGGATTTTCATTTTTCAACTGCGAAGCTGAGACAGGAGATATAATTCTGTCTTAACTGAAAGAAATAAAATATGTAACAGAAAAAATACACCTGTATTGGCTGCCTACTCCAAAAAGCATTTGCTACCCCAAATAGTCTGCCATTTAATTCTGTTTCTAAAGTTTTAAAATTAAAGTATTTGCTAGCTGCTAACTATTCAAAAAAGCTGGAAAACAGACTGATACATGTATTTTAAAAAATTAAAAAGCATAATTTTACAAAATCAAAACAGCTTCAGTGCACTAATTGTATGACCTGTAGCTGAAGCATAGTTCTGATGTTTATTTTAGCCTCTGCATGGGTAGTTTTCCTTGCTGTTAATCCCATTAGCAATAAAATGGACTAAGGCTCTGAATTCCTTTGTTCTGGTTTTTCACTTGTTTAATTGCAGACTTACTTTATATTGGTGACATTTAACATTTGACTACTTTCTTAAATAACGTACCTTATTCAGGAATAAAATTTTATCTTCTTTACATTCTAAATCTGTTGCCAGACAGATGAGTGAGTGCAAAGCATAAGTAAAGAGACATATTTGCATTTTGTTATGCTCCATGAAACACCAGAATCAATTATAAATAACTTTATTCTCTTGCTGTTCATGGATATTTCGTTTTTATTTATGAAAACTTTTAATTCAAACTAAGGGGAATTTAGTGACAAAAGCAAAAGCCAAAATCATATTATTCCTCTTGCATGTGTTTATATCAAATAATGTGGAAAAGGAAATACACTAAACACTGGGAAAAATGAACATTCAAAGCAAGTTTTAGAATCTGCTCCAAAAAATCACTTACACTAATCTGTACTATACAGTTAATCATAAAATCACCAAATTGTAAATTTTATTTTATGACTTCTGTTGAACATTCCAGGCCTTGCAAAGACAAAAAGGCAGTAAAATTAACCAGCCCTCCTCAAGAGTCTTGTCATTACATTCTTCTTGGATTCTCTTGTCTTCAGCACTGTCACATTTCTTTAAACTCGTCCAACCTACTTTCAAGGTTCCAAGTCACAGTTATTATTCTGCCTCAGAGGGACTGTCAACACGTATTCTAATAAACCAGAGTAGAGGCTGTTGAATGATAGGAGGCAGTCCCTCTCCTTGGCACTAAATATGCTGCCCCCACAGCAGTCAAGGGGCCTATTTGCTGATGCAGCAATGATTGGCTTTCCCCCACAGCAGCTGAGTGCTACTGTTAATATATCTAGAGGGCCCTTTCCTAACTGTCTTTTTAATTTACCTAGCTGAGAATGTTAAACACGAAATAAAATGTGTACTTCAATTTTCAAACATCACAGCAGCTTTTAGTTTGAAAAGAGTTTTGAGTATCCATAGGACTCCACTCCCAGACTGACATAGATTTACTGCATTCTAACAATCCTACCATGGCACCTGGCTGCTCCACACTGAATTCAATGGCTACTCATGAGTTTCTCAGAGATGCTCAGCAGTTCCAGTTCTTTAATTCATGGAGAATGCATTTTTAAAGCAGATATCTTTTCTTCGGGATTTTTTTTCATGTGTGACCAATTTGCTAAATTACTAACTTCATTTTTTACTCTAAACTTTAAGAGAACAAAATGCCAATCTACAGAAGATATTCTTCCAGCAATGAGATGGGGTACTTTGGATCTTGGCTTTTAGCCATTTGTATTGGTGACTTCAGAAGTGGCTATGGGTCTATCACATTGAAAAATTCCAAGCTGGATGACTTAGCAACATTCTATTCCAGGGTATCATGCAGTCCTAAATCCCCTTTCATTCTACTTAGGGACAATTTTAACTACCTGTGAGTCAAGGATAAACCACATTAGCAGTCAGATGACCATACAGTCTTCCATTACACAGCACATGCATACGCCCTTCTTTCCCTTAAGCAAAGCCATTAACAAAATTTCATTTCTTGCCTCTTTGTCCATCAATTACCACCCCAGCCTATTCCCCTACCTCCTGCCCTGGGTCTGGTTCTAAGACAAGTTTACAGTTATGTCTGTTTCCCAAAGGCATGCTATGTTCTAACAGCTGCAATAGCAGTTTATATGTTAGATGTCACTCAGGGTGTGTGAAGCTTTTCCTTAAGACTAACAATGAACAGACATGCCTGTTACACACTGTTGTATAGGTATTAGACAAAAACATTTCTGAAAAACACAGCCAGCTTTCCTTGCTGCCAGTATTCAGCCTAGGCCAGAATTTAGGGAGACTGTCACCAGACAGGCCGCCTCAACTCTGGGAGAGTTAGAGTGAAAAAAACTACTTGTCCATCTGCATTTTGTTGGCACAATATAAACAACATGTCTGAATATAATATGACTAAATCATCTCCACAGGAAGCTGCAGTCTAGAATAAAATGCTTTAGAAGGGATCAGATCTTCTCAAATAAGTCATTTGGAATCAAATGTTGCTTTTCTGTACAGGCTATAACTTCTACTGATTTCATATGGAGTATGCAAAAACAACATGAAAAACTTCAGTAGAGTTAGGTCTGAGTGTCCCAGAGCCATAAACCAATTAAACATGGTTGCCTTTTTACAGTGCAATATTAATTATCTTTCAGACAATGAGAAAGAATATGACTTGATCCTGTAGTGGCAGTTTGCACTTGAGTTCTGTAGTATCAGATCTGTATCAGAACATCAGCTCTAATACACGGAAGAATCTGAATTGAAACTCTTGTAACAAAAAGCATATTGTGGTCATCCTGTCTATCAACAAGCCCTTTAATCTTACAAATGTATTAAAATGCCACAGAGAGATGAGATGAAACCAGATCTCATGCTAGGAGTTAAGACTCACGGCAGGCTCTTTCATCTGTCCCATCAGTGCAGTCCTCCACTCGATCGCACCAGTACGCGCTCGGGATGCACTGTCCATTGGAACACGTGAACTGCTGACTTGAGCATGTCCTTCCCGCTGCAACAAACAGGCACACAATCAGTCTTTCCTATCAACCAAGACTTTTTATGAGCAAAAATATTTTCCTTCCTCTTTAACTACTTCATCTTTCTCAAAAATATCAGTATAAACTTTCTCCCTGTATCTTGGTGTACTCAAGGGGACTAAAGAACACTTGACAAGCGCATAGCAGACAGCATAGCTCTGGGAAGGCACTTGTAGGCTGCAAGGTCACTGCTTTTCTCCACTAAAGAATTGACCTCTAGGTTAAAAAGTACCTCCCTATAATTATTCTTCCTAAAATATTAAATTACCAATTTTCACTGATTTAAAGTTTTCTCTTATTTTATTTGCTGGGTCAAAATCTGTCAGTAACCATAGATTATTCCATCAACTGGAATGTCACAATGTAAACACAGCAGAGCTGGAGTTAAGGCAATGCTTTCTAATATAGCCAGGGCCACAACAGTCAGGAATAGTTTGCATGCATAACTAATGGAGGATTGAGAATGATTATATCTCTTCTCTTGACAGCTGTCAGGAAAAAGCAACCACATAAAACTGTTCAATCCCACTTAGATTCCACTACAGCTAAATTACACTTTCAGTTCTTAGGCAAACTAACATGAATCTGTGAAGATATGGCTGAAGGGCAAGCTTACTACTAACTTTTCCTTCCGTCTGCCACCTGCACATTTGTTTCTTTCAAGCTCATGTTGTATCTCAACATCATCCCAACCTATACATTGGTATCTTGTAATCTGCTGCTCTTCAGGGGCTCTCTATGCCTTCTGTCAGCAGCAGTTCCCAAAATAAGATCAGCTACTGGGATACTAGTGTCATGAGGTAAAACAAGAGCATGACAGTAAAGTAAAACATTTCTGTATGTATGACTTCCAGAGCTGTCAGACAGTTTTCCCAAGAAAAACTTTCAATATTTCAAGGAGGAAAATCAACTCTAGCTTTCCCAAACACTGAGATAAAGGTCCCTTTAGAACAACAACGACAAATACCAGGAGATGACACAAAAGTGGCAGCAGCACAGTGCCACTGCCTAGATACTGATACTCATGATTAACCAGTACATTGTGAACAATGTTACAGTGACCCAGTTCCAAAGTCAAACTCAGAGCTGTTGCTCATTCTGCATTTTGTATCTACAGATTCTTTAGTTAAAACATAACTAGCAGTTGTGCTGACACCTTCTCAGAGGAAGAGAGGAGCAAAAGGTAGTTATCTATCATTCAAAATTTTCCATCCTCAGTGGATGAAGATGGAATCAAGATACAAAAGCAAAAACAAAGTCTGTTAACAAAATCCTTCCAAAATAAACATTTTAACCTCCCCAGGGGTTGGTGAGTAGCTCCAGAGCTGTTCAGTTCAAAGGAGTTATCAAAAAATTATACACATAATCAAAATGAAAATAAATTAGTCTTATCTTGATCACTTAGAGTAACTTTTAATACTACTTTTAAATGAAAGAAAAACCATCCTTCAGAACACTACAGTGGTTTTCTTGTCATGCAATAATGCAGAGAATGTAATTTGGTGCAGTAACCACTTCAGTTCACTGTTCACCACCTTGGCATGTACTTATAGCCTTTCAAATGCTTAGTCATGAAATTCTAAGCCAGAGTTACATATTTTGTCTATCAATACTAAGAAAAGAGCAAAGCCTATGGCTATTAGGCTGTTAAATTATTTTCTTGATCTGAACTGTACAGAGAACACTAAACACTTTACTTGAAAACATCAATTCAGACATGAATAATACACTGTTTAGCATGTTTAAAGGGAAATACTAATCAGAATTATGTTCTAAGTTTAAGCTATCCAAATGATAATGAAAGACTAGACTCCCACCAGACACCAAGACCACAGATATTTCTCCTCTGAGTGTGAGAAAGAATGGCTCTGTTAATTCTACATAATAATGTTACTAAATAGCATTGCTGAAAATCATACAAGAATATTTATCAGTGTTTGCTGATTATTGATAATTCCTCAAATTTTATATACAAATAAATTTCAAAGTTGCCTAAAAAGAATTAAATTTTGTTATATATAGTTCTGAGATGCCACCGTGAATTTTCTTAGCCAAAGAGCACAGCAGATATGTAATATGCATATTTCACCATTTTTGAAATTATTATATTTTTTATCAAGTATAAAACTAGTATACACTTTATATTTTTTCCTCTTTTTAATTAAAAGAAAGATGAGTAATTTTCAGATTTTAACTTCTGAAGATATCTTTTTAGATGTATTTTCTGTATTTTATATACTTCAGGCTATTTTATTTCTAGAAACAATTTAGAGAGACTTCTGTAGTTTAGCAGACTTTTGTAGAGGGCTTGTTTCTGTATGTTCTCAATATGCTCCTATGTAAATTACATTATTTCACAAAGCTGGTGTAACACTGGAAGTTAAAATACTTACGACACTGTTGATGTTCATCTGAGCCATCCTCACAATCCTCCTCATCATCACAAACCCATGACTGTGGAATACATTCCCCATCAGTGTGACACTGAAATTGATTTCCCTCACAGGTAGGTTGTGCTAGTGTAAGCAATGAAAAAAATTGTCATTTCACAGACATCTCCAAAAGAATTTTCAAAGAAAATAATTGCATAAGGGAAAAGAAGGTCTAAGGTTCAAGTGTCAATGAATTGCATCTTCCATGAAACACATGAAGCATTTAACAGATCAAAGAAAACTGTCAGACCAGAGAGGGGAAAGTGAATCAGCAAAAGGATGCTCAAAGGCAAAATTCAGTTTAGTAAACTCCTGCATAGACTCTTCAGCCTTATATCTTCTCCTGGAGACACAAGCTCCTCTAGAAGGGGGATCCCAACAAATTTTCAGGTTCTCAACTGCCCTCTGGCAGAGCCCTTTTTTTCACTTTTGTATAGAGTCACAATAGCTTCCCCAGTCTCACAGGGGTCAACTCCACCTCAGTTGCTTTATCCCTGGTAAGAACATGATCTCCCAAAACAAGCTCACAATTTTTCCCTCTGAATTCATGAGGCAAAAGTGAGGGTCAGATCAGAACATGCTGAACATTGTTGTTCCAGCTCCACTCTGTACTCTTCAAACAGACAAACAACAGAGAACCATCAAAGAGAAATATTAAAAAAAATGTTTGAAACTCTGTCACAGCTTACACCATCCCTAGTTAATACTCCTGGAAGAATCCCTAGTACAACACAGTCCAGTAAACAGGACTCTGGTCTTGACCATCTCAGTTCTCAGGATTAAGTTTTTGCAGAAATACAAGGTCAGCTTGAAACACTTTGTGCTCTTGGGATGATATGCAAGCACAACTATCAATTTAATCAAAGCATGGAGGGAGGAAATTAAAACAATTTGTAGATTTAGAGTTGAAAATTACAAAATAACATCAGTAGTAAACTAATTAGAGAGATAAAATCGATCACATACTACAGACATGTACTTGATGCACATGCTTTTAAGTCCCTGTTCAAGAACCAAAGAATAATCTTTTAGTATTATTTTAACCTGAGGCACTCATGTGCCCCACTACCTATAGCACATTAACATATTGTTTTTAAAAGACAATTAACTAAAAAAAGTGAAGTTTAATTTTCATTATTGCTGTGGGGAAGCACCATTTTGTTTTGCCAGTTAAAGACATTATTCACCCAGGACCACACTAGATTTTTGGAGTTAAAGTTCTAAGCAACAAATCAGACTGCCAAGCCATGTCAATGGCCTCCAATTATTAAGTAGGTCAAGCAGCAAAGAAATACAACAGTGTAAAAAGAATGGATAGAAATTAGTCTCACTGCCTATCAGCTTAGGGGCAAAAATTGGCCTTATCTATAAGTGGGCTGATAATCGCACCAACCCACAAGACTCAAAAAACTGGAATTGAGAAGGTAAAATACAGGCAAGTTCCTGAAAACAGACTGTGGAAGGAAATTCTTCATTTTCACAGCTTTTCCATTCAGCTTGAGAGAATCTTTGTGCATGGATATTACAGTCCATATGAATAAAATTGAATTGTTGTCCCTGTGCTGCTGACACAGCACAATCAACTTTAGACAATTAAGCATGACTCTACTTTGGGCACAGTAGGTACAGTTAGTTGTTTAGGGTCTGAAAAATCCAAAGATTCAGAGCACAAGTGATGCTGCTGGTAACTGTATATACATTCAGTATTAAGGATTACTACAGTAATAGAATACAATACATTTCTACTTAGAACATTAGTCATAATATGAAACTGCATTATTGCACAGCCAGATTTTTAAGAAAAGGTTACAGTCATGCTAGAAGCTGAGCACTACTTGATTTTCTGTGTGCCAAAGCAAAATGAGCTCATGGAATATGACTCAAATAGATTCTGCAGTATCTCATGACAACTGGTAGTTCTCCCAATTCGTTCTTCTATCAGAGGTACAGTTGAGCACATTGGAATGTCCTAATCTCTTATATCACAAAAGAGTTGCTCTGTATATGTTTCACTTACGGCAGCCAGCTTCATCTGTATCATCTGAGCAGTCTCTGGCCCCATCACACCTCCAGTCTGCAGGAATACAGCGACCATTGCCGCAGCGGAACTGCCCCCGCTCACATCCTGTGGTAAAACAGAAGAACGGGCAGTTTAGCAGTACAAACACATAAAAATAGACAGTGAAATTCACCAAAAACTCTAGTTTATCCACTACCTTGCAGCATGGAGAGAAAATGATAATATTAAAAAATAATACAATCAATAATTTTAGCATTTGTATATTATACAAACAAAACAAAAATAGTTATAAGAAAGGAAAAAATAACCCAAACAAGTCTCTGACTATATACACTACAGAAACCTATTTAGCAGGAATGTATCATTTTTAAATTCCCAAGCAGTGTAGACTTCAAATAAAGGTAGGGCATCATTTTCCACATTATATCTAAGGGCTAAACATACTAAACATTAGTGCTCTCCAAAGGGTGTGAAGATTTAAAAGCATGCAATAATAATCCCCTTAGCTGATGTGGAAATCTTGTTTCAGTGGTAACTGCTTGAAAGTATAGAAAGATCTTGGTTTTGTTTTGCTTTTTAATAATGCCCTCATACTTAAAATATTTCCTCTGAAGTACAGGAAGGCATGTCTTGAGTCAAGATTTGAATAGCAAATAATTTTAAAAGAAATTAAGCTTTCAGACATTTATGGCTGATCAAAAGCTATCCTGCTGTCATTCTCTCCTGCTTGATCTACTAAGGATTAAGACCTGATAAAGAAGCATTCATTCCCAGGTGTAAATGCAGCTGGATCAGGCCTTTATTAGAGTCAACTAATGAAATCTCCAGTCCCTAGGAAAGAGAAAAGGTACTGTTTATGGCCTTTCGTTGTGACTACAGCCTCATAAAAAGGGAGTGAACAGGTTTATAGATCCTCAAAACAATGAACTACAACATAATTAGGTTCAACAGAGCTGTTTTATGTTAATCTGTTGTCAGCACCTCAGAAAGGAGAACACTGAAAAAAACCTGAGGTAGTAGCAAAGTCCAACTCTGAAAAAAACCCAAACCTGTTTCCTGATTTAATTAAAAACCATATAATAAAATTGTGTCTTTTAATTATTCTTATTTGTCCAGAGAATATAACCTCAGTATACATAAAGCACAACCACCCATTTTGTGAATTCATGATGATATAAATAACACGCTACCTAACTTTCATGTAAAACCAGGCATATCAACACTGTCACATAAACACAGTTAAGTGATGTATTCCTCAGGGATATAGGCAAGCTACTTTATGCAAGGAATGTTCAAATCTGATTGTCTGGTAGTGACACCCTGATTTATAATGTATCCTGCAAATGGTCAAAAATTTCACTTGGATAAATGGTGGTACGGAGTGGTACAGGAGTATGTTCACCCAAATACCTTCTATAGACTAATGCATGATGGTGGTTGGTGGTGCAGGTCTGGGGTTGGTGGTGCAGGTCTCTTATCAACTACCTTTAAAACACAACAACCTCCCTTGCAAAAATGCCCAGAAGGAATGTACAAGTTCACTCTGGAATCCCAGGCCCTCTCCCTGAATTTTGCCCTACAAAGCAACATTTTCAGATGAGATTAGCAGTTAAAGCTCTAAAAACACAACATATAACCCGCAATTTATCAATTGCAATTACTATGCAAAAAATTATTAAATCTTCTTGCATATTTAGTATATATTATGACTATTCAAAAATATTCATAGTCACATAAAAAAAGAAGTTACAACATAGAATCAAATCTGCATCCACACAATTGGGATTTTTAATGAAACATGCTTATAAATAAGCTATATGAGCAACTTGTATATTATTTCTAAATAATAACTAGATAAAAAATTTCATGCACTATGTACAATAATTTGTTTTTCCTGTCTTGCATTAAGTTCTTATAGCTAAACATACCCTTATAGTGATTAAAATGAGGCTATAATACTGATAAACCTTTGTAAGAGCAATATAAACACAGCAGTCTTTGTACACTACCAGAAATGGTAACAATGTTAACAAAAAACCTGCAAGTCACACAGTTCTGCTACTCTCTATAACACTTTCCAGAATTATAATTTAAGATGCTCACACCTATATACAGTAAGCAAGGTATCAATGTCCATTTTTACAGTTCTTCAGCAGACTTGTTATAATTCATTTAGTTATGGCGTTAAGCTTTACAATGTTATCAGTTGGGCTTTCTTATAACTGAAGGCAAAAAGCTCTGAAACACCTACAAATATGATGAAATACTAATACTTCAATTATCACTGTTTTATATTATTTTTTGAACAAAGAAAATTACCCAGCAGATAATTATGTAAATTCATTTTAAAAAACCAAGCTTTGAAAATCAGTAATACAAAAGAAGTAAAAGTGATCTGCAGTATCAAGGACACTTCTCACAGAAGTTCTAAAAAGCTTGTGTTTCATCTGTGAGCAAAAACAATTCTAGCTTTGATAAAGGAGAAAGTAATCGGGAAAAATATGTGATTACAAAGTTACTGCTACAAATATCCAGAGAAATAACCAGAATGAAAGAAAAATAACCATGTCAGTAATAACCAGATTTGGTATATTCTATGCAATGTGAGCCTGCAGCACCTGTGTTTCAACAAGAGCAGGGACTGTCAGAAAACAAGGGGTATTCACTTGTTTATTGATATTATTTGAAACCTCAATTTACTGAAGAATTAATCATTATTAATTTTATGTAAGGTTTTTCTTTCAATAAATTTCTGTGGTTTTTTAAATGGTAAGACAGCTCATTAATCAGTTAAATATTACAAAAAAATAGTACCCATGAGCTAATTTCTATAGAAATTCAGATTTACTCTGACAAATGCTGATAGGAAGGAAATAATCACCGAGTTTAAAAACGAGCAATAAAGTAATCAGTCTTCATTTTCATGCTTAAAATTTGCTAATAGAACAGAATTTGGGTGACTTTTGAAAGTTCAAGTTTCAGAAATTATTGAATTTTTTGTGTTGCTCTACTATTACTATAATTCAGTTTCAGTCTTCTGACTGTGATTAAAGCACTACTAAAATACAGGTTAAAAATGCACAGCAGACCTTAGGAATCACACCAGAACACATATACATAATCAATCTCTGGGCATTAACAAAAATAATTTTGAAAGGTAAAATCTGTTTTGGCTGTTCTATATTAGGAAAATACCAAAGAAGTAACAAATACATGATTTTGGCATTAATATAAACCAGTCTAACACTGAAATTGCAAAGCAAAGTTCAGAAGCATTGCTGGAAAAATGTAGACCAAAGCACTATTTCTAAACTTCTTGTTATACTTACTATCCTGAGGCTTCATGCTAACTTGGTTACTGGAATTTATATTGTTCTCTGTGGCTGGCATTCTCTTGTAAGAGACTCTCAGTGGATGTTTCAGATTCAGAATTTTTCAGGTAAAACAAGATGGCTTATGTTACTAGCTCTAGGATAGTTACTTGCAGGAAGATTTTGTCAGGCAGTCATCTTCCACTGAACAATATAAGTGGTTTTATCAGAGGAAAGATTGAGCAATTACCAACTAAACAGAATCCTTTTTTCACTTTTAATTTACTAAAAATAAGTGCATCTTGTACCACTATTCACCTTATTTTTCTGCAACAATTGTTGCCTGCATATGAAGTACCCTATAGTAAATCACTGCGAAAGACAAACCCCACTGCCAGTAGAGGATGGTAGTCAACATTCACACCACTAATGCACGTTACTCAGTGTCACATTAAGCCACAGGGAATTCCAGCAGAAGAGAGAGGTTAATAGCACCACACATTTCACAGCACAATGTTTTAACCCATAGGGCTACAGTCTTCAACAGGAAGGCAGTCCACTACACCCTCTCAACTTCCACTGTGCTTCACTTTGTGTTGAAACATTTAGTTTCAGAATTAAAGCTAAAATTCAATCCTTTTGTATTGAAACCAGAACGTTACGTTTGGCTTATAATAGAACCGAAACAGCCTTACTCTTCCCCCTCTGCGTTACTTTTGACTGCTTCCAGCTCCTCCCTGAACATTTCTAGTCTTTTGTATTCTTCTCATACATTTTCTACCTGCCCATTTAAACGTGAAGCCCCTCACACTTTTAACTCTGACTACACATCTTCTGAATTACATTTGTCATCCACAGATTAGGGGCCATGACTGTTCATTCTGACTACACAGAATAGGCCAAAGCCCCTCATTTGTTCTTCCTTGTGCTCACAATGCCTTTGAGAACTGCTAACACTTCTTTAGCAGTTAAGTCTAAATGAAGAATTTAAAGTAATGAAGAATGTACTAAGCCCAGGGTAGGTTCTACCACTCTCAAACTGTCCACTCAGAAATCAAACTTACATTGCTGCAATTGCTTTACACTTCAGAAATCAACACTCAACAGATTTATTTGCATCTAGAAGAGTCACATTCTTCCAGGCAATATTTTTTCAACTGAGCAGTACCACTTGTAATACATTTTCAGGTTTTCAACAAGTAAATGCAAACAGACTGTGCATCATATGTGCATAAACCTCTTCCACACAAAATTTACAAATAAAAAAATAAGTGACAAGCTCTTTTTTCCTCTCTTTTGGGCTTCCACAAAAGGGTATTCTGTTTCCTATTTGGCCCCCAAACAGAGCAGTCCACTCTAGGGGCCTTGTAGGTAAAAGAATCCTGAAGAACCACCTTCCATACACTTTGATGTCAGATTTTTGCCTAGCTTAATTACATATGAAACAGCCTGGAGTTTTGGAATGCTCAAGGAAGGCTGAACCTCTGGAAATTCCATCTCTGTTCCCCCTCATTAATGTAGAAAGAAGCAAAATTCAAAGTGTAGGGAAAACCTTAGCTTATTTTTAAATAATGCTCTATGATACTGAAAAGCAGTATTCTGCTAGCAATTATAGTAGGAGAATGAACAATTATTTAATAGATAAGAAAAACAGAGTCTGATGAAATTACACTTTCATATACCTCAGCACGATATTTAACCTTCAGTCTTCTTATATTCTTTAAACTTCATTACATTTAATACAAACTATTCAGATTTTAAAAAAAAATACAACCAAAAACACAGACCACACAA